ATGTAATGTCCAAAACAGTAGCAGCAAATTTATTCTATGAGTACTGGGTAGTATTGATGCGTCTACTAATGTTGTGTTTAAAAGTCCATACAGGTATCTAAATCGTAGTATCGTACTATGAAGTTAATAAGATCTCAATAAAATTATAGCTCCCTGAAATGGAAATTAAATTTTCTCGGAAACTGTTTGGTTATAAATTGTTTGATGTCGGTTACAATTAGTTACTAAATTTTAGAATCGGACCGAAATCGATTGGTTACAGTTCGGGTAGGGGAGGGTTACTTCATGGACGTGGAAGCGGGTCATGCATCGAAAATGTTCAATTTTTATGTTTCTGAATTTGTTTTCTCTTTTTTTTTTAGAGTAATCTATAAAGTAATGCACACTCGATGTTATGACATTATTAAATTGTTAGTTAATAAAATAAACTTATTATATTGAGACAGATAAATGTTTAGTAGCAGATGAATTTTAGCCGTAAAATAAAATGCGGCCTTCTAAATAAATACGAATATTTCTTGATAACCTGAATGAATGTCGTGACTGCATAACGAAATACTGCACTTTTGATTTAAATAACTTATAAAACATTAACAATTTAGCACTGTCAAGTGTCTCGTTTAACTTTTATGGGGTTGTCAATACTTGAACCGCAATATTTAACTTACGTTCATAAACATTTCCATATTGACAATTTTCGTCCTTGTTATTTTCATGCGTACGTTATGCGCACCGTTCATGTTCATCGCGAACAGAACAAGTTTTTTACATTCCATGTCCATGTCCTCCCAGTTGCTACAGTACATCGAAAAAATGGTCGTGTCTTTCTGTAATGTTATAAAAACGATAAAATTATATTTATTCTGTTTTTTACTAGGATATAAGACGCATAATATATTTTAACTAAATGCGCGGTATAAATAGTATAATATTTATAAATACTACTACTATTTACAGGATTTTAAAATATTGCGTACACAAGTAAAAATGTTCAATCCTGTAGATACACCTTATACTGTGCCGTAGCCAAGAAGGGCGCTGGGGGCTGGGGCACGTGCACCTCCCCACACCGAGATCATTCGGTTAATTTGTAATTACGGATATTTTGGTGTATTTTATCAATTTAAAAAATAATTAGTAATAATAGGAATTCTTAGTGCTTCACGGAGAAGCATTAAACAAAATTTCGGGTGTAAGCTTTACCCCCGAAATTTGTTTTAACTACGGTACTGACCTTGTATATGGACTATTGACACAGTTCATAAAATTACGATATCTATATATTATTAATATAATACGCACGTATACTATGGTTTCGAATACGTTATGAGACATAGCGAAAAATAATCAGCATAATGAAATCAAAACGATTATAAAAAACAATACCAAGCCGTATACAATATAATATTATATTCTATAGACTAGGTTATCATTCGCTGCGTTTTCGCGTGAAATTTCATAATATTTTTTTTATTTGATTGACGAAAACTAACAATTTCAAAATCGTTGAACGAATTTCTGAAACCTCCGACAGGCACATTGGCCCGTCTTTGACTAACAGTATCGCTATGCATATCAAACATTTAATCTACTCCGGTATTCATTCGATTGTGGGATGGGGGGGAGGGGGTGAGTGGATGTTTGACGGGTCTTTAATCTGTGTAGGTGTTCGAAGTGACAAATAAAACCGTGCCTGTCATGCCGCAGCAATATGACGGTGAAATCGGACCAAACTTTTATCACTGCAATCCGCCCACACAAAATAAACTATCAGGTTTCCGAGTCCGTTCGTTCCAAGAATAAGACGCTATAGAGCTGTGCCCGAACGCATCGGGAAAATGTAAAATACCGCAGAGACCATTCGTATGTATTAATATAAAACGAAATAGTTTTACGCGATAGGTATGATAGTATACTAGGTATACGATTGCACTCGACGCGGAATAAAACGCGCGCGTTTAAAATACACTCCAAATTATTTATATAATTTTCCTCGAGCAGTTGAATATTTACCTGGGCTCCCCCCGGGGGTGTAGTTTTCCGAGTTCCGCAGCTGTACGGCATACGGAAATTATCGCGGGTAACACGAAAAATAATAATATTATGTATTCCTACTGTTCCGGAGGAATGTTAAAAAACATAACGTTTTTCATTTCGTTTCTCGGCACGCTTAATAATAATAATAATAATAACAATGATGATAATAATAATAATAATAATAATATGTTGTTATCATTTCACATTTTATGAATTATTTATGAGTTCTGTATTATTCTATTCGAATATAATGTACTGCAGCGCGTACCTCTTTGTGTATGCACTCGAATATGTAACACGTCAAGAATAGTTGAAACAGAAAAAACGGAAAAGCGCAGCACAACTTCGACGTTTGTAAATAGTCCTCGACTCCGTTATAGAACTCCTGCAATTATTACACAGCGGCCGCGCATTAGAATGCGTACGGGGTGTTTCTTCGATAACTATACGATAGTATACGGCGGGGTGAAAAAAAAACTTTTCCCCGGGTGTTTTGTTTTATTAAAATTACACACACCACGTGATTCGCCGCGAAACTGTACCCCCAAACGCCGGTTCGCGTCATTTTTCCCGGATAGTTGTGGTGTGTACGAGTGTCTAATACCATGATGTCCAAAGTGGAACCCAACGCCCGCGACGCGACCCGATGTTCTAAGGGCGGAATTCCGCAGCGGATCGCAAGGTATTTATTATTTTTAGTGTCCTGTAGCAATTAAAGATCTAGTAAAGTTAGACGAGTCCGAAATAATACTGGAAAAAAAATGGTAATCATTTTTTCGCCCTAATGCACGCGGTCAACCCGTTTTACTTGTAGTCATTGAAAAAACACTCTGTACGTTATAGCGATCGAATTACACTATCGTAATCGTATCCGGTGAGTTACAGTTTCCAGAAAAATGATAAAGGGCAGTATACTTCACTGTTGCCAATCGTCGCCTCCCGAAATACGTGACCTCCCCTCCTATATTTCTACCCAGCGTGGTTTTCAACGACCGTAGCATTAGGTTTTCGCTTTGCACTCCGGACGCCTTTGATGTTTTCCTCGGAAATATCGGATTTGGACGCGGTGCACAATTTTTTCCCCGCGTTAGTGTTGCCGCAGGCCTTTGCGGCTACTATTCTCTTCCCTTACCATTTCTATTGAAAACTGTATATACTACAACTTGTATGAATATTTTCCTTACCAAAATGATAACGAATAATAAAAACACTACGGTTTGTGAGGCGATCACCAGTTGTGCGAGCATCACGGATCGGACTATACTGAAAAAATCGTCCGTTTTCCTGAAAGCAAATTTAGTATCATAATAGAAACAATATACTTGACTCCATTCAAACTTATAATAATATATCCTACGATAGTTAAAAGATAATATTGCGTTCAAACAATATACAGGGAAATTGTCGTGAAATCGAAAATCAAGACGACGGTTCTTACGTTAAAACATTTTGATGATCCGTTATTATCGTTTTTAAATAGTTCAGCAATGCTGCCTGCTTTTCTGTTTCCGTTTTATTGGAACCTGTAAAAAAATGAACGTTTATTTTCAACGGGAAAACTTGTTTTGATCAAAATGTGCCGAGAGACATATTTTTTTTTTTTATTACGAAAAAAATAACGTATAATTTATCAGGTTATATAGTTATATTTGTTAGTGATTATTTTTTTATTTTTTTTTTTTTTGTATTAAGGTGCCTGGTGGTGGTTATTGAGAGGATTCTAATTTAGCAACCTATCGTTTTTTTAGATTTATTTTTTTTCATTTTTTTCTCGTGTGGCGTTACTTACAAATACATTTAAAATATAATTTGTGCAATTTTTGCTTCACATTTATTTTATTTTGACCGCATTGGTGTGAAGTCGATGCATAATACAGACTGTCAACACAAAAACACTGATCTGTCATTCTCATCAGAAAGTTTTATCATTTGTAGTTATCGCGTCGATCATATCAAATAATCAAGTTAAAAAATTTTAAAACCCTCATAAATTGTAAAAAAAAAAAATTTTTGTGGTGATTTGGTGCCAGCGAAGAAAGCTGTAATTGGAAAAAATACAGCGGATGTGAAAAGGAAAGGGCCAAAAGAGCAGCTAAAACACCCGAACAACGTGAAATTCGACTAAAATGGCTGGTTTGAACTCACAAAATTCCTATTTTTCGCACGGCCAATAATATGTTGCTTGCACCAGAGTCAGGTCCCCGAAAACTCCTTATATTTACACAGCTACCGAAAAAACTAAAAATATTGTTTATCCACTAGCATTAAGATAAAAAAAAGTTATTAAATAAACAAAATTCTCTTTTTTTCCAACAAATAAACAAAATGTAATTCTTTTTTGTAGCGTAACAGAACACGCCGGGTATCCGCTATGTTTTATATTTGTTCAAAAAAACCTATGTGGCTTAGTACTGATTTTTAATGGAGTTTCAAAAGGGATAAACCGGCAATGAATTCGTGACGGCAACGCAATGCAGAATCAGCTAGTGCTATTATAATATAACAAAACTGTTCCTATTCATTTTGTTCGGTGGCGTTGAAGTCTTTCGGGATTAAAAATGTTATTTCTGAAATATATTCGGTTAACCAAGAGTTAAGACTTTACACTATGGAAATTATAACAAACATACAAGCCCGAGAATATTAAGGGAACATGGGGGGGGGGTTCGGAGGACCACGTTCTAACGATAACAATGACATAGTGGGAGAAAGGTATGACAGAGTGGGTGGATAGGTACAGTTAAAATGGCTACTATATGGCAGCACGTTATCTGCCTCCTTTGAAAAAAAGCATTTGAATAGGTAGGAGAAAAACAGTGGTTTTTATTCAACTGTATAGATTATTGACCTCCAACCATGCTTAATCCTACGTTCCGCATCCTCGTCAAAACCACCGTTGTCAACCTCGCCCATCGCGTCAAAATAGCGAAAATTGGGAAAACCCTCCCGCGAATACGGTAATTCTATGGACAAAAGAGATTCCTCTTAATACACAATGTGGAACCTCGACAACCTGTAGTTTCGCGGTCATTATGGACGCGTGTTATTGTCGTTTTACACTCGCCGCGGTAATCGGCCATCTTTTGCCCCAGCGTCGCGAAAACAACGCCGATCGTGTTCAGCTGGCAGGATATCGCGTAACACATGGTCACCACGAACAGATCGAAAACGTGCGAATAGACGACCCATACGTAACCGAACACGATCTCGAAGACGTGGAACAGCATGAAGAATCTGTTGTACGCCGCGCTGGTCACCGGGAAGAACACGTTGAACACGCTCAGATGGTACTGGTGCCGTACGCCGTCGGGGCCCTTCAGCAGCAAGTAGTTATCGTTGAAAACCAGCGGGGTTACGATGTACATGGACAGTATCAGAAAACCCATCATCACGTAAGCCCTGGTGACCCTGATCGTTTTGGCGCGTGTCCGCCGGAAGAGCGCCGCGCCAAAGCGTCCGGTCGCCATGAAATCGATGCAGGCCACCTCGATGCAACTTCTCAGCCGTCCGGGGTGCTGGATCAGTAGCCATATTTTGTAACACGTGCACAGGACGTTCGTGGAGTATCCGATTTGCGGGGCCATGTACGACAGGTTACTGATCCAATAATAGATGCCCGTCAGCGACAGCGACAGCACGACCATTTCGTACGCCAACAGCACCGTCGCGATAACGTGGTAAACGTTGTAGCCGAACGTCCGCGGGCTTTTCGGGTCCAAAATTTGATACAGACCGATGGTTTTCGACAGTTTCACGTTCAGCATGGTGTTTCTCTCGTCGTAGCCGTCCTTCCATTTCATCTGAAAGCAAATATTGTGCGGAGAATAATTTTTTGATTTTCCAAACGGTTTTCGAAATACACGGGAAAAACAGGAACGAAACGTAAAGAAAACGGGAAATTTACGAAAATAATGTTTTTATTATTTCATTATATATTTATTAACAATAAACCGATAAATATGGTAATAAATTGCCTACCCGCGACCCTTCCCTAATCCTAAACTTTAAACAGTTGAAACTCATAAACGGTAAATCTGATATTAGTGTTATGTATATCGAAATCCTAAAAAATCGTTCTCTATTCAGATCTGTGTTCAAAATGGGGGTTCCTATTTAAAAATCAAAATTATGCAATTATTCAAGCTATACGGATAAAAGGTAAACAATTAAAAACGGTTTTGAAATAAAGCTTAAACGACTCCATAAAGATTAAAATAAACAGAAATCAAATTCACTTAAAATCCGCCGAGATAATTGCTGGTTCATGATAAAAAAAAAAAAACCGCCCGGTAGAAAAAAAATCACCCTAGTTATATCATATTATCGCTACTTTTTAGTAACGCTGATGAAAATGCCCAAGACATAATAAATAACAAGGTTATAAATACTAATATTACGTTATTGCCTGTAGCCCGTAGCCTTATTTTACATTTTACAGAAATTATAAAATAAAAGGCCATGCGAACTTGAGGTTTCATTAAGCGAACATGCTGTTATATTCAAGACCGTTTACAGATTTGAACATCTTATGCTACACGTTTAGTTCGATGTAATCTGGATCGCCGTCTTTTATTATTATTGGTTTAACAATAGAACGCAATAAACCAAAGATTGCATTGATTTACAAGGGGGAAAAATATTTTTTCTTTATACGCACCTCGGCGGATTGTCAAAATACGAGGTAGGTCGAAGGTGTCAGCGTGGTTTTTTTTCGCGTTGTGGTCGGCTGCGAAACTGCGCTTGTACTGCGAAAACTTTTGGAAACTCGAACATTTTTTTTAAAAATATTATTATTTATTTTATTATGATAATACGTTTAAAAAAAAAAAAAAACATCGCGGGGTACAATAATTTAAACGGATATAATTTCGTTTGTTAAAACTGTTGACTCGGAGACATTATAAACATGATAACGGCGAGAAATTGGGGCATATTTATTGTAGGTATATTATTATTGGTCAGTCCAATAGGTTTCGGTCCGTCGTCACCGGCGGACCGTAATATTATTTATTTTCAAAACGTTAATATTATCGGTATTAAATTATGACGTGTCCGGCTGTGTAAACAGACGTAATTTCATTTGTTTTGCGAGCATGTATTATAATAATATATTATTATAAGTGTGTTCCATAAATACATAATGCGTTGTTAAAAGTATCTAAACTTATTCTGACATCTGACGGCGTGCCTTGGGCAAATACCCAAAGGGCGGGTACGTGTTTCGGGTGATTGCCCACAATTATATTTACCGACGACCCGAAATTTGGATAAATATACACTCACCTATACATATTTTAGATTCTGAGTGAAGCGAGGGATCTATTGGTTTTATTGTGATGTGTGTGTGTGTGTGTGTGTGTGTGTGTTCTTTCATTTTCTGTCTGTAAACGATTTTTTTCCTAAAAATATTGCTCCAATCAATACATGACAAGAGACCTTTTTTGTTGCATTTTGGCTTTAGTCGGTACTTCGAAAAGGTCATTTTTTTTAAAATGTTTCATTAATATTCGCGATAATGATGAAAAACTGGTTCTTTGGGTAGAAAAAGATTAAAAATAAGATTGTCACTGACAACCGTTTGTGTTTATTTTTTGTTATTATTATGTTTATATTATTTTAAACTTTTTAAAAAAATCGTTGTTGTCGTGAAATTGACCGGCTTCCGCCCAGAATCGGCTTTCGTTAGCAATGATTAACCGTTGCGTACAGAAATAAATAAATTTTCCTTTTTCTGTATACCACACCTACCTAACTTCCTACCTACTACAGTAGTCACACCCGTCCCTTGTATCAGCTCTTTTAGATTCTGAGTGGAGCGAAGAAGGTTATGATTTACAATGAAGTTTAGAGACAATTTTTCTACCAGACATCTTGCTCCGATTTTTAAGTGTAACACCTTTTCTGAAAGGAAATCGGACTAAGGAAGTATTATTTTTATTTATTATTTCACTTTAATACGGCATATATATTGTTGACAAAGCAGCACTATCAACTGAATTCCTCTCAGAATGGAGTTTTCGTTAGCAATGATTTATCGTTGCTTATAGATATACATTAAATTTCCCCTCTACTGCATTTTCAACTTCTCACCTATATTAGTGGCTGCACCCACGTTCGAAGTTGCTAGGTTTTATTTTTAATTATGTTTTTAACTATGCTATAAGTCATATAAATTTTACAACGTTTTGTTTTTATAAGCGTTTTAATTTCTAAATTTACAAAGCTCGCGGTATTTTTTTAACACGTTTAACTGAATATCTCTCAGAATCGTTTTTCGTCAGCAATGATCAATGTTCGCGTGCAAATAAATTAGACAAAAAAAAAAATGCGAATAAATAAAGCCACAAAGAAACATAAATAAAGATCTAAATTCTCAACTTGTCATCTACGACTATAGCACAACTTTCAGCTGTACTTTTCGTGTGGCCACTCAATTAGGCACGTTAACAAACGCTTTGTAATGTTATAATTTCTAAAAATAAATCGTATTATTCGTATTTTAACTCGGTTTAAAAAAAAATTAAAACAACGTTAAAATTGTAAATTTTTTTCTCACGTCCGGTTTGGTAACTTTTCCTCCGCCGTTAGATAATACTGCAGGTGTCTGGTGGCGCTGTTTAAACACGGTTTTCATACGGGCGAATTCGACGGTTTCTAAGGCGAAACTGACGGAGACGAGAGCACTGGAGCGAAAGATCTGTGAGTACCCATCCGTTTGAAGGCGAACGTAAACAAAATACGTGAGTCACGCATAATATGCATAGAGTATTATAGTGATTGTGGCGACGATCGGTCCGGATAACCCCCAAAAGTGCACGTAGGGGCGAGTCGTTTTTGTTTTCGATAAGAATTTCGTAAATACCACGCGGCAACAGCTCCAGCGTTCGCAAAAGTTTTGCAATATTTCGAGGTTGTATATTATTATTATGGGTTAGAAACGGCAAACAATTTCCCTTTGATGTCTGGGGTCATACCCGTGAGTAAGATATTATTACGAGTATTTCCGTTCCCGGCAAATAGCGACGAGAGCGCCGTATTTAATACAAGGTGTGCAAGGGTCGATTTTTGAATGTCACTTTTTGACCGATTTTCTATTATATATCGTTGGTTCTAAAAACGAAGGGCTTAAATCAATTTTGTATTGTCTTCAATAGAAGTAAATTCAATTTTTTAAATAGGTATTTATCCTTGTACATAAACTCATATACGAAGTACATTTATTTTGAAAACGCATACACTTATTTAATTTAGACGGATTAATTAGACAAAATTATCAAAAAAATAAAATTCCTCGGGATCAAAGATACGAAAACAAAGCGTCATCAACGTAAAATCTAACGAAATCGAAATTACTTCTTCTTGAACATTGATATGGGATTCAAATGAAAGTTCTGCGATTTAAAAACTAGTTATAAGTAAAGAAGGCCGTTTGAAAGTATTAAGATATGTAAAAGCTTACATTTAGTTGGTATATAATATCATTACAGGTAATCAAAATACATTATAAATTGTTTATCCATTTGGTATTATATTAATAAAGGTGTGTGAAAATACCAGTGATAAGGACTGTGATTTAGACCGCATTAAGGGAGGATATGGAGACGCGTGGTCATGCTCCCGATCCACGTGGGCTCGTGAGGCCTCAGTTTTTGGGTTTAATATCTCTTTTTCGATGACTTTTAGTGGAAACTACTACATACCTAGTTATGTGTTGTTTTTATTTTGTCAAAGCATATTGAGTAATAATTACTAACGATTTTTTATTATTATTCTTTTTCGGATAATTAAAAAGTTTAGTCCTACACATGTCTTAATCCGGGATTGATTGTGATTATTAAATTAGTACCAGCATAATCGATTGATTCGGTAACCACTGTAGCCCTATTGTCAACTATAGGTATATTACAGCGTTTTCTCTGATCACAAATCTCGAATGGCATATTCAGTCCGAGTTAAGGGCAAGGTTTTGATCCATCTGCTCGTGGAGATTTTTCAAGGTAGGGTCTACTGTACGCGCAGTGGCTATTCACCGAAAAAAAAAAATACAAATTCTGTACCATCCGAACCTCTATTACCGCGGGTGTCTAATCGGCGGACAAATCAGAGACAAATAACTTTTAAATTATAAAAATACTAAAAGAACATAAATCGGGTAATATATGTGACCAAGGTAATTTGAATATATTCGGGTAAATTATATTATTGTACTTGCGGACGAAATTAATTTCCCCGCGAGCGGACCGTTTGCATTTGATATTAGTAATTACGCCGCCGGCTTTATCGTTCCTATACTTATAAAATGTTTGAACGATATTCGACTAATACCGGGCTACGTTTATAATTTTACAACAGCTAACAACCAAACATTTTTTTTTACCAAAATTAAACTTTATTTAATATCAGTATTTGTATGTTAAACAATATTTTAAATAACTAAATTGTTTTTTTTTTCAATTTGATGGTAAATAATTAAATTCACAGATAAAAATTACATCTAAAAAAAAAAAAAATCAAAAGTTTAACCGATCACGGCACCCCCTGAAGTCGTATCGCCTAGTCTTAAATCCGGTCCTGAGTGAAATACATTCAAGTTTCAAACGTTAGAATGTTAATTCGTTTTTGCCACTCAAAATAATGTATACAAATTTTCCCGTCCCTTCTCTCGAATTCACACGTATTATATTGTTCTACATAGAATCATAAAAATAATTAATTTCATATATATATAATTGAATACGAAAAACTAAAGTTTTCCCTTGCATTTTCGATTTTTAAAGGATAGACATTGCTAAAAAATACGATGTTTTAAGCTTTGTTTAATGCATACATGTTAAAGTTCAAATACCTGGTCTTCAATAAATCTAAAAATATAAAAAATCCACCGAATCGCTCCAATCAAACGTAATATGGTCTTCAAATAAATACAGTTTTCCGGGGAATAAGAGACTAATAAAGACCGATAACAAGTGACGATACGTCGGTTGTATTTTTTGTCAATTTTCGGTTTACCTCGTAGGTTCTTATTTAAATCTAATAGTTCTCGTGCCATTTGATTATGACTGTCCCGTGTTTTGTTCGGAACTAGTACGAACTAAATTTATTTGTCTTTTGTATAAGGTATTAAGGTTGTTTGGACGGGGAAATATCAGACGGGAATGTGACCATAAACCGACGGATATGGTTGCCGAATTCGATAAAGTCTGTGGATGATCGTACGCTCGAAGATTTTCAATCGGACGTCGAATTACCGGTCGGACGAGTTTATAATATTGTTAAAATTATTACGAAATTATTATTAAAACCGACGATGCGTTCAAAACGAATATAATGATAATTCACATTTCGATAATTGGTATACAGAGTGTGTTTCGGGTTTATCGGACGACTTGTTATAGGTGACATTTGAACTGTAGACCATACAGGTGAAATCATCTGACAGATAATATAGATACGGGCACAATACTTATGTATATTTTAAATCCATATGAAACAGTAAAACTCTCGTCTTATTGTATTGAACGGGATAGGTTAAGATCTTAATTGAATAGGATTAATTAAGTTAGATTTAAAAAAAAAAATAAAACCATTTTTTATACGTAAACTATATTTATTAATAACAAAAATCAAATGAATTATTCATTTGACATAAAGTTTCTACATAGGGATTTAATAAATTTGAGAAAACCCGTAGGAAAAATGGAAAAGTTTAAGTTATTCGCGCGTAAAGGGAATTGCTATCGCAACAACTCTACGTTGTGCACTACATACCAGTGTTTTACTTATGTTCTGTCCAATTACTATTTCCTTCGCTAAATGCCCAAAAGGAAATCTAATGTTGGCCGCTCAAGATGAGGGGCAAAATGATTGCGACGTCATAGAGAAAACGAAACGATTAGCGAGCGACGGTCAGCTATAATACGGTACACGCGTTTCCTCGCTGTCGAACGTCCCCACTCCCTGCTACAGGTTAGGTTAGGCTTCACTGCCTTTAAAATCCACCAATCCCCCCACCCAAAAAAAAAAAAAAAAAAACCAAATTCGAGATTTCGATATTTTTCGTATGAAAATCGCGAAAAAAATGGCAAAACAAAACACTTTTAGTATGCCGAAGGGGGCCTACCCGTTTTCCACCCATTTGTTTTTGTTCATTACCTACTGACACGTCAAAAACCAAAAAGGAATATGGGTAAAAAAAAATAACAAAAATTGGCGCACACAACGCCGGGTGGGACAGTCATTGCATACGTACAAATTTGTATATCTATAAAACGTGTTCCATATCAAACGTACCGATTGGTCTGGTGAAGCGACACGAAATCTAAGAGCACGTTTGAATTAATCGACGAGTCTACTTCTTTGAACCGAATTCCCTACTTTTTTTTTAAATTTTGTTATCTCGATGTCTCCGAAAGTCAACACGTTCCATTTCAGATACCGAGTGGAACGAGATGTTAATGGTTTTACAACGACGTAATAATAAATACAATTGAAACCCGTATGGTAATTCAACCGGACATTTATCATTTTATTCCGCCCGCGAAACGACAGTTTCAGCCCCTGAGTCAAAGCCCGTTTGGTGTGGTGATAAAACCGCCGAAAACCCGTAGAAAATTACAGCGGCCATTTGAAGCCGCGACGGTCTCGATTTTCCGGGGGAAATTCCAACGGTAACACGCGCACAGCAGCCCGCGCGTACCGTTCGACAGTTAATTATAATGCGTTTCATTGCGAACGAGTGAAACAACGGAGTTCGTCACCGACGGCCGCGTAGGTATACGGCGTGAGAAACCAGAAACATCCTGTATGTATGCTTATCGCCGCCCCCTCTTCCGCCCCGCCGCCGCGCCGAAGTCCCGGCAGCCGCCGCGCCGGGCCGGAAGCGACGGATCCGGCGGCGACGTTAACGGCGCCGTACGACGACTTAATTTGAACGGCGCGGCGGCGGTAACTGCGGTAACGGCGGTAACGCGACCGGGACAGAACAAGAGATCGCGGCGGCGGCGGCGGCGGCGGAGACCTGGGTGGCGGGCACGCGAATGCGATCGCACGCGCGCGCGTGAGGGTGCACCCATACGCGGCCGGTCGCCCGTGGCAACGGCCGTCGCGCGTCCGCCGCGGGAAAACCGCGGCGGCGAAAAGCTGCGTCTGTTCCGCCGCCGCCAGAGTGTTTGTCCCGAACGCAGCGGCCGCGTCGTCCCGTGCGCCAGCCGTCCGTCCGTGTCAGTCGTCGCACGCTCGTTCGCGAGCGCGTGTCTCTGCATGCATACAGCACCCCGGGACTCGCCGTAAGCGCCGCGTCACTGCGCAGCGGTCCGCGTAGGCACAACAGGCCCGCGGCCGAGAGAATTCTATTCGCGAGGGATCCGAGGATTCGCCATGGACGAGGAGGCCGACGAAGAGTGTTGCGCCGCCGCCACGGTTTTCGGCTGTTTTCCCGACGTCAGGCACAAGAACAAAAAGAAACCGTTGCGGGCCCCGGGGGCATCGTCGCAACCGGCGGACCGCCGACGGGACGACCCGGCCGGTTCCGTGCAGTCGTTCTACCGGCAGAACCGCGGCAAGTCCTGCCGGAAGATCATGCGGTTCAACGGATATCCGAACAAGGTACGTGGGCTAGCGCAGTGTTGCGCGATCGGTATTGAAAACGGCGCGAAAGGTTATTATAGTTTTGTGCGATTTTTTCGAGCGGCCGATGTTGACGTTTTGGGTTTTAGGAAAATAAAAAAAAAAAAAACCGTACATTTATTTCGCGCCACGAGTGTGCCGCTGATTGCCGATGGCTATACGGTAATTTAATTTATGATACACGGGTAGGGGTACGGAAAAAAAGAACATGGATAAACCGTGAACGAAAAATGGTTCGGAGTGAGGTGAGGTAAATTTCTCCGCGCGCAACCAAAGGATTCCAGACATTCGAATACGTCAAGTCCGAAACTCAAGCGTGACAACTGGTGTATAGAAATTTAAATTTTAAAAAAATAATATGGACATACTTCGCGCGAGGACCGCTGTTGTTGGTAAGAAGCCGCGGAGGTAGAGGAGAAATTTAAATTATATCTGTACGCAACGATTGATCATTGTAAACGAAGAACGATTCTGAACGGAGTTCGGTTTTACATGCTTTGAAAGGCCATAATATTTACGATTTAAAAATAATATAATTTGTAACTTTTCCCGTTTTTCCCGTTCATTATGAAAACTTTTGGGAAAATCAAAATATGATCTCCTTCAATTACCATCCCAGTCAGATTTTCTTTCAGAACAAGTGCTACGAATGATAATCGGAACAAAATTTTTAGTAGAAAAATAATTGTTCACAGAAAAATAAAAATAAACATCATTGTAATACCACTCAGTTCAGAATCTAAAACCAATCGTCGAGAAATTTTCTAATCCTCATTTGTTGGTCTGCGTTCAAAATTTTAGATTTTCTTAGATCTGCCGTGGCCCCTGGCCGTCGACTCTGCCCGTAAGAGTGTAAGCCGGGTCGCGGGAAGTAACGCTAACGCGTCTGCCGTCCGGTGGGGTTCATAGGAAGGAGGGTCTAAATAGTTTTTTTTAAAACATGTTTTGTTTTACTATTAAAAAAATAGTTCGGGAAATTACAAAAAAAAACTACTTTCCGAATATGCACCGAGTATATCACGATAATTAATGCCACTCGCGGAAACTCCTTGACTTTCTTTGACGAAGCAAGTCTTTCGGTCTGAAACCCATTGATGGAAATATGTGGGGGGACTTAAGTGGAAATTAGCCGCCCTCCCCGCTGGTCGGCCGCGGTCTTTACAGTAATATAGAATGACTTACAATTATATTGTTATAAACGCATTAAGTTGCAATTATTTTTAGGACTTTTTTTAAATTTCGCAATAAATACAAAAATATTGTACGGTAATAATAAAACGTGTAATAATATGACTTTACAGATACCTACTTAATCGTAATTCGGGCTGATCGCGGTTGATATTAACGCGCAGCTGACCGAATCGGGTTGCCTGGCCAGTGGCGTATCCAGAAACGCGAATTCTATGAAATATACCGAGTTTTAGATTCTGAGCAGAGTGAGGAATGTATTGGTTTTACAATGATTTTTATTTTTGTTTTTTTGTCCACAACTTTTCTGCCATCAATATTTCGTTCCAATTTACAATGATTATCACTTTTTCTGAAAGAAATTTGGAATGGGGAGGTACTTTAGGTTGGTAATTTTTTGATTTTTCCAGGTGTTTTCCCATCAAGCGGAAAAAACGAAAAATGTACGAAATGTAGGTATAAGTTCAAAAATATTATGGTCTTTTTTTTCCTGTTACTTTTTCTGAAAGTAAATTTTCACTGGGCTGAGTCTATAAGGAAGTAATCTTTTGTTTTTCTAGGAGTTTTCCCAATTAATCGGAAAGACCGGGGGAAAAATGGGGAAAACCGGAAAAACGTAGGAAAAACGGAAAAATAGGTACAATATTATTACTACATGATATATATATATATATATATTGTTGACACTGTCAACCGAACTTCGCTCAGAATCGTTTTTTCGTTAGCAATGATTGATCGTTGTGAACAATCAAAGTATTCAAAAACATCGGCTTTAACTACACTTAACAATTTCAAAAATCAGAATTTGAATACAATAAGGAAAATGAAATGAAAAAAATGGAATGAACACTCTTAGTAAATCACCCTGTCAATTCACCACTGTCTGTATTTCCCGGAAATAATCGAATTTTCAAATTTTAATTGCGCGTTTTATGTCTATGGGTAATAATGTTTAACTACCAGCTTCATCTCAAGTATAGAACTAAATTACGTAAATACTAGCGTACAACATAAATAATTACCGAAACGTTACACCGCGGAAATAGTGCACAAACGGGAACGAGGTTCGGCTAATTGGCACTGCATTTTATGCGCCCAAACGTGTGTAATTCGAGTAAGGGGTTATGCGGTCGAACGTACCAATTTGTCGGGATACATTATGACCGAACTTATCGGCGGGTAACATAACTTATAATGCGTTTTGGGCCGCGTATTCCATCCGGTTCTGCGTGCACGGCGAAATTCTTCAGGCGTCTTCATTTAACCGGCCAATTGTCTATGCAAAATATTATACAATGCGTTATAGGGGCGGGGGGGGGAGGGTTCGAATAATAATTATACGACAATATGTATTATGTACAGCGTACGTATGAACACGTTTGGGGTTCATACGTCCAATGCGGTGGCTCTGGTCCTCGGCTTAAATCACTTAAACCGATTCGTTCGAAAGTAGATTCGAGCGTTCGAAGTTCCTGCGAACGTCTTGCGAGTTGTCGATAAGTTGTTTGGCAGCTGCACCGGTGTGCAGCTCTTAGACTGCTTCTGCGTGTCTGTTAATAAACTCCTCGATTTTGTCCTGGATTGATGGTAACTATATTGTTCAGATCGCGATGGATGATGTCGATTTCGTCTAACGAACGTGTTACTACTATACAAGGGTATGATTCCGAATTGTTGTCCAAATGTTTCCAATTCAGGCGACAGTCAATGCGCATACGGTATTTAGATGAATGTTTTTCATGGGATTACTGTGTATGACAACAGAGGGATATTCGCTGTTTAACGAAAAGTATAATTTGCGTGCACCGACTTGTCACTTGATTCGAATTTTTCAACGTAGTCTCTTTCAGATAACGACGTTGTCAATTGAAATCTATAAGTTATCAGTCACAGTCTGTCGGCACTTATTTTGTTAGGAGGTATTCATATTGTGAATGATATTGGATGTGTACACATATACTTATGTACACATTAAATCACGATGCGTTTCGTTTCATCGAATGCCAAACTGTTTTTTGTACGGCCAATGATATGTCTCTGCTGTGTCTTTTCGCACGAAAATACAGCGAACGAGTGGAGTGGAAATATCCCGAAAACATTTTAACGGGACATTTATTGTTACGTTTTAACAATTAAGAGTACCGTTGATTTCTTTGATTAAATGCAATATGACGAACAATTTCGGACCGATATCTATATATTAAAATTGATATAACAAAAATAAAAGTACAATATTCTTTACTGTAAAAAAGGTCAACGGAATTGATGTCGCGGCGTTCTGTTCTGTGATTATAACGCCATTATTAACAACGACAATTATTATAATATTCAATTTCTATCAAACAAAGTAACTCGGAACTTACAGCTACAGGAAATTACTGATAACGACAAGCGTTTTTTTAAAAATGTATGCGACGTTCCTTTAAAATTTAAATACGTCAAAACTCGCACGTACTCCGTACTTCAGGTTTCTACAACGCGGTCGCCCCTCTTCCCCTGATTATTAATAGCTATGATAAATTTACTGTTATAACATTTTTTTTCGACTTGTATCATTTAAACCTATCAAATAAGCGGCTGAAAACTCAAAGTTATGAGCACATAAGTTTTAAAACCGCTAAAATAAGCCAAAAAGGTAAATATTTCAAAAATAAGAAAAAAAAAATTAAATAAAATACATAAACAACAAGTAGATAACAGAAACCAATACGAGTTGTGTTGTAATACTATACAATGTACTTAACCTATTATAAAATAATAAAAATGCAAAATAATTTTCGATTTTACTTCTATTGCACACACACAGAAGAAAAAAATCATTGAAAAAACTAACTAAATCCTTACAAAGTCACAAAGTAGAAAATATGCGAAAAAATAAAGAAATTAGTGAATAACTTAAAGATCCTAGAGGGGGGGGGAATTGTTTGTAATTGTATTTTCCAACAATTATCAACCTTTTTAATAAACTGTTAAAATGTCGTATGTAAGTACGGAAAAGCCGCGGGGGGGTCATTATGTCCCCTTTCGGCGTTCCCCCTAATGGATGCCTAATGGATCCCATTGAGTATGCACTTACTAGTCATCTGATACTCGTTTGAGAATGTGTGTCATGGTTGAATTCAATTAAAATGAATATTTAAAACATAGGATGCCGATTATTTGCGTATGCCGACGTCAGACGAACGCCAAAATATAAAACTAAATAAATTAGAAACTAAAAAACCACCAGAACCAAATGGCTATAAATTATTCGAGACTGCATTCTCAATCCTTTTAGAAAAAGTAAATGTATTTATTTTTTTTTGTAACTTCTTTAATGGAACATAAGACATTTGCAATTTATTCAGTATTTTTTTCGAGTTACCCGGAGAAAAATAAAACTAATTGGTTACAGATAACTCAGATAACAATCGAAATATTAGACAACGAGAACAGATATTTTTTTAAATTTAATGTTTTTTTTTTATAAGGCTTTCAACTTTTTTTTTCCACTTTTGAATTGATGCCGGACTGGGAACCTCAAAGATACTACTTTCGACCCGCCACCATCGTTTATCGACACAAAATCACAAGTACTTACGTAACACGGGCGCAACTAGAGCCTAAATCTTGGGGGCGCTAAAATTGTGTAACGAAAAGTAACCCGTGGGAGCCACTCCCCCACACCCCAAAATATCATTTATTAATTGTTTATGAATAATAAAAACCCTTCTAAAATGAAACATATCTGTTATAACATATCTGTTGCTTGAAACATTTTAATATGTACCTAATGTTTAATAAAATAGTTGGTAAACGAAATAGGTAAACACGGACACTGGAGTAACGAGTACCTCGACAGTCACAAACAATTTTAAATTCATCTCATATGATTGGGCCGATAAAAGTTTATATTGAACTCATGAAGGTAATAATAATATAACAGCAATATATTATTATCAGTCCGTCACAGCACATATCTATAACGTGTATGGTGCATTTTTATGTGACCATAAATAATAAATAATGGATAGGCATAGATAATACGTAATGTATTATCTATGGATGTGACTCATCGCTTAAAAATAGCTCTCAAGCAATCGGTTTATCCGTTACGGTATTTGAGAAAATATATCACCGTATTCATAGATTATGTTACACGACGTTTGAACGAAACAGTTCTAAATAAAACTTGAAAAGATAAATTTGACAGTATTTCACTGTAAGTATTATTGTGGTGTCGGACCTAAAAAAACAAGGGATGCTAAATTTGAACTCAGAGGTGCTAAAGACCCTCTTGCGCTCCGATACTGTTTATTCGGTTCATTCCCACGTCGCCGACTTCCACTCTAACGACAACATTTTATTTTGTTAATACTTACTTGTAACGTACGTTACTTCAAGGTACATCTACTCGTGACTCCATCCTACTATAGCTCATGTTAAAACAACTCGTTTTCGTTGTCGTTTTTGCAGTGATTACACTAGTAATCTTAAATTGTCACTGTACTAAATCGCAAAACTATACTGAACTTAAATTATGAAAATAATAATTAAAATTCTTTTGAACTTCTATCTAAACGGTGATTACCTATTGTTATTGTTAAATAGTCGTTTGCATTTTCGATAGTACTAAATTTAAATATTTGTGGCGCTCGAATTTTTTTACTAATAATAATTTCATTGTAACAATAATATTTCAATTCAAAATAGTAATAATACCGACTTACGTGTCGGCAAAATGAGAAGATTTTTAATAACTTTTAAAACCGGTTTATTTATCCAAAATTATTAGGAACTATTTATAAATATCAGAACATTTTTGTTATTTTGACCGTTTAAAACGTTTTAAACTAGTGTGTTTTAAAACACTTTACAAACCTGATCAAGGCACACAGAAATCAATTTCCTTGGTGGCTACAATATAGAGACTCGTAAATTATATTGCCATTATTCTATTGTATTCGTTAATTTCGGCATGGTGTCATACAAACGTCACGCGTCGTCGTGTATAATTAAAAGTTAATCTAATGTAATTTTTGCTACTATTATAAATCACTTTGAGAATTCCGTAAATGACTTATGGAATAAAATATTATTATGTTCCGTCCGTCCGAATTTTATTTGCGTAAATAATGTGTACATTATTTTTTACCGCTTGTTAATAATAACGTAACGATAGCATAAATTACATAGCGTGTTATCGTTTTGTCGAGAGTATTTCTTTTAGATACTTTCTTTTTCTTTTTTTCTTTTTTTCTACAATGTTGCAATTCATATAATTAATTGTTTTACAATGCGAGAAAAACCGACAAAAACTTTTAGTTCGTCCGAATGAAAATATCATTTAAACAGACGACGGTAGGTACCTAATTGTTTGTTCAAATAATGTAGACGAGCGAAAAGTTCGGTGTTTGTGTTGAACCGCTGCGAATAAAAAATAAAAAAATAAAAGTTGAGAGACGCGCTTGTCATGTACTCGAAAATGGTCAAGTTCAAGTCACACTCAAATCGAGAATTTTTTCCCTTCTGCTATAGGTATGAAATTTTCATATCCAATCCGTCTGCTTCGGGGTTAAGAATTAAAAAAATTAAAAATTATTATTAGTGGTGAATATTGGAGAAAAATTGTTATTATCGACTTTAGGTTGACAATAATAATAAGCGGTCGGCTGCAGCTGTTATCGGTCGATTATAATTATTTTACTCACTAGCTTTTTTATATTTCTGTTTTCATATTAATTATACATTCAAAATTCAAAATATAAATTTTTTTATAGCATATTTTATGTGCATATTTGTCGTTTTTTTAATGCATAAATGCATACATATACTAAGGTTTATAAGTACTATAGAAGTCCTCACTCCTAGTTATAACTATTATCTTCTTCTTCTTTGCAGTTGCCTTGAAGTCTTCATAACTAAGACTCGCCAATCTAAGTCCGGTTAACCTAACCTAATTCAATCTTATTGGTCTTTTACATTCTAGGGTACCACATGGTACCAAATGTACAAACAAATCCTTTTTTCGCTACGCGTGACCAGTCCAAGATTTCGTCCACTTTACTCGTATATTGGATTTTTGATAAAGTTCCGTAATCTCCACTTTAATTCTGACCCTCTACGCGTCCGTGTTCGCATCTCCGCAAGGACTGAAAATCGCTCCTATAATTTTTTTTTTTTCAAATATAAATGGGTTATAATGAATGAATATAATTTTCTTGTATATCTAGTTGTTTATTTACAATTTTATATTAAATTCGATCAAAGGACATATTCGGCGGTAAAACTTCAATACTAGATTAAAAATATTTTAAATTAAATCAGTTTCTATGTTTATTTGATATTTTATATGTTCGCTTCACATTTCGGTAGTTACATTATTTTTAAATGCATCATAACATGTCAATTTTGTGTGCTTATTTAGCTGTTTGTTTAGTGCATACACGTGCTTGTATAATATACATATATATTTATTTTTTAATGCGTAAAAATCAAACCCTAAATATTATTTAATAGGACTTTGCACGCGGCATCAGAAGTATAGACGAGCTGGAGGAAGAGTATATCGTTTCTTTACAATGTATACTTCCGAGTATCGTACGACACAACCCTTTTTTTAACGCGGAAATTCGATATAACATCACGATAATAATATATTATGCCTATCCTGCTCTGCAACGTGTGCACCATTGTCTCGCATAGCGTATACAGGGTATACAGGGCGGTCCACGGAGAGCGGAGGGCTCCTTAGCCATACCCTATGAGTCTTATATTTTGTATTAAAAAAAAATAAAATAAAGCCGATACTTTTAATGGGTGTGCCACTATTGTATGTATGTGAAGTTGATAAAGTAGGACACATAGGGTTTTTTCATTTATATATCTATACGCAAATCGTTGCTAATGAAATAAGACTCATAGCACATTTTATACATTTATTTCGAGACAAAATGTTGGTATTAAAAATATTTACTTCTGATGAGTCGCTGGTTTTCTATAATTTTTTTAAATTCACGTTAATGTAAAATGTTTTCATTGCTACTTATATAATATAAAATAAATCAATTCATTTATTGTTGATGGTTTTTGTAAACTTCATAATTGTTTAAAAAATTAACGATTCATCGTTAGTTTGACATTTTTAACATCAAAATGTTGTTTCAAAATAAATTGTTACAATTTTATTACTTGAAACTTTTAGTTTTAAATATAAAATAGAAGAATCATAGCGCAATGCTATGACAGTTATTACTAAACATAAAAAAAAAAAAAAATGCAAAAACTATTGAACAGAACAATAGTTATTGCATCTGTCAGATTTCGCTGAACACCCTGTACATCCTCCGAAATTGCACCACCACCGCCACTGCCGCCGCCGCTGTCGTTCCCTCATTCACTGCTATAATGCATATAGCCAACGGCTCGACAAACGAAAAAAAAAGTGTTCGAAGACGAAAAAACAAAAAAAGGAACCGTCACCCTCGACATGGGGCCTTGGGGTCGACCCACAGTGGCCGGAGTCGCGCGTATTCCCCTATATCCGCCGAGATTTAGCGCTTTATCCGCGGGCCGCGAGTAATGGGATTTAGTTTGGAAAACCCGCCGAGAGGACACATTTACGTTCAAAGGCAAAACAATAATGATACGATATGATAATACGCGCGCGACTGTATTATACTTATATCATCTATATAGGTACTATCGTTTTGGAAACGGTCACGCACCGCGATCTATTGTCGGATTCGATTTGTGACGTTGTTCTTTTTACCGCGAACGGTAAAAATAGTCAACGCGGACAAAAAGGCCGCGGAAAACCGGTACTCGGAGTTAGCTGTCGAGTACCGAGGGGAAACGATAATAATTGTTCCTATTGGCCAAACAGACGAAAGATAAACACTACACGACGATTTTCGGTATTTCAAATAAATTACTTAAAAAACGCCAGAATATTTTCAGAATTGTGCAGCGTTTATAAAGTGCCAACGTCTTTACTCGACGTAAACTTATTGACTAAACTACAGCGGAAAAAAAATTCGAAACAAAATATAAACCGTTATTGCGTATACATATTCTCGTTTTTCCTCTCCGAGATTTTTCTCATTCGAACTCGTTCATAAACTGTAAACAAAAAAACAAAAAAAAAAGGAAAATAGCCCGTATCGGCATAATAAAACTAATATATTCCCCATAGCTTTGCATAGAATCCGAAACAATAACCACAGTAAACCAATCGGATTCTCGTTTAGAGAATTTAAAACGACCATTTCAATCGTGGTGCTTATACCCAGAGAACCTACCCATAGAAATATTTATTCGGCGGAAATCGGTCGGCGTTTTGGTCGGATGGTAATGGATATTGGTGGCAAAGGAAATGTTATACACCTTTGATGTACGCATTAATTAATAATAAAAAAAAAAAAACAGATTGTTTTACCTACCTGTATAAATTTACATTTCCGAATAATTACCACCGTCCGACATTTCGTAAAAACTACAGAAACACATTCGCCGTTCTGTCTAAACGTATAAACGTACATAGTGAGGGATGAATAAAGAGCGTTTTACTGAAATTATTTTTCTCGGATTTTATTTTCTGCCGCGTTCATGTAGGGTCGGTAACGTTTTTGGTGAATTTTTGGTCGGTGAAAAAAACAATCAGCTAATAACCGACGGTAATATAATTGCACTTCGCCCCTAAACCTGAGTCGACAAGGTTTTCTTTTAAAACCTATATTCCTGTTAAAACGCGACAAAACTTGTGCGAATGATTTGAACTTTTTTTTATCGATTTCCTCGGCGTGACGAAAATATTCGACGATTTTTTTTTTTTTTGTTTGTTTATTTCCGTATAATTATTTCTCGTTTGATACCATTGTCATACGCGGAGATAAATACCTACTTGTTTAGAAAGGAGACATTTTTTTTTAAACGTCAAGCGAGACGCACGTTGAATTTTGAGTGAAAACAAAATTGAAAATAACAATACTGTTATTTTCGTAAATCTTCTAGTTTTTCTAACGTTTTATCCCAGAATTTTTCCCGACCTCATCAATACCACAACTAATTCCGAAATTCTACAAACAGTTTTTTTCGTCGTTTTTAACACGATATAATTTATTTTCATGAAAATATTTCTGGTTAGAAAAGTTGTCAACAGACACATAAAAACACCCATCATAGTAAAAAAAAAAAAAAACAAATATTATCTGCTCGGAGTTTTGTCTATTATCATTTTAGTTAAACCCGAGATATAGTAAATCGTAACAAAACGACCGCTCATCGTACGGCTTTTAAAGTATAATATATTTTGCTCGCACTGTACTGAAAAATGCACGACCATTGTTCCGTAGAGACAAAAAATAATATGGTTGGCGCGAATTTTCTTTTTTCTTTTTTCTTTTTTGTCGACCACGACTTAAAGGCAGAAGAATTATTATCTCAGAAGAGAAATCGCGTTACGCGTATTATACCGGGGTTTCATCAAAACGAAACGCGTGTTTCCTTCGAACGTTTTCATTTGGACAAAAAAAAAAAACGGACCGTAACAATGAAAAACTTTTGTTATCTCTCGAGTCGGCGAATTGCAAATCAAAGCTTCGGCGGTATAATTAATCGGACTATACTATATTGGCGAGTATGGTTACAGCGGTTACCACGGTTAGATTAACGGTCAGAGACGTACGTCTTGTAACCCCCCATTCCTCACCGCCCAGAAGGATAGGGGGCGATTGATAAAGGTCTTTCACGGGTGACGTTTTCAATTATAAATACACGCGCGTATCTCACTCGGTCGCGAAGAAGTCTCTAGGGGTTTTTCTATTTATAGTTAGGTACCTCGTTTTCAAATAAGTTTTTTTTTTTTTTTTTTGAATATACACGAGTTTAAAAAAAAAAGCCCATGAGGCAAATCTCGTTTTCGTTTCGAATTTTTCCCATATATAGTGGTTTTGGGTTATAAAATATAGGAAAACTAATACAAATGAAAGGGGACCACTCCGGCCACTACAACATGGCTGTAGCAGCAGCAGTCACAATGGTTTTCATTCGAGTATACCTACCCGCCTTTATACATATACTTCTTTCAATAGCAAGTGGTTTTCGATTAGTTTACTCGAGAATACATCCGGGAATGTCAGTGTATTTACAGGTTTTTATATTTTATTTATGTAGGTACACACATACACAGCTTGAGCTTGGTCGTCCGACTCGGCTTTTTGCAATATTCTCGCACATAGGTATTTCGTAGAATGCTCGTACCAAATATGTAAACAGTGGTGTAGGCCGGATGGTGTATGAAGTAAAGGGCTTTGTCCTTTTATCAATAATCTCAAAAATACAAAAACCCTAGTATTTATTGTGAGTATTTATTTAGTCATTTTATCTTGAAATTAGCGGTTTTCAAATACTTTTTATCATACTGTTTATTAATAAATCGATAAAAAATTATTAAATATATGTATATACTATTCAAAAATACAATGAAACGCGTTTAAAAAGAGAATGAAAATTGAGAAGAAATACATTTTTTCAAATCGAAAATGTCAAAAAAGAAGCGAAATAATACTTTCAAAACTGAGTTTGTTGTCACGTATATTATAATGGTATTATAATTCGAACTTTTTACATTCTAAGAAAGCTGTAATGTTTTTGAATAGGCAAAAAAAAAACGACCATTTTACGTGGATGGGCCACTGTTGTAGGTGAGAATTTGGGAAGGTAGAGGGGAAATTTAATGTATATCTGCATACGCAACGATTAACCGCAGCTAACGAAAAACGATTTTGGTTAATAATGATGTTTTGTCAACAATATTTATTTCACATAGTAAAATAATTACAAGTGTATTGAATAGTTTCTTTAATAATTCTCGTCTAATGTTATATTTATTTTTCCGTTTTTTCATCATTCGTTCCCATTTATCGGGAAAACTCTTGGGTAAATAAAAAAATGACATCCTTAATGTACCTCCCCAGTCAGATTTCCTTTCAGGAAAAATGCTATCTGGTAGAAAAGTTGTTCATAGGAAAAAAAAAATTAACCTCATTGTAAAACCAATACATTCGCTACAAATTCCCGCCGTCCTATTATAGTAGGTACGGGCTGTACGTACTAATATCAAATTATAAAATATTTGACGAGTGTAATATACTAACCACTATCTATGTTGTTGTGTAACAATTATTATTTTTTAAAGTACCATAACCGAACGCTAATGTTATTAAACTATATTTGTTAAGATGGCGATCATCGAGAAAACGAGTCGAGTCGGGTCGAACAAATTTCGAAAAACCAACCCCAAACGACGTATTATTATCGTAATAATAATATCCGAGTAAAAAGTATTTTCCGCGATTCCAAGATACCTACGCAAATTGAAAACTCTGTTCGGCAAACAACATAATACTCACATAAAGAAATTCACAAATAATAATACCAACCCACACATTGTATGCATTTTTCATTACTCGGACTCGGGTTCGTCGAACTAAATCGAAGTCGCCCATATTGAGGATTTATTCAATTTCGTATACCGGACAAATACAATTTCTATAAAAAGAATCACAATCCAGGGATATCCAGAAATGGAAAGTATCTCGGATGTATCGGTGCCTCGCATTTTCTGAAATTGTTTAATTGTATCTCTTAGTATCTAAAACATGTATATACTATTTTCTTTCGTGTATATTGTACCTGTATATTGTATTTTATTATTTTTAAGAGGCTCTCGACTACTAGTGATACATCCAAGATAAATTTTTTTTTTTTTTGAAATTAAACAAAACTTACAAAACTAACAAACAATAATGATAAAACTTATTTGAAATAAACTGTCGTTTAAATTTGCTCTCCTTAATTTTAGGAAATTTGCGAGAGATCGCGTTTCCTAAAAGCATTTCGAAAAACTGGTTTTAAACTTAAATTACTTTTTGATCCGGATTTCTTACAAATATTTATGCCGTTATCGTGTTATTGTGTCTTGCAGTCACGATATAATATTATTGATATAGGAAAGTAATACCATCAAACTTATAAATACTTTTATCTATATTACAAAAAATAAATAATGTATTTTTGATGTTTTGTTAAAAATATAAGTAATATTGGCGTATTTGTCAATTTCATGACATCTAAAGGTAAAAGTTTATGCATCAAATATATCTAATATCTTAATACTTTTATCAAGTATCTTGCATTTTTGACCGTATCTGAAGTCATATCGATATGACATGCAATACGGTAATTGTGTCTTCGCCGGGCCAGGAATTCATAGAAAAATGATTTCCGCACAGATTGTTATTTGTAAAGTATTTGAGCATAAGTATTCGAATAATTGTTCAGTATGGAAACATAAGACGATTATACGAGCGTTTCAAAACATTAGACGACGCCCTGACCAGTATAATCCAGGGCCATGGCCAGACCACATAATCACGGGGGAGGATAATCAACATTTTTGATGGATTATTGTAAAATTGAAAATATTAATTTTCCTTGACAGCGAGTTTGATATTATTTTGAGTGTATTACGGGTAGAACGAAACTGTATCACTATGATTTATAGTTTACAGGCACAAAATAAAGAGGCACATAAACCTTCAATAACGCGAAAACAAATTGACGACTGACGTTGACTGACCGGCCTGCTTTTCTCAGATATTGACGTGAAATGAAACCGACCGGAATACACTGTAATTTTATCAGAACATAGACGCATTATCACTAGGCCGTGCGTTTTGTATGTGACCGTTTTCCTACACGCGTCACAACGTAGGGCACGTCGGTAGCTGCGTTGCAGTGCGTCCGGACGCGCTACCAGTCTGGACCAGTGTCGGCCGTGCTGCGTCCTGCGTCTTGCACATTGAAAACGTCGAAAAAATGCGCGTTCTCTACAACCAACGATGAAACGTTAATTGAACAGTATTTTCAAATACTGTCTTGTCGCTTTTGTATTTATACTTACACACCGGTACGCGGACATTATGCAATCGTTTTGAATTAGCAGCCACGCAGTTATAAAAAAAAAATATTTCGTCACACCCCGATAACCGTGAGCGTTTCACAAATAATATTATTATTGTTTGAAACTCATTGTCGTCGCGTCACGACGAAGGTGTTGTTTGTAAAGTAAATTTAAAAAACCACGTGCGTATTAGATCACAGCTGCGCGAGCGCTGGGATTTCAGTGAACGCTGTTTGATCGAAAAAACAAAAACGACCGCAGAGAAAACGGACGAACGATGCGTCTGGACGCTGCAGGGGAAAACGCACCTTCAAAATTAAACGACTTACGACTCAACCTAATCTAATCGTTCTATCCGTATGTATCTATATTCTTAAAGTACAGTTTTAAAACAGGTATTTTAAAATCGTATCTGTACTCTAAGGAATATTTTTTAAAAAGTATCTATTTCGAATATGTTTCCATTGTGTTTTATTGTTTACCGCGCCGTTTTTGCAAGACGAGTGACTTTCGGATAGGTGCCTAAACCAACTCGACTTACTCGTATTATCTTAACGTGCGAGTATATTTGAGTCGAAAAAAAAACAACCGCCCACACACCGTTTACAATAATAGTAAACCGCAAGATACGCAAGATTATACGACCTAAACGTGGATATTTTTATTATTATTTTTAAACGTAATTTTATTCGAATAAACCGTTATTACGAAATATTAGAATATAAATTCTATACGTCGTTTTTACGACCGTTGTGATATTTCTAATAAAAAAAAAAAAACTTTTTTTAAAGTTTTTAATCAAATCTGTTGAAGTTTAAATTACTGTAAAACAACGTTGCCAACACGTCATAGCGTGCAGGAATAGTTTCTTCGCTCCGATATTATAATATTTTTTTTTTCGACCGGTAATGTAAAAAAAAAAAATGTTCGACACCTATATAGTAGGTATGTATAGTTTATACGGCCACATTATTTTACCGCACACCGCAGTAAAACCGCGGCGAGTTACAGCGTATCGCTCAAACCCTAAAACATTGAAACAATTTTATACGATAAATGCTCCCGAATTTTATTACGAAAATTTGGATCGCAGTACATTAATATACGAATGACGTGCGCAGTGTATAAAATCATTTAAATGTTTTATTTGTCGACACGTGTTCCGGCGGCGTATTTATGATTTTCGTTACGATGATAGTAAGGGGGGGGGGTTGGTGTAGGGGCGATAAGTAAACGCATGTTGTTTAACCGAGAGTGGTTTGATTTTACCCCCGCATCATTCTCCATATAGAGAACCAACTATAATATTATGACATACATAAAGCATCTAATTTTCTGTTCTCCTTATTCTTCAAACGTATCACATCTCGTCATCTATGGCCTCGTCCGTAAATAAAAAAAAAACGAATTTCACAAAAAGAGAAAAACTCACATGGAAAAGGTTGGAAATTAAATCCTAGACAGTTTTCCTTTTGAAAGCAAAAAACTTATTGTTGTTTTTGATTAGTTTGCTTTACAGGCCATTTAGGCATTCTGCAACTTTCACCAAAGATCTCGTTTGTTCTCGATCATCTGTATCCCCAATGCTTCCCCTTTCTTTAAAATGTTAATGTTAATGTTTAAAAGTCCTTTATGTCATTTTGGTCTATCATTTCGTCGATAGTTAATATAGTCTTCCTATTAGCCGTTTTTTATTTAGCTTGCTGGTCAGAACTCGGTTTTGTTAACCTATTTTCTCAGCACCCCATACGATATGTTCAGCCTTTTCATTCTGACCTTTTTGATTTTGAAAAATCTTGTATGCTGGGTCCATTGTACAGTTTGTTTGTGTTTACGTTCCTTCTCCGCTTTGTATTTGTATTTGTTCTCCGCCAGTCTGAGGGTATAGCATAGGTCCGCATATTTTCCTCTCAAAAATCATTAATTCTGTACCGACACCTTGCGTCGTGAATCATGTCTCTCACATTCACCCCTCTATACGACAATACAGTGCGTAGGTAGGGAAGGTCGGTGAAGTTCTGTTCTCGGGGTTTCTTAGAGAATAATTTTCGGGTGAACATTTTATTACATATTGCGTGTTATTTTTGGGTTGTTGCAGTTATTCCAAATTTAATTTCTATATCATGCATGTTGTTATATTACAATTGAAATTCAGAAATATTTCGTTATTACAAAAATAAATATTATGAGCGAAAACGTTATAAATTTCGATAAAAATTCGTATTCATAATGTTTACGGCGATTATATATAATCCGTCAGTTTTTTAACAATTTTCTGTCATTTCGTACACACGTGCGTCGAACAGTTTTCGATTAATAGTCGAATGATAAATGAATACTGTACGAGTATGTGGAATAAAAAAAATGTTGTGTCGAGAGATACCTAAATGGTAATATTTTGTTCCTTTGACGAATAATGATTATTCATACACCGGGTATAATATTAATCGATGATTTGAATACAATAAGTGTCATACCGGATATTGTATTTAAATCGGATGGGGTTTGTTTTTTTTTTTTTATTTTGTTTTTAGAAATTAATCGATCGAATGTTAAATAACCTAATTATAGTATAATATTTAATTTTACATACACCCAACGGCGAAAAAAAAATTAATTAAAAAAAAAAAAAACACACACCCGAGACAAAACAAAACGTGCACACCCTTTTATCTGCGTAAATGACGGCTACACCTATATAATATACGCTCTTTATTGATTTAAGCCCCGTTATTGTGTGTATGGGTTTTTTTTTTTTTTCGAAATGCACCGGATATTAAACTATAACGATAAACAAAAGAAGAAATTAAAAAAAAAAAAATGTCAAACAATGAAATCGAGAAAACGTTCGTAAACTGTTCTTTAAAATCAACATATTGCATTAAAAAAGTCTAAAAAAAGTCAGGGTATTTTCAATTTTTATCGATATTATTACAATGTGAAATCGATTCATCTGCATTTTTTTAGTTTTGTGGACGTGTCGTTTATTTATAGAATTTCGCCCAACCTACTTATCATTCAAATCGTTTCGTAAACTCTTAATTTTTATTCAAAGGTTTAACGAATCGCGTATGATCGGTAACGCTGTTAGCGGGATAATCAGTATTGATTTAACTAACTCAAATGTAAAAACTCGTTGTCAAGTCGTCAAGTTGTCAAACTCCTCGGTTTCAGAACTGTTATTTAGGTACGTAAAACAGGTTACGTGTACGGGTGCAAGTATTTTTTGAGCAAAGTGTTTTTCCGTCTGACATTTTTTGTTATAATATTCATTGTCACTTATCACAATATCGATATCACTTTTTACTATTTTTCTTTTTGGAATCACAACAATTTAAAAGCCAAGAGTTTTTGCAACCGCTAACTCTGCTTTCCATTACTCGCGATTGTCTACCGCTCTTTAATGAATTCTCTATACCTAATTATTCCGCGTCTTTTTTCCCCCCGTCCATCATTAGACTTCTTCGGACGACCCCAAGAGTCTAGATCTGTTTTCGGTCGATCTTCACTTATACAGTTACATTTAAATTTGTTAGATTTAAGCCGGTGAGTTACATGGTGACAATTTTACCGTGCGAACGAAAGTACATCGCTTTATACGAGTATTTAAAAACGCGTACAATAAATTAACAAATAACCTTGCACGTGCCGAGAGAAAAATAATAAAATAACCATAATGAGAATATTCCAATATATAACATAGCCAAAATTACGTTACTACGTATACTTTAGTAACCGATAAATCCGATTAAGCGGACCATAATATATGTGGTGGCGTTTTATATCGACGACGACGGTCCGACGAAAAATCAATAATTTTCCTAAAACACCGTCAGCATCTGTTAAACCCCGCGGGCATACGTGTACAATAATCCCCCTGATGTTTCGGTATATGATGCCGGGCGATAAAAATCAGTTCCGGTTCGACGATCATCATGTCGCATCCCTCGCTATATCGTTCGGCCGGGTTTACCATGAGCCGGTAGGGACTAGGGAAATTAAATTTCGGTCGTTTCACATCACTGTATATATAAAAAAAAAAAAAAAAATCGCATATTTTTGTGTAGGGACTGCCCATAATAATAATTACAGCGCGGCGAAATCGGTGTCACAGCCATTTCGAGACCGCGATTGAACACGAGTGCGCGCGCATGACAAAATGTTAGAGCGTTAAAGTTTTACACTACATATCCGTAGCCTTCTGCCGCTGTACAGTGTACAGTACACAGAGATTTAACTCTTATCAAACATTTACCTCGTAGATAAACGTAAATCGTATTGTTTATTTATAATTAAGCAACGAACGCGCATTGAACATTTTGTTTTCCCGTAAATCTATTTAACGACTACTGCGCTTTGATACTTTACAGGGGTTTGTTGTTTTTTTTCATTTCAACCGTGTACCTATATATTTGTAATTCTTACGCGTTGTACATTTTTAATACCCACTGCTCTCGAGTTCTACACGGCAGTCGCACGGAAACACAATCGCAAACGTTCGTAATCTAATAACTCGTCCGGCCAGATTATTATACGAATTTCAAGTACTTATATTTATAACAATCTACCAATTTAATATATATATATGTATCAATACAGACCGTTAAATAACCAGAATAAAAACCGCAACTGAAATTTCTCCGAGAAACTTGTAACTTACATGAATAAATCATTTTTTTTTTAAAATTATTTGCTTCCCTGTTTCTTCGTTGTTATACCACAGATTTCAGAATCCGTGCGTTCATAGACGATTTTTTCGGGTTTTTTTATGTTTTAATTTTTATATAAATACAGTTATTACTTAATAGTACCGTTGTTTATATAATAGAAATAATTCAGTGGCGCCCGCAGAAGAGGGTAAGATAGACAACACCCCTCCCCCCCAAAAAAAAAAAAATTTCTTCCTTCATTGCATTTTTTCAAATCAAGTTTTACAATTCAACAACACACTGTCTTATGTCATAAAATAAAATTTAATTTCATCAAAAATCATTTTATTCAGTAATAATAGTGATAGTACTGTACTGATAATATGCGCTATCCTCTCTCTGGGGAATCAGTACAAACAAAACCCCTCCCGAAAAAATCCTGCGTGCGCTACTGAGACAGATTGCCAATTAATATTTAGCAACTGACCTTGGGATGCAACCACACTAGAGTCGTTGCCATATTAACATTGCGTGGGCTATCTGTCTATTGTGTAATCAAAGGTAATATAGGACAGTAGGTATATACTAATAGTGTACTATATACTACCATAATAAAACACATAAAACAGAAGAATCACGTATTAATAACATTGCAGATGATTGCACCCGGAGAAACGTAAACATTTCGCTTGAACACGTTAAATCCTATTTTTCAGGTAACCACAAGAATAACGCAATGATAATCAGAACCGTGTATCGTGGGGAGACAGAGGTGACCTGCGCCTCTTTAATTATAATAATATTTCCGTAGTCAGGGGTTAAACGTGTTAAATTCTTTAAATGTTTTCTTCAAGAAATGTGTAAAAATGGAACTGAATCAATTGAATCTCAAGCAATTAGCATTTGTGAAAAAGTTGGTATAAAATCTGAATTCAAAGTAAAAAAAGAAATTTAAAAAAAAAAATCAATATGAAGATTTTTCTGCAGACCAACTATTAATAATTGAATACTACAATGTTCTTGATAATATGAAAAATAACTCTTATTTCAAATGATTTTGAATTTTTTTTTAGCCATTAACTATCTCTATCACTAGTGTAAACATCAAAGATATAAATCCAGACATAGTTAACGAAATAGATTTTTTAAATGTGTAACAAAAGCAATAATATCTGATAAAATAACGAAAAATTTTAGATACTGTGTAAAGTGAAGAATGTATATGGTTTTACAAATATGTTTATTTTTTTTTATTTTTTATGCTGTGTGACAAAAATGTCTACCAAAAATCTTGCTCCGATATGTCTATGTAGCACTATTGCTGAAGGAAAATACTATCTCGATATAATATAAATAAGTAATAAATACATTTTTTTGTCTTATTATTATAATTACACTATTTACTAGTGTCTAAGTTATTATTAGTTATTTTTTACAAAAATGTGTAGTAATATATCAGCACAATTAGAACACCAAATACATAGTAAGAAGCCGGACAATTGTGCACGTGGTTGTAACCACTGTTGTAGGTGAGAATTTTGAAAGGTAGTAAAGGGGAAATTAAATGTATTTATGTAAGCATAGATAAACCATTGTCAACGAAAAGACGAATATCAGTTGATAGTGATTCTATGTCAACAATTTATATATGTCATATTGTTATAAAATAATTACATGGACATTATGTATTTTCTTTAATAATATTTGTTTAACATTGAACCTATTTTCCCGTTTTTCTTACGGTTTTAAAGGTTATCCCATGAAGATGTACCCTTGGAATATTTCCGGAGATAATAAAAATAGTAAAATTCTGTTTTTCTTTTTTATATATATATATCTTATAGGGCTAAGGAAAACAAATATTTAAATTTGAATTAAAAAAATTAGTAAACAAATGTAAAAAATAACTTTATTTTATTATTTTTGGAAAATTTTAAGATGGCCATTCTATAGAGTTTATTTATCTGAAACTTTTAATGTATTACACATTTATATCCAATGAATAGTAACGGCCGTTTTAAATTCTACTAATCCGTGTGCAGAAATCAGAATTTGATTATCCTTACTATCTCCTGAGATAATCAAGGGGTATATCTTCGGGGGACAGCCTGTATTTTTGTCAACTAATACATTTCGTACATTTTCCCGTTTTTCCTCTATTTTTTTTTTTTCAAATTTTTCTTATTTGTTGGGAAAACTCAAAGAAAAATCAAAAAATGACTTCTTTAAAGTACTTCCCCAGTCAGAATTCTTTTTAGAAAAAGTACTATCATTGTAAGTCGGAGCGAAATTACTGGTGGAAAAGTTGTCCACAGAAAAAATAAATAAAAATAATCTTCGTCAAACCATATTCTTCTTCGGTTCACTCAGAATTTAAAATATCAAATTAAATGGGAGGGGCGCGTGCGACGGACTAAAATGTTTAATTTCGCCTTGGTCGCCAAATCAAAACGGCTCGGCTCTGATGTGAATATATGATTTGTTATCTATCGAGGTGTTCCTTTTGGAATAGGTAAGTCATTATTGCTGCGACTAAAAACGTTTATACTCGGTGTCCGGCGACGACAAATCACCGGCAAACTGTAAGTTAGTATTGGTTACGTTTAACGGATTTTACGCGCAGTGATAATATTTCACCCCCGTTTTGTTTACGACGGAAAATCTCTCCGAGCCGTTACACCGAGAAGTCGTTCGGATCTAGACACGCGGTCGGACTCGATTTAAAAAACTATAAAACGTTTCTCCGCTGCGCAGTATATAAGATATTCGTATTATACACGTGAAATTTCCCTCGTCCGCAGTACCGCGATTTACACGCATCGGGAGAACGTTCAAATGCCGGTTTTGTTTCGTTTTATTTTCTTATTTTTTTTTTTTTTTTTTTTTTTTTTTATATCGTGCCTCGTAGAAGCGCAAAAGAAGAAGAAGAAAAAACGCTTTCGCGGCCCGTTTAAAAAGTTGTATTACTTTCCGGTCTCGGCTCCGCATACAGTGGGCGCCGTCGACCGACGCGCGACGGAACGGGAGGTGGGAAGGTAGTATGGTACGGCGGGGGGGGAGGGGAGAAGGGTTGATGGTGGACGGTTTTTCCCTTTTATATTTTACATTATTGCCGTATGGATATATCCGTAGACGAGAATAAGAAAAATAACGAAATCGTTTTATCTCCGTGCGCATCGGCTGCTAAATCATGCATGACGAAAACGCTCGCTCGCGGATAGATACGTAGGAACGCATAAAACGCACACGCCAATAACAATAATAATAATAATAATAATAATAATAATGAAAACGTAATAATACAGCAGGTGGACGAGGCGAGCGCGCGCGAATATATTGCGGAAAAATACGTATACGAGGAGAAAATATAAAATTTAATCGCGCGCGGATTGGAAGAACGTAATATTATGTATACGGGTATCGGAGCCACCGGCGGCGGTGGCGGCGGCGGCAGTCGATTCGCAATTAGGAACCGCAGAAACGCCAGAAAGGAAAATAATGTTCAACGGAGTTATGCATCCGGAACCCGAGACCCGAGGCGATACGACGTGACGCCGCCGCCGCCGCCGTCGTCGGGAATCGTAAATCTTTTCCGCCCGATCTGTTCCTCGTCGCAAAGGTTGAAACGATCGAAACGCCGCATCACACGGAGAGGAATGTATATATTATTACACGGGATTTGTCCAAAGGGTTCGGTATACCGGCGCGATGACGGGGCAGGTACGGCAAGAAAAAAAATGCATTTATGTAAAGAGTGATTCCGTTTCACTAAGCTCATCCCCGTATTTTTATTTATTTTTTTTTTTTAATACATTTTTCAAATATTCAAATTCCGATTTTTGGAATTGTCAATTGCAGTTAAAGCCGATTTTTTCGAATGCTTAGATTTTTCACAAAATTTTGTTGTTATTATCCTGTGGCGATTACCAACTATGTTTAAATTCTATAGAATTTATGAATAGTCGACATTTTTAAATTCCGTTAACCCGTCAACGAGATATTCCACATTTAAGTTTAGGTCAGGGGAGAGGGGTGTAGTATCATTTGTGTGGCGGCACGGCGCGCGGCGTTTTATTAGTGCACCGTTACGACTATCCCTCGACTTAAAACTTAAAAGTGGAATATCTCGTCGACGGGTCGACAGAAATTTAAAATGTTGACACCGAATTTTTTTTAAAGCAATACTCCGTTTATTTATAGAATTTAAATTATAGGTTCTCGTTTGAAAAACCTAAAAAAATTTCAAAAGTCAGAATTTAAATACATGCAAAACTTAACGAAAAAACTGGAGTACGCACGCTTACTGAATCACCTTGTTTATATACTATTATATTATATATTTATGTAGCGCAATCCATTTAAGGGGGGCTGCTCTCGATATTTCGAAAAGTATTGAATTTCTTCGAACAGTTTTGTTTTTAAGTTTGAAGAAAAGTTGTTTGCAGAAAAAACGTTAATATATTTAACGAATACTTACATTTCTTATATTTTCCGTATTTTTCGGTTTTACAAATTTTATGAAAAAACTCTTGAGAAAATCGAACCTTAAGGTATCTCTTTACACCGATTTCCTTTCAGAAAAGACGTTACACTTGGAAATCCGAGCAAGTCTTCTGATATAACATTTGTTAACAGATAAAAAAAAAATAAATAAACATCTTTGTAAAACCATAGGCTTTCTCGCTCCATTCAGAATCTGAAATTTAATTGAAACGGATTCACGCATTCGAACGCAAATAATTGATAGCGTTAAACAAATAGCAATAAATAAATGATAACAGTATCTCTGACTATTACTAGTCCCCATCCGAATGAGCGGATCGGTTTGACCGCCAGAAACCAATCCCAAAACTGGACATTTTTTTTTTTCTTTTTTTTTTTTTCTTATAGTGTCGTGTTGGAACAACCGTCCGACAGTTTGAGTGCTCGTACGCTTTCGGCGTGTCGGACCGGCAAAACTCTACGGTGCGTGTGCCCACGCCAGTTCCGCGATAGTTTGAACGTGTGTCGGAACAAACGTAATAATAACGGGGAAAAATATGCAAATCCCGTTCTCCGAGTGCGCGTGGCGCGCTGTAACAGTAATAATATTTGCGTGTGCGCGTATTTACGGCTTTCGTCATTTCCGTAATGACTCCGCGGATATCCAATAATGTTTCGATTCTCTGACGACACCCCACGTTCGACGGTAAAGGTATTATGTCAATATACGGCGAGCGTGTGGTGTAGCGAACGGCTACGGAGTACGCGGATCGTTTAGCGTCATCCGCGTGTACCGCCGACCGGAATATCGTATCGAAAACGACGTTACACCACCCGCATACGATTATTCACGATAGTTTCGTCACCGCACGTGCATATCGATATATTATCGGCTGACGAGTCGATATAATATTTAGGGCGGTTTTCATTATTATTATTATTATCGTTATTTTTTTTTTTTTTTTATTAAAAGTCCGATGGTATTTAAAAATATATTAATATTATCTCGTTTTTATAACGCTGTACAATGTTCCGATCGGTTATATCGTAAGACCGACGCAGACCGATCTGCGTAATACGGCAGCGCCCCGTGCCCCGTGTTCAGTCTCGAAACGACAATCTCTATCGGATTTACTGGAAATCATCGTAGATAAATAAAAGGCCGTGCGACAAAAAATATCGCGAATTCATTACGGCCGCGGTGTACGGTAAAGTCCCATTAATCCGGATACCATTAGTCCGGACTCGGCGGACTTGACTTAATCCGGTCAGCCGTGTAATACTAATAATGTTTACTTATGATTAGCGTTTTCGTAAAAATAGTTATGTTAAACAACAATAAATAATAAAATACTACAAACGACAGTTTGCTACGCAATTATTGAATATTTGAATCATTTGTTAGAAAAATTAAATGGGTATGATCAAACGAACGTGTCGCTGTCCCATTCACAAAAATAATTCGCTCCACCACCGGTCTAAACTGTATGTCGCGGATACAAAATGGCGGTCCATTGAGTAGTGATAAGCTGAGTTGGCCACTCTCCTATTATATAGGCTCTCTAATTTACGGTATTTTTCCACAGTTAAATGATACGTATAATTGCAATAATTGTATGCATACGTTTTATACTTGTGTCGTGTGACGATACTAACGTTGCGAAATTAAAAAACTATATGAAATCAAAACTAAAGAAATGTACCGCATAATACTATAATAATACTATAATAGTGATTGTCGATAGACGCGACCGTTTATTTTCGGATTGCCGGTGTCACAGGCATTTCAAATCGAGAAACATCATAACCCCCCCCCTTCCACCGGTACGATTATACTAGGATTATCATACTCCGCCGGTAGCGAAATGCTAGGATATACGTATATACTTAAAATATAAATGTAAACTCTCGAATAGTCCCTATAAATTATGTATATTAATTAATATTTGTATTATTTACCTATTGGGTATCGTAAGTCCTAAAAAATATAAACAAATATTTTTAAAGGGGACGGGAATCACTTACAACGCCCCCCCCGCCGTAACTACGCCGCTCACTTCTTGTATACATAAATAATCTTTGTATTTCTTAAATCGAAATTCACGTTCTTTTCACTGTACAGAGTGTTTAAATATGTATCTTCGCTCATTTTGTAGTTTGTTTTGTTTAATTCGGACATTCGTTAATTATAGGACTACCTAGAGCCTCGACCCGTCCGGATTAATGAGGTCTTAAGGTCCCACTGTATTTATTTTTGTCGAATTTTCCCCACGAATAGAGGCTGTATTGTGACTGTTGTGCATAAGTACACATATACATTTTTTTCCCGATATTTTTGGCCATTTCTAGCGGCTCTAACTGGACCAAATAATCTCGAATTCGGGAATCGGAGGTTATGTTGTAGGTGAATTGAAGCAGGAGCGTCATTTTTTTTTTTTAAATTTCACGAGGCCATATAATAATGGATGTATCTACATCATCCTGTTTTTCATTTTGTCCATCGGACGTGGGCTACATCAACATAAATAGTAAAAAGCAATATTTAAAACTTGAGATGATAAATAATTGATTACTTTAGCTGTGAAAACTAATAAGTAATGCATACACATTAGACAACTTTAAAAAGATAAAATAACAAAAAAAAAGGAACGAAACGCATTTAATATTTCGGTATTTTTATATTTCATATCTATAACATTTTGTACGGGCAAAACGCTTTAAAAAAACAGTGTATTAAATTTTAAATAAGCAGATGCCGGCGATGTTTAAGTTTAGCTATAATGCTAAATTTACCACGAACACTAATATTCTAATAATTTAACCTGTGGTTAAATATGATAAACAACGTTTGTAGATCTATTGTTTACTCAATTTATTGACATTACGATAATCGTTTATTAACACATGTTTGTTGTAACCACGATTGGCAGTAAAATAACAATATTATTAACACACAAATATTTCAGCAGGTCAAATGGGACTGCGTTAAAAGCTAGGGGTGAAACCTCACATCCTATTCCTCTACCCTCAAATGACTCCCCTGGATTTAAGTGATTAAAGTCGGATCGAACTTCAATATGCATTTAACCATGTTTTCGCGAGTGGAGGGTTTCTTTTAGCTATGTACCTATACACCATTACAGACTCCCGAAATGAAATCAAAGGAGGGGAGTTGACATTTTGTGTATGCATAGCTTTAGTATCAACAATGTGCCTTCTAAAGGTTTAAATATTCAACCTTCCCTCTATCATTTTTATGATCAAATTTCATCGTTATTTGTTTGAAAGTAATATAATTATAGTGAAGAATAGTACAGTATAGTATTTCACTATCACGGCGTTTGGTTATTTATTGCTTTGCGACGAATATTCCTATTAAGAAATATAGGTGGTGGAAAATCGGTCACGGCTGGTTTATTTGTATCGAGGTAAAAGTAAATAACTGTTAAAAAAAAAAAAAAACCCAAGTCAATTAACAATTAAAATTAATTTAAAATAAAAAATACAGAATCGTCTACTTTAATTGATCAATTTAGTATATTATTATTACAGGTACTAATATAGAAATTTGGCTTTTCGTTATCGTTGTGCTGTACGGTTCATGTGTTAACATTGCGTTTTGTTCATGAAATTATATAATTTTTATTTTATTTTAAAGAACTCGTGTGTTTAATAATAGTATATAATTACAAAAAAATAAACAGTTTATTTTAATAAAACAGTTCGTTGTGTTAAAACTTTTTGCAATTATTTAAAAACCTTCATCGCTCTCGTTACATTTAACGCAACGCTTCGCACCATACAGGCAGGTATATTGAAATCTTATTTTTACGTTGGGGTGAACATTAATTCACATAAACGTTGCTATAATCCTGATTTATGAATTCTAGAAAACTTTCTGTCGTCCCGAAACGACCAAAAGCCAACTGGAAATGTTCAGAAAAATAACAATTATGAATCTGGGGAGGCGAAACCATATTTTATTATTTTCGTTTCCCTAAATCCGAAAACTTCGACCAACTTTAGGATCTTTTACTTAGGTACTATTATTCTATTACACCACGGTCACGTTAATAAAAATTGAAATACCTACTGTATTTTTGTTTTGTTTTTTTTTTAAATGTCATTATAATACTAAAACGAATAAGTAAATTTTTCGTGTCTAGTCCATTATGATCATTTTGATTTTCATTGTTATTTGTAGACGTGTTCGAGTTTCTTTTTCGGAAACGGTACTTGAAATATGCCAATTTTTGAGCGAATACTGGCTTAAGGAGAGGGGGATAGTTCAGAAGGTATATAAGTATATCTAAACGAACTCGAAAGCCTGCAGGAATTTACATTTTAACCGGAATTTCTCCGGTGGGAAGTTCTCGACAATCAAAGTTTTGTAACCGTTTGGTTCATAAATCCTACACGCGGGATAATCATTATACGTATACTGCCGCCGGTAAAAATCGCGCTTTTTTTCAGCCCGTCCAAATTATGGCCCACTCGAAATATGTAAATTTCACCGGGACCGCGGTAGGTACAGGACGGACGGTGCAAAGTCGGTGCATTTGCAATTATCTCCGGCGATAGTGTATGCGAGAATACATTATTATTTTCCGACTTCCAGGGGGAGCGGACAATCAGCCACAGGAGGGGTCCGAAATTGATATGGAAGCATGGCGGTAATGTCATCCGGGTGCGTACCCACAGATTTTGAAACGTTGAAAATTCTGTGCCGTATACGAGTGCGGTTTATTTTCATCGATAAATCGAGACGCGGTTTTTCGCGGGATATTTATAATACGCAAATTCTTTTTTGAGGTTATGACGTGTTGTTCAGTGGCGTAGCCTGCAGAGTGGGTTTTAACAGTGGCGTCATTTCAATATTTATTTTTTTTTAATACGCAGGCGATTACACAGCCCGCAAACACTAAACCCCGTCCAGCATTTTCAACACAACACAAACATAAAATAATTCACATATTTTCTAACACATCTATTAAACCGCACGCAATAAAATATTAAGCGTAGACAATAAATAGTAAAGTTTCGTTCACAAATAATCTGTGTTTTGTATATTGGATGTTGACTTCCTCGTCGGTTTTTCTTTTTTTTCTAGCTATATTCAGAAGGTTTATAAGGTCGTACAGCGCCCCCCCCCCCCTAGATCACCGAGAAATCTCCACCTCCCCGGCTATTGCCCGGCTACGCTACCGGCGCTGTTAACAGCCGCTGCTACACGCCGGTATTCCGTAGCCAAAGCGTGCCGTCGGGAAGAGCGACCCGAACACGCGTCACGCGTACGCGACACGCGCGCACGGGCCCTTTGAAGACATATTTTTGACGGGGAGGAATTCCCGAGCAACTTTTGTACATTATTATTGTACACGCGCGCGATTTGTCATTGTCACGGATTATATTATGGCCGGCGGCGCGCAATAAGACGAACTCTTCATCGGGGTGTGAGGGGGGGGGAGAGGGGGTAGGTGCGCCCAGGTATAAATTACTTTTTACTCGTCGGAAACGTCGCCTTTGAAACGGAATTATTTACGACGCAATATATAAAACACCGCGGTATACGGGGCCGCGTGTGCCGCGCACCGTCCTCGCCCGGTTACCGCGGTCCTCGTCGTCGCCGGGCGGTGTTATTATCGTTATTATTATCGCGGTATTATTATTATTATTATTATTGCGACAGAGTTATTATGTTGTTATGTCGTTGTCGTTATTATTAGTAATGGCGTTACTTGTGCGGCTACAACAGTCGCGGCGACTAATAACGCGAGACGGCCTGTTTTTCGTCTCGGGATCGCGTGCGCCGGCGAAATTAAATCTCGGACAGAACGGCGGTGGCAATCTCGCGACAGAATTAAATTCGGTTGCGGAGAGGTACGCGCGCGCGCGCTGATAAAAATCGCTCCCGGAAAACTTTTCCGTTCGGCGATAACGGCGGAGGAAATTAACACGGTTTTCCGCTCAAGCCCCCGCCCCCACCGCACCCGGATCGCGTAGAACAGTTTAGGTTTTAGATTCTGAACGTTTCTGCCGGCAGAATCTTGTTCCGATGTATCGAGTATCTATAGCTCCTATTCCAAAAGGAAATTTCGTCTTGTCGGTGTTAGAGGCGTGCTCAGGAATTCTGAATGGGGGAGGAAGGGGGGGGGGTCAAATTGTTGTAATATAATATAGCCGATATAAATTGTGATTAGAAATTTAAAAATTATAAGCACACAATGTATAATTTTTGAAAAATAAAAACATTTATTCAATTAAAATTATAGAACAAGTCAAGATTGCGAGGATTTTTAGCAAGTTCATTAAGAAAGTGGTATATCAGCCAACATTGTCAGTCCATTAATTCGCGTCTAAAAATAAATTGTAATTTAATCTTGTATCATTTTAAATATTAACTTAAAGTTTGGGAAAATTACTTTTGTCATTGTGCCTCTTAAATAAGTTTTCAACCTTTTTAGACATGAGAATGTTCGTTCTGGAGTTGAAATGGACACTGGTTAAGTACATAATATTTGAACTAAAAATTAAATATTTGGAAACATTTCCTTCTTGCGAAGTCTTAATGCCTACAACTCTGTACTTTTAGAACTTTGTCCATTGTTTTTGAAGTACTGTATGTTATAAATGTAATTCTGCTTTAATAATTTGTTTGTCAGTATCAAGATAAAATTACCCAAATACTGCCCCAGTCCGATTTCCTTTCAGAAAAGATGCTACACTTAAAAATCGAGTCAAGAACTCTGGTAGAAGAGTTTTCCACAAAAAAAAAAAAAATAAATAAACATCTTTATAAAACTATAATCTACTCTACTCCGAATCTGAAACTATAGGAAAAACAGCGAATATTTACGATGCGTCGCGACGTTACGGATTTCATTATCAAATGTTTACAAACTATGTTTTCTACCAGAAATATTGCTATATTAAAGAACGATAAGAAAATTTTTTTTTTTGTTCTTGATTCTAGCTGGTGACCAAAAGAGTCGTTTTTCGATTTTCTTTGTAGTTTTTTTTTTTTTAATAATTGAACAAAACCAAAAAATACGTAAAAGGAACGGACAATTTTATGGAACTTATAGTCTTATTATTTTAAATTTTGTTTTTTTTTTAATGTAATTCAGTTAACATATTCGGAGAAAATTGACATTTTGATAAAAAAATTATATTTGCTTTTTCTAAACGTGATACAATTTTCAATTTTTTATATTTGCGAGTTTTTTACGTAGTTTTTATTTAGTAAGTACGAGAAATATGTGAATATCATTGTTTGACGAAACAAAAATGTTTGACGATTTAACAGGATGTTCATTATAAGTGTTGTAATTAGTGGTAGAAAAAAATTTAGACTATAAATTTGAATGATTTTTTTTTTAGATTATTTTAAGATCAAATTTTGAAGGAAATCGTAAATATTAGAACCTTACAAATTATGTATAACTCCGCTCAAGGTCGTTTTTCGTTAGCAATGGTTTATCGTTGCAAACAGATATTAATTTAAAAACTTTATGTTAATATCCTATTTTCTCAACTTCTCGCTTAAAACAGTGGCACACCTATCAGCAGTATCAGAAACATCTTATTTGTTAGTAACTACCTACTGGTAGGTATTAAATGATTACGATTTTCTGAGCACAATATTGAACCTTTTCCCGTATTTAGTTGAAAAACTTTCGATATTTTTATCCTATTTTTCAATTACTGTGTATACTTTATCATAATTCGTTTTGACAATATTTAAGAAAAAAAAACCGGGTTTAAAATGTTACATTTCCGTTTTTTATTGGCGAAACGACTACTCACTTGTGTTTTTCAGGCGGTAAACTTTATTAAACAATTCCATAAATATAGACGCGGAGTGTTATTTTAAATCGATTTTGATGTTTAAAATGTTAACTTTCGTCTACGCGTTGACGAGATATTCCGGTTTTAAGTTCGGGCGGAGAGAGCGTAATAGAGCACCGTTTGTGTAGCGGCATGACGCGCGGCGTTCGAATGCACGAAAAAATATATGAAAACGTACAATTTTAGGACCGGCTTTTTCCTTGAATTCTCGAGGAAGAAATCAATACGAAAATTTGAAAGTCAATATTCAAAAAAATAATTAGTGTTCAACGAAAAAATAATCACCCCGCGGACACGTAAAAATCAGCATGCGGCGAATATCATAAGACTCTAAACCTCAGAACACGAGTATTTATTTACGGTTTACATAATATTGTCTGAAACAATGAAATCGTTTGTGCCCACGTAATTATTTTGTCCCGTGCGCCTACACAGAAAATATTATTGTTCTACATTAACGCGGTCTTTTGGATCGGCACCGGGACATTTCCAGCGTTTTTACCGTCCCAAAAATCGTTTTCGGGAACAATGGAAAATAAAAGCGCAAGCCGTTCGGCTGCAAGTGTCCGCTCATCATCTAAAACCTAACGCGCAATAATTGTAACGACAATTTCGACCGAAATAGGAATAACGCTGCAGCGAATAGTACCGTGATGATAATCACGACCGTAACAATGATTTCCTACTGCGATTTTTAGGCCGATTAACGTTGCATCCCACGGTCGCCGCCTTGCGATGGAGCAAAATTACCCCTTATTGCGTTTAATCCCATTCGTTTTTATATTATCTTCATAACGGATTTCACTATCATTATTATTATTATTATTATTATTATTATTATTATTATTATTATTATTATTGTTGTTGTTATTATTATTATTACGTTAGACGGAAAATCCTGGTAAAGGCCGTTTTCCGGAGTACCTGCATCCGAATTTCCCGTCCGCGTTCGAAATTGAGAATGGCGCGTCAAATTTATTACACGTACGAAAACCGTCTTATGAGAAAAAAAAAAAAATGATAAAACGCCGTTATACGCGAATGTGCAATGCTGTAATACGTTCCCGCACGGAATCTCGTCTCTTACCGTACGGTAAATGAAGGATCGGCCGCCATTTCCCGTTCGGGGTCAATAAAGGGTGTAAAATATTAGCTATTAACGCGTAATATATTATACTCTAGAAGTAATGAAGCGCCTAACGACTTCTTCTTCTTCTTCTTCTTCTTCTACTACTCCGGTTTCTTGAGCGGTGAGGACCATCCCTTATGACAGCCGACCATGCGTCTTTCTCTGTCCGTCGTCATTTTATACGCTGTTATTATTATCGTCGTCGTTATTTTACAGGTTCTCCTTTATCCCGAAGAAGGATGGGCGAGGAGTGCAGTTTCGAGCTATTGGACGCTCACGCCGACCTGGTGGAATCGCAGCAAATGCAAAGTGGTCGAAATCACGGGAACGAGAAAGTGAGTTATTTTTTTATTGTACTTTTACTCGATTTATATCGCAGTTGATTGAGGACGTACGCGGGTTTTGAATGTGGCGCTGAAGGCTAATATGCGTTTTGAAGAAAACACAAATAAAATATAAAGCGCAACGATTAGTTTTATGGCGATCTTTGTTTTTTCTCGATAAAACCCAAAAATAATAGCCTTGCCTGCGACGCAGTAGTTAAATTTTGAATTCAGTTTGCAAAATTCTGTCTCATTCTCTCTTTTTTTTTTTTTTTTCATTAAGTCTTTGCATTAGTTAATATGAATCACGTCGCTCATTATTTAATATTATTTCTTAAACTTAAACGCAGCGAAGAACATATTGGTTTTACTGAGATATGTGCTTTTTTTTTCTGTCCGCAAACGACTTTCCTACCATAAACATTGTTTCAATCAAAACAATGACAGAAATGCTCTTTGTAACTTTTTGTGTGGATTCGATGCGTTGGGAGGTCATTTCTTAAGTATTCGAGTAGTTTTCATAATGGTCGGGGAAAAAGTCGTAAGACAAACGGGCCAGGTTTGCGGCAGGTATCGCCAACATCGATTAACATTTCGTATTAATACAATTTAATAATATTATGTGAAAAGTACGCTGCGGAGACGTTAACGTGTCACTCGTCAATCGACTCGTGTCGTCTCATCGAACATTTCCATATGGTTTTCTGTACGACGCTCTGTTTGAAGCGCGTGGGCTTAATTTTTTTTCTCCTCCTTAGAAACGCGGGTAGGTACCTTCCGTCCCTCACAGAATACGCATCCGCGGCCGATCACAATAAAATATGTGCCGGCAATACGGTCTATTCAATACCCGGCGGGAAATATTTTCACGTTGAATTCACGGACCATTGTTGTCGGGGCACGTCGCGACTTGGGCGGGTAGGACAATTGGAACAAATAATCAAATTAATTTTCACGGGGCGCTTTAAATTTAATCATTATTATTGTTATTATTTTTGTTCGACTTTTTGTTGACGGAACCGACTCGGCGGTAAACGCCATTGTTTGTTTCGTTTTGAGTTTCGCAAAGTTTACCGCAGTTTTTCGTATTCCTCTCATTCCAGAAACAAAATAACACTGCAGAACTTTATAATAAAATCTTTAAATGTAGTTTTGGCAACGAAAATATAACAAACCTATTGAATGGAACGAATAACAATATATCCGCGAATAATACATTTCACAAAAGTACATTATTCGTTTTGAATAATTTATTGAATTATTTGTTTTACGTTTAAAAATACATTTATTACTGAAAATTTGGAATTTTTTCTTTTTTTTTTTTTTTTTTTTTGTCAAGATATGCGCATATTTCAAAATGTGTAAACTAAGACGTATAACAAATTTATCGAAAATCAAAATCAATGTTTCGAAATTCAAAAAATGAATAATGAGATATTGAGATAGAATAGATCTCAATCGCATCTATACCGACCGAGTTTATATTTATAACGTGCATTGAGATGACATTTTTCGTGCTTTTTTAAATCTGAGTGAAGCGGACAGTTTTATATTGATGCGTGCGTGTGTGTGTTTTTTTTCTGTCTTCGAACAAGATTTCCACAAGAAGTCTTGCTCTAACAATCCACGTCAAGAGTGGCTGTATAGTATATATATGTACACGGTAAAATGTGTTCAAAAAAACAAAATACACACGTGTATACATAAAAATAGCGCGGGAGCGTGGTCGGGAATTGACGATTCCCTAAGGCATTTGGCATCGAACGCAATACAGTATACGCATTCGACACAATGTTCCCCCAACTCAATTGGTGGCCGGGGCCTGTAGAGGCCCGGGACGACCGAAGTTCGAAAAACCGCGGCGCCTCTGCCGCGAAAACGCGCTTGAGTCCATGTTGAAATTCGACGAGACCCTCATCGCTCCGACCCGCGCGTAGAAAAACGACTCTAACGGCCCGGGTCTGGACTCGTCCGCGACGGCGTTCGCACGGCAGGGCGACGGTCCTCGATTCCCGGGGAACATCCGACGAAGAGGCCGAAAACGGTGCGGGCAGGCGGTTATAGGGGCGACGGAGGCGAAAGACGAAATTCAGTGTCACACGGTGCGACCGTAACGGCGACGCTACGGTCGGCAATCGGCTCGTCGGTCGCGCGCGGCCCTCGGCGAAACGTCGGGCGGCTTGTAATACGCGCGTGTGCCCGGGCGATTAGCGCGCGCACGCCCGCGGCGGGCATCCGCCGTCTCCGGCCGCCCCCGAGCGCGCGTCCCGCACAGTGCGAGCCCGTCAGACCGACCGCGGGTTGACGGGGGGGGAGGAATACGGCGAGGGGGGTTTCTCGTCACGATCCGGGACGGCGCGAAACTCCTGCCGGCGGCGACGACGAAACGACATAATATAATAACGAACCGGTGGGCGGGGGAAACAGAAATATAACCCGATTCGCCTGCGCTCGCGCGCGCGCGCGTCGCTACCCTAACGAGATAACCGACTGCGGCGCGCCGGTATTATCACTATTTGTCCAACGCAACGCGGTATTGTTATTATTATTATTACGAGAGGTGTTATGCGCTCCGTCGGCATCGACTCCGCCGCCGGGTCTGCCGGCCGTTTAGTATTCCGGGCGTCGCGGTTTCGCGAACTCGAACCGCGGAGGACCGCGGGGCGGGTGGGGACCCTCGCCGATGACCGGGCGGGGGGAGGGTCGGGCGAGTAGGAGGGGGGGGGAGGGCGGCGGCATCGAGAACATTATAATTCTCCCGTCGTCGCGCGTACATGCGATACGCGTTACGTTATTACTGCGCGCGCTCGTATTATCGTCAATATTATCATTATCGTTATTATCATCGTCGTCGTTGTTGTTATCATAATAATATACGCCCGGGCTCGAATTTCGCGATAACGTACGACCGCGCCGCGAATAACGCGCTAAACGTCCGATTTTACGCGTCCGGGGGCGCGGCGGACGTTTCGCCGGCTCCGCCGTTCGTAACGATGACGACGCGTAACGTTTTACTTTGCCGCGGGACCGTCGACGCGCCCGGTGCGACGTTACGCCGTTGTCGTCGGCGTCGCCTCCCGTCAGCGGCAGCGCCGTCCCCGCGGCCACGGCTGGCCGGACGACGCGCGTACACTTTTGCGGCCCACGACCAACGGGGCGGGTGCCGTCCGGGGACGGCGGCGGGAGTCGTCGACGAGGCGCCGCGCGCGTCCGGAAACGTTTACGGGACAGGTACTCCGGGGGGTTTTTTTTTATTTTGTTTTCGATTTTCCGTACGAAACGTGCAAAACCCACAAGAGAAAACCCCGGCGGACAATTGTGTACCTGTTTACATTTCGAACGGCTAAATTTCGTACTTCAAAACTTTTAACGTCAACGTTCGAATTTGACTTTTGTTATAACGTGTGTATCCACTCCTGTCATTTTCGTTTGATACGTTTTGTTTTAAAACCGAAAATTTGCAAAAAATAATCCGACGCACGATCTCAGACCATTGAGTTATTCCCCGATATCTTACATGTTATAGTTATATGTAAAAAGATTCTTATAACGAAAGAAAATGTCGTAGAAAAAAGTCACAGACGTATTAGTTTTAGCATTTGTGTATTGGTTTTACAATAATGTTTATTTTGTTTTTCTGTGAACAACTTTTCTACCAAAAATTTACTCAGATTTTCAAATGTAGGAAGTAATTTTCCTGCAACTAAATCTGTCCGGAGTTTTACTTAAAGGATTTGATTTTCTCAGGGGTTTCATAATATATTAAGATAATAAAAACGTTAACGATAAATAAAACGTTGGAAAAATAGGAAAATGTACGAAATGTGTTATTTTCAAATCGTTAATATTGTGGTCTTTGAAAATAATATGTAAAACCGAATCAAAATCATTTTTTGTTAGCAAAGAAAAATTATTGTGCACACATATTAAATCCCTCTATGCATCCGACCTTTTTTTTTTTTTTTATTATTCCTTTTATTTTAGATTTTTTTCTTCGCTCGGAATCGTTTTTCGTTTGTTACGGCTTATCGTTGCTCACGAGTATAAATTAAATAACTTTATGTATCCAACTTTTTCAACTATTCTCCTGCAACAGTGGCTGCACCCGTTCTCAGTATCAACTTTTTTTTTTTCGTATTGCATTTTTCATAATAATTTTAAACCGCCGTAGAAATATTAACCTGCGCGTTCCTGATTTTAGGGAATTATCATTGTTTTACTGATTATTATGTAGTTTAATTAAACAAAAAAAAAAAATGTTCTTTTAATAAAATCGCCGTACAAGGTAGCTATATTTTAACCGCTTGTAGTCACAAAATTGTATTTTATTATTCATTGAGTTGATTACTCTGGCATAATAATTGTATTACGATTTTAATTTAATTTAAAGGCCGCGCGCAATAATGCCGTTATATATTTTCTGCGGACGGGGAAATCGGGCGAAATACGCACACAAATTCCTATATTCACTATAATACATTTATACATTTCCATAATAATACGACCCACGGCTTTAGACAACTTATAATATTATCGTCTTCAATCGGTAAAATCTTTTAATTTTTTTTTTTTTTAATTCCGTTCAAGATAAAATTCCAATAGCACTGCAGCAGTGGAGTTTTACATAGTTTTAAACAAAACAAGAAGAAACATCGGCACGATATTTTCTCTCACTCTGTCTCTCGTACCAATCCTCAAATCGGTTTTCAGCTATTCGGTCCATCCGTTTTCACCGGAATAGAAAATACTCGTCGCATTAATTATTATCCTCTATGATCTGCGCCATGACACGCATCCCAGCCTATATCTTCTTACGCAATTCTCTCCTTCAACCCTCCCCATCAATTTCAACATATTTGTGTGTCTGATTATAATACGAGCAATCCATTTGTTTCGTTTTCTCGTCAAACCAAATACTCCCGTACCGTTACTCTATTTATCACTTTTTCGTGCGATATTCTCTCGCTTGTTTTTAATCTATTTTGTTCTTCTGTTGAAATGTCGTCCGGGTCTTATTTCCGTATAGCACTGTGGCTGCGATAAATTCTTCCTTAAATACTTGTGTTGTTTAACGTTAACAGTTTAACCTTATTCAGATGAAAGCTATTTAAGCTCGAATGAAGCGTTTACCGTCGGCTTTTTTTCAACGGGTTTGAAAAACAATAATCGCCTAGCCGATGATCGACTGCAGAGATCAAACGCAGTACCTACCTACGGTGTAACGATATTATGTCACTCGCACATCAAGGTCAAAAACTCGATTTCACGTAAGAATACGAATATATTGCTTGCGTATGCACCTTCTGCACAGTATAATATTCTATTTTGACACGTTGTCGGCCCGCGCGTTTCGGTGCGTGTTCTTTAAAACATGACGGGTAGAGCGGATACTCTGTACCGCGACTCGATAGAAACAAATACGTTTGAAACAATACACGCGCACAATAGTACACCGGAAGAAATATAATGCATTATTAATATGTATTGTTTCCGTAAGTAATTGAGTTTCGAGACCGCCGTCATCGGTACTGTAACACTGGCCATCGGTCGATATTTTAATTTTTAAAGGAGATATGATGAACATTTTTAAATCGCGATATTTCACATGCTGTTTCTCGATTGAAAATATCGAAACAAAATCGACGTAGTTGCGCAGATAACATTCTTATCGGCTGTACGTTTGATAAATAGTTAATTCACTCCAATGTTAAAATTAACGGCTCACAGTTGTGCCGCGTCCTTTTAAATACGTCGTTTTCGGTATCCGGAAAAAGTCTTGCGAAACGTTTCGATAAAACGTTTACAACCTATTATGTCTGTCAATTAAAAAAGAAATTAACAATGTTTTTATAATAATAATGAAAAAAAAAACAAAAAACAAAATTAATTAATTGAAAATGTACGCAAACACGAAAAATAAATACGCGTTTAAAATGGAACAAACTTGTATTAGGTACAAATAACTTCCGTAAAAATATTGTTTTCCATAACCGTTTTTATGCAAGATAGCAGTACTCCGTACGGTCATATACATCATTTTTATGTGTATTTTTTTTTTTGTATTTTAAACCGAATAAACTTTTATGTAATTCGGTGATTTACTATACGCGCGTTACACGATTCGCATTTCGCGTATCCATTATGCACGATAGTGTATGGCGTATTATTATCGCGTGTGTGATTTTTTTTTTCTTTTATCACTGTGACCTAATATTATTAGACTGTATACACGTACGGGCGGGGGGGAGGGGGTAGGTCAATAAAAAACGGCGTACTCCGGTATTCAAGAATATTTGCTCGAGAACACGCTGCGTGTGTATAATATATAAAACACGCGTAACGCAATAAAAACATCTTCTCGATAAAAGCGTCGTCAGGGAGCCGACCCGTCCGAATCGCCAACGTCGTCGTCGTCATCGTGCCCGACGCCTATATTTTTTAAAACACTCCGTCCGCTGGGCTGCCCGAGAACTCTCCCGACGCGAATATTGCATTTAACAGAATGGTGCGTTTCTATACCGGAGAACTTTTTTCGTTCCCGTTTTATGTGTACAGTACGGTACCGGATCGTATAATTTGTGCACAAATCGGCAAGGGCGTCGAGCGATACGACGGACTCGGTAAATTAAATTAGGAAGCGAGAGGGGGAAAAAAATCCAACCGGCACATTATACTATTCACATCACGAGTCGGGCATACTTGTTGTAGGCGGGATGTCGGAATGGTTAAGGATGTACGCAGGGTTAGGTTATGGAAAGTATATACAGAAACCGACTGCAAAGTTCCGTCGTTATCCAAGAAAAATTCAGTGTCGTAGCTGAAGGGGCGCGATGGGTGGATCGCTTTTGGTATTTTTTAGTGGTGATAATTTAATCACGACTACAGCCCATAAGTAATCAAATACAATAGTGTTGTATTACAGTTTTTAAACCACCCCTCCCCTTTATTGAGTTCCAGTTACGCCATTGGGAATTTTAAAAGAAATTTCGAAAAATTACACGGTCATAATGCATACACTATATAGATTCAATATGCTACGAGAGAAGTTGTATCGAAAATTTCGGTTGGGAGGACTGAAGGAGCGTAACGCAACTCGAAAACGTATTTACAAACAGAAAAAACACACTTTAAACACTGTGAAAACAACATAAAAAAAAAATCCAAAATTCAAGCATGATCGAAATTCAAAAATGCCCCATTGATGTTATGTTGTCGGGCATTTCATATTAGGTTGTTTACATTCGAACATTTAAATCTCTGCATGCCATACAATTTGTGCGCCATTATTAATTTTAATTTTCGTCACTTTAAAAAAAAAAATGTTTAAATCGTTTCCAAAAAAACACAACCGTGCCGCGTATTACTGTGCGTGAAAGATCTGTATAGGACTTTAACTGATCGAAAAAATCGATAACGAACATAATATAGTATATATTCTATAAAAAAGAAAAAAAGAATAACAAAAAAAAAAAAAAAAATGGGGACGGGTGCAACCACTGTTTTAAGCGAGAAGTTGACAAGGTAGTAGAGGGAAGATTAAATGTACATCTGTAAGCAAAGATAAACCATTGCTAACGAAAAAACGATCCTGAGCGGAGTTCGGTTAATAGTGTTGCCTTGTCAACAGTATATATGTCATATTATGGTAAAATAATTACATATGCATTATATATTTTCTTTAATATTTGTTAAATATTGTACCTATTTTCCCGTTTTTCCCGGTTTTTTCAATTTATTGGGAAAACTCCTGGGAAAATTAAAAAATGACCTCCCTAAAGTACCTCCCCAGTCAGACTTTATATTAATAAAAAGTGCTATAATTGTAAATCGAAACAAAATTGCTGGTATTAGAGATGTCCACGGAAATAAAATAAACACACCATTGTAAAACCAATACATTCTTCGCTCCAATCAGAATCTAAACGTCGATAATTTTCACTAGTAAGTGGGTTAAAACTAGACGAAAAATCCCTATTTGTTAACACGTTGATTGCGGACTGACGCCAATAGGTGTCATAAGGATCGTTCGGTGACACGTTCGACGGCATTTAGCGTCCAATATAAATTTTATGTTAATCTTTTACTGACGCGAAAAAATTAGTGTATTTTTTTCTAAAAGTAACAGTAGACAAAAACAGTTTGTGAAACTATAACTATAGCTCCTTCGTTATACTCTGGTCTCAAACAACACACATTTGTCACACTAATACGTTGGATTCGCTCGTTCAAAAAACGAAAAACACACAAGACCGGTTTTATTGTTTATATTATGTATACCGTGCGACAATTCCCGAGGCGAAAATTGTATAATAATATGCGCATCGAGAGGGACGAATTATGAAATCGAACCGCAAACATTTGCAAACGATACGGCGGCGGAGTTTTCCCGCGAGAACGCGTACATATAAAGCCCGGGAACTTGTGCCCATAAAACCCAATCCGATATGAACGAGAAAGCAAATACGACCTGACTCGTCGTCAGAGTCATCGTCAGCCCGTTCGTTAACAAACTTATAAACGGTACGGTCCTCCGGGAACGCTCATCGTGCGTGTGCACAAAGCTTTATTTGTCAAGACCAATTATGTTATTTTTATTTTTTTTTTATTTAATCGATAAATTCGTACGGATATTCCCTCTAAAAACAGTTGTCGTTTCCTGTCGATGTGTATAATAGTTCACGTGAACTTCTATAAAACGTTACGATCACGCGAATAAACGTCCCGTGAACAGTACGAAATTCGTACAATATATGAATAGGTTACAAATAAAATGCGCGTATTCCAAAACAAAAAATAAAAACTAGCGGAGGTTTCCTGGACAATGAAGAAATTTAAAATGTAATTTTCTTGGACAAGACGGTCTAAAAAACCTCAAAACTGACAATAAAAAAGTTACGATTTTAGTATTTATCTGTATTTTGTTGTTGTTTAAAACGTGCGAGTTTTGATAATAGTTACAATTGAATATGTGTTTTCAAATTATGGATCATGTGATTTTTGATATGGGCTAATTAAGATTTCGAATTAATAACCACATGATCCATTGGGACTAGTACGTTTTGGAAATAGTCACTTTTTTCCAGTTAAATGAAAATCTGTTCTTGCACGTGTTTGTAAGTTTAGAAGGCGGTAACGTTCGCACAGATCTTCCATTACTATCAGTTAAAAGAAGAAAAGAAAAATCTGGTTTAGTAATTCGTAATTTGTTTTATAATAACGTTTATATGTCTATCGTTGGGCATACCAGGTAGAGAGAGGGGGGCCTAAAACCCGTGTCTTTATGAGAATTAGCTCCCAATGAAGTATATAGTATAGCCAAGTGTAAATATCAATAGTACATCAATGTAAGTTACCTACTGATAACCAAATAGAATAGTTACAAAACAAGTATAGGTGACCACAAAAAAATAGGTGTGTAAGTTCACATGTTCTGCGTTGAACAAAGCAATGTGGTCGTTTCCAAAAGTAATATTATATTGGCTTAAAAATAGGCATTTAAAAAAAAATTATTATTTCGATAATTCATGTTTATTAAAGATATTATTATCTGCACTGTACAGAAAATAATCGAACCGTGTTTACCTGGAATTAACTTTTGGAATATAGAAAAAAAAATAATGAGCATAAAATCCTCATGGTTTATTCGTAATAATATACGTTTTAATTTTAAAAAAAGTTTCGGAACTTTTTTTTTTGTAGTCCCGTAAGATTATTTCATCCAAAAATTTAAACATGTAACGAACGGGGAAAAAAATAATAACCGTGGATATTTCAGGGGCATTTGTTGTAAAAAAACCAAAAATGTAACCTTTCAAATAATCCACTACACAATATGTGTGCGAACCTGACAGTTTTCCCGAAGTAAAAACAAGTCACATGTGGCTGTTCAATTGGCGCGTCGGTTATAAAACTGTTTAACGGATGGTCCATATCATTATTATTATGAAAAAATAAATCGAAAATCAGTAAATTATTACAACTTGGAGAAGATTCAAAAACGAATGGTCGAAAATGTATGTAAAAAATCAATATAATATTATTTTATGGGAAATCATTTCTCAACGCAATAATATACGATACGAAACGCAATAATATTACTATGTTGTATCGTCGATTTTCTTATCGGGTTAAATTGCCATTTGTGGAAACGAACCGAATAAACTATTTTTCATTCCACGGATGTCGTCGGAAGAAATTATCTCGGATGACTGAAAAAATAATATAGGTACCTAGTAAATTCTATTAGAAAAAAAAAACCTCAAGTATCTTATATCCTCATAGCTATAGAAATAATATTATAAAACCGATAGAATTGTCGTCGATACGAGCGTGTATACATAGACATCGGTGAAAAGTTCAAAGACGATGGACTTGTATTTCAGAAATTATATAATGTCTACCCTTTAAAATTATATGCCACCATAGCGCTGTATATCGCCTCAGGAATCTATCTTGAGCTATCTCTTTCCAGTTTTCAACTTTCACATTTTTTTTTTTTTAGTTTTTTTGTCAGCCACGTCAATCCGGCTTTTTCTGGGTCCTCTTGGAGACCTTCTTCCTTGGGGTTTTCATAATCGATAGGAAATGAATCGCGCAAGATGCGATTTTAATTGTTAATGGATGTACGATGTTTATTCAGAACTGTTTGTGCGTTCAATTATTCGTGCCATGAATAATTATGATCCGACGGGAAAAAACAATCGTTTGGGTGGATTATTCTCATATACATTTTCAAACTTATCGTTCGTCAATATAATATTTTTGTAACGTCCATATAGGGACATCTGAACTATGTCCCTTTGGCTAAATAAGAAAAATTACAAGTATTGAATATTAAGTGATATTAACAAACACAAACATTAGGATCTCCCCCTCAAAAAAAAAAAAAAACTAGACTGAGGTTTGGTGGACATGTGTAGGAATCGGAAGGATTATTCGGAAAAATAATCGAAATGGTCACCGGATGCCAAATGGCCAAGAGGACGTAATAGACAAAGGCGGTCGGACAAATAGTAAGAGACGATTTATGATACGTATACTTATACGACGAAGCACAGTTTTTCATGACCTTATTTTAATTAAAAACACAGATTCCGCTGAATAAATAAATCCCTGTATCTTACTGCAGGTGAGATTTATCGAAGGCGCTTTGTTTCAAGATTAATTTACGTTTAAATCTGTGTTTTTTTTTTTTTTTTTTTTGTTAATATAATTTCCTTTCACAACCTACAAATCGCAATTCTTCCATCCGCCAATCAATATCAATAAACATTTTATTGAAAATCATGAAAACGAAGACCAGCGAAGAGGGGTGGGGGGTGGCTTGGGGCGGAAAACACTGCAATAAGGAACACGTATTTAATTATAATACGGCTATTAATAAATTTCGTTTGAAGCATCGAGTTTGAGTAATGTCCCTGCCGCCGGCATAGTTTGTGCAGCATTTTGTCTGTATTGTACGTATTTATATATATAAATATATATACGTACACGCCTACCTATAAGACGAATAATTAATCTACACCTCGAGATAGTACGTTGTTCCTGATCGCGGGGTATTAATCTAACAAGATAAGACCTCGGCTGCAGTAGTAAGTTTCAATTTGCATACCGGCGGCTCGATAATAAATCCTAAACCCCTAAACGGCAATTCATTGCCCGTTTAGAACGGGACGCATTTCGAGTAAACATTATTATCATTTATTACTATCACGTGTACGTTTCGAATACGTTTTACAATACTATAATTGTAATAACCTGTTTATTTTTTCGTTTTTTTTCTTATTAAATTGCAATGCTGTCCGCCGCGTATGCTACAGTGTGTTTTTACATACAGACTGGGACGACTCGACCGGGGCGGTCGGTTCTTGAATTTCGGTCGGTACACGGTCGATTAATCCTTTTGTGGATAAAGGAAGCTTGTTAGGGCCCAAAAGTCAGCCGCCACCGACGCCGCACCGGTGCGTGTGGTTAGATTAAAACGGACAAAGGACGATATATATTATATACTGTGGCAACGACGGGAATGGAAATCGAGAGAGAAAGAGAGAGAGAGAGCGAGAGCGTGTGTGTGAGATAGGGGAATAGGAAATTGGCTTGTTAAAAGTTGCCATGTCGTCGTCCGAGTCGATTTATATTTCCACTACGATACAAAATATATATAAACCGTATAGGTACCTATAATAGAATCGCTGGACAAGGTTTGAGATTCATCCTCCCCCTCCCCCTGCAAATCGCTACTATAATATGAAACCGATGGACTGCGAGTGAGAGAGAGAGAGACAGAGAGTGAAAATATTTGACGAACCATTCGGCAGACGCGCAGCATGTGATACTCAAAACGAAATAACTTCTCGTGTGTACGGCTAAAAAAGACAATCGCAATGCGAATGACGAAACAATAATAATATACAAAATGGGTTTCGAAAAGTCCTATAAAATATTATTGAATATCGTAGCTGACTGCAGGACGGTCGCAAAACTGCAAAAGTCAGATTAGATGGTATTGTGTCGAGGTCTAGGTATGATTCTTCGTTCACCAGCGATATGTTTGTAACAACCTTATATTGTTATTATAACAATAATATCCATTGTTGTTTCGGCTGTTTTGAGCTACACAAAAAAAAAAAAAAAAAAATTAACCAAAAAAACGAATTCCTATAGTGAATGTTATGTGTTGACTTTTTTGAGGTTACACAAATATATTTTAATCGAATTTTGTAATCTAAATGCACGTCAATCTTCGATAATATTATGTAGAAATTCTCGTAATTAAATGCGAAAAAAACGTAATTGATTTTATACAGACTTGACGAAACGGGTTTTCAATTAGTGTAATATTCACGGAACTTTCAATTAAACGAATATTATTATGATAATTATTCTCAAATATCTAAAATGAATAATTACATTTTATTGTAATTTCATTAACGAAAATGAAGAATATATTAATTAACTAATGGCGATAAAATATAAAAGCAAAAGGAGAATCATTTTGAGTGCATGCTTTTGGAAACGTTCCAATGCCATGCGTTCCGTTTGGTGTGTCATGATATCAAGGGACGAATGTTTGTGCTCTATCGGCTTGTCGTGGAAATATTGTTTTATGTTTTTTTGTCGGGCGTCTTTTTTTTTTTTTTCAAAAATCTTTCGGTGTTATTAACTTATGCTGTTTTAGAATCAGTTATTTTTTTTTTTTTTTTAAACCGCACCTTTGAAAAAGTCAAAGATTTACGAATAACGCAAGTACCTGCGTGTATAATATTATTTTATAATACCTATGTAAATGTATTCGATTTTACTACAACGTCTCACCGTTAATAAAATATGCGTTTTCGTGTAACGCACCCGCATCGAAGGAAATCCTATGACAACCTGAAATCCTAAACATATTAATGTTTACTAAATCTAAGTTCTTAGGTCTTTTTTATTTTGTTTCGTTTTGTTTTTTTTTTGTTTTTTTTTTTTATTAATTCGTCAAGTCATTAAAATCCTAAACAAACGAATATTATAACCGAATATGCAAATCTTAATCACTGTTCTTGTACTACGTGTGCGCCACTACCGGGACTTACGGAAACTCGGGGCAACGAACGGTCGTTCATTGCACGTACTACACTACACAGCAATAATGTTTTACCAAAACACGAAATAACAATAATAATATCCGGGGGAACCGAGCGGTATTATCGCGTTCGGATTATTTAAATTCACGACGCGCTTTCCGAAATTGATCTCCGAATCCTGCAACCAACCGCTGCAGCCGGCGGCATTATTACAAAATTATGGGAGGGGGGGAGACCGTTTTTCCCTGTTCAGACGATAGGGTTAACAATTTCGTTACGTACGACGCTAATATAAATGTTACCGAACAAGCATAATTCCAGCGCTGTTTTCCAAACGCCTTGTCTCTTCGGGTTCTGTTTCAGCACTAGTAGCGGCTTTCGGCTTCTCCGCGCACGCCTAGCCTGTTACGGTCTCATGTTTTTGACGATCTCTAAAATATTGTGATCTGTAGCACTCTGGTGTTCTTTGTCTCCGCACTCCGGTCACGTCATCCTTTACCGGTCTAAATATATGTTTCGTCGCATTTTCCCTTACAATACCACGCGTCATTTTGAATTATTTTTATCGTTTGACCGTGCTACGAACCCGATTTTGGCATTAAATCTAAATGACAAACGATTTCAGTTTCGTTATAATATGAGTTTATTTAGATTTTATACAAACAAGGTGAATGCTGATCCAACTAAGTAGATTCACTCGAAATTATTTATCTCGAAAAATATTAACTTTTTTCATGATTCGTTTAATAGAGCATTTAAGAAACAATTAGCTTTACAATGTTACATTAATGTTATTTTTTGTCACCCTTATTTGCGGGGGTAACACTACTCCCTACTTTTAATTTTCAATTGACAATTTATATTACATAATTTATTTCACATATAAAATTGTACTACTAATTTGAAATTGCTTGTTTCTTAAATGCTCTATAAAACTAATTCTGAAAAATGTTAATCCTTTCCGAGATAATGAGTGTATCCACCTCAGATTGCAGGATCACATCGTAGTAGATAATACCTCAAAGGATACGGTTTTCCGTCTAATGGATGTTTATTTGACCAACTTTTATAGGTTCTAAACATGTCAGCTCTTTTTTCACACTTGAATTTTTGAATTTGAATTTGAAGGTTTCTTTTTTTTTTTTGTATTTTTTTACTCATTGATTTGTGGTTTTCTCGGGGCGGGCCAGTCAGTTAGAACAACAATTAAAACTTAATATTTTCACTAGACAGGTATAATTATTTATGTAATAGCCTGACTATTTCTTAGGCGTCGTTAGCGATGCAAATCAACAGTCGGTGTAGACTTATTGTTGTCGAAACGATCTTACGCTTTTATTCGTTTACTAATCGACGGCCGTAACGGCGACATGCGCGAGCAGATTCCGACCGCATTTTATAGTAATTAATCGTACCTTCACATTATAATATTGTATAATATCTCGGGACTGATTGTTTATTAATAATAATTATAATCGTTTAAAGTTTACACTGCGACGGGCCCAACGTAAGGTGAACTTATAGAAACGCATAATCCGCGTCATCATAATAGCTCAGTTTCGGTTTAAACTCGCATTAGTTTAACGAAGTATAACAAAGAAGCTATTAGTTTCACGAAAATGTATTTTTTTTTCTCGGAAGACGTTTGTACGGTTAGTAAAAATGATCTAATTTTTCACCTGATGTACTTTATGTGAAACATATTTCGAAATTCTCAATACTTTTTCCAAAATATTATTTTGTTTTGTATGTTACTATTCTTTTTCATGTTTTTTTTTTTTTTTTTAATGGTTGGGAAAATGCTCCGTTTTTTTTTTACGTATTACTTTAAACGATGAGGAATTTATTCCCCTTGAAATTGTTTTTTCTCGTTTCGGTATTAAAATCTAAGATTGCAAAAAATTATACAATACTACATAAATCGTATAATACAGACGTCAGACGTGTACTTAACTCAATTTTTATTGTAGAAAAAATAGCGAAATTTCCGAAATTCAAAGATGGGGCCCCGTATAGAAAAATTTGAAACTACAATTTAACAAAACAGCTTCGGGATGTTACTAGAAACCATAATATCGATTGTCCACCAAACAGGCACGAAGATAGAACATTTTCACTAGGTGGACCATTATTTGAGAAGTCCTTTGCTCGAGATTTCTTATGTTTAAAATAAAATGTAGTTAAAAGCGCATTATAACTATAAATGGTTTTTGAAACCAAATAAGTCTTTTCGGCGGGAAAATAAAACCTCGACATGAAAACTAATAATAATATCTGCCACGCTCTACACAGAATCCAAATAAAGCACTCAATTTGCAAAGGTATTCCGAAGAGTTATAGTTTGTGTTATTGCACAGACGCGACGAGACAGCCCAGCCTGCAATAAATACGGCTACAAAACACAATAATGTTATTACAATACAAAATGTGTGTCATTTAATGAACGTGTGGAACGGATATTGGCATTTCGGTAATTCCACGCGGTCCCGACAAAGTCCTAAAATTGAAATACGTAATACACCACGTGGCTTTCGCTAATAAAGGTACACAAAATCTACAGGCAATTGAATTACGTATCCGCAGAGTAAATTCTATAACGAATGGTTGTAACAAACCGTTGAGCTACTGATTAAATTGTTTGTAAAACGAGATTTCCCGACGAAGAAAATAATAAACTTACGATTAAATTATTCGAACTTAATCAAAAACAAAATAAAACAAAGTACATATGTCTAGGTACATAATTATGTATCGATCGTTATAACAATCAAAATTTCGTTAAGAGGACGCCACGACCGCATGCGCTGTCTCCATCTTATAAACATACAACATAGTAAATTTTATAATCAGCCGAGAAAACTTTGTGCTGTTAGTTTTAATGCTGTTAGATTGAATCGATCGAACTTAAATATAAGAAGAACTAAATTAACGTGTGCAACTATGTTGAGTATTTTTTCGATATTTTAATTTTTTTAGCGAGATATAAACATGACACGAATTTATCACAATTTAAAAATGCTCACTTAAAAATTAAAATATCAACCAAAAAAAAAAAAACCCCGACACAGTCGTATGGATAATATATTTATCTTTAATGGACACTATGTCAATTCAATCTAATATTAAAAATATTAACACAAAGTCGTCCCCGTTGAACGCAAATTTGCTATGTCATACGTTTGTAAAACAGATACAGTACATGCGAGTTTTTTATTATGTCTATTGTCCGGCTAATCTGTACGATTTATAAAAATTGTATAATGAATACACATTAAAAAAAAAAAAAAAAAAAATGCACCTTTGAAAGCATAGTAAATGTTGTCGTCTTTAATTTGGTGAAATAATTTTTATTTTGTCCATACTAAATTTTGAGTCCTTATGGGAAGTATGAAAACACATTTTTACTGTATTACCCGTTAGATAGACAGAAACGGAAAATATTACTGTGAAGCCCTCTTAAAAGCATTACTTAAAAATAAGACGACGACGAGCAGCGCAACGAATAAATTTCGTTTTAATTTCTTTAAGCCGATGGCATTTCCGGTACTGTTTTTTTTTTAACATTTTCAACGGTTTCATAAAACCATGCAACTATCAATTGCATCACGTTTTTTTTTACGTTTTTATATTTGTACCAATAGATTTAATTGTAGAATGTTTTATTCTAATAAAAATTCTAATAAGTAATTGTGTATAGAACATAAATCTTACATAAAGTAATGTTAAGTGCATTACGTTTCAAAAATATTACTTTGGATTTTTTACCGAACGCACGCTAATATTTAACATAATATTTAAATATTGAATAATAATAGTAATAAAAAAAAACGTCCTATCAATTCGCAGTGCAGTTATCTGCAAGCTCCGTTCGGTTTATAAATACATTGATTTATAATTGCTTTTAAATTAAAAATAACAACACAGCCGGTGAGCCCTCCGGATGAAGAGTTTACAGGGCCTAAGGCAAATGAAAAAAAGAAAAACATCGGTTTTTCAATAACAAAAAAAAGAAAACAACATAATATAATAATCTTTTTATTTCCAAGATTAAACTTCATTTATAAAAACATTAAAATCAATGGAATTTAAATTAATTATTAAACAAAATAACGTGAGTGGCTGTACATCAAAGAGTTAAAAGTTAAAAGTGAAGTTAATTTTATTTTTAACTTAGCTCTTTAATAATATTTCATTAACTCAAATTACATATTTGTTCGATATTAATATTAACTGAGTTAATATCGAATTACACCTCGTTATGATCATTTAAATTGTATACATAAATAAATGTACTTACCATATAATTATACAATAAAATCGTTAATTGAAAAACTATCGTATAAATAATTGTTTACATATTTTTGCTCGATTTTCAATAAGAATTCAATAACCATTTTAGTAAAATAAGCATAATTTGTTACTTAAATAAATTAACTTTGTTGAAGTTAATTGAGTTTGTTAAGTTGAAAAATTAAATTTCAATTTAACCTTAGTCTTGCAAATACTCATGATAAAATAAAATAAAAAACATTTAACGCGCGTTAACTATTATACGTTGTTCCGATTAACTCAACCGAGTACTAAAAACAAATACTTAAATTAATATTACTCATTGATTTTCTTTTTGAAGATGTGTATTATTATCAATAATTAAGTAAAAACAAAATTATTAAAATGGTTAATACTCGTAAATAAATATTTAAATAAAAAATGTACATATAAAAATGAAATTAATAAATGAATCAATGCGTCGCCTGGAGTATTATGATAAGTGTATAATACGATTAGTTTCGAATTAAAATTCCATCAGGTGTACCACAGTCAAAATGCAAAACGCAACTTTTATTTATTTATATATTTATTTACTTTATGTATTATTATTGATGAAAATTACTACGATAACATTATTTAAATAAAAACAACTGTCTGTGATTCTTAAAACGAAATTATTTATTATATCGTCTTAAGACGATACTGGTTTTATAATTTATAATCAATACTTGTGTTAATTAAGTCTAAACGTGTATACAAAACGAATACTAAAAATATGTTGTTTATATATTTATTTTGCAATAAAACAATTTAGATATTTTTGAGTGCTCTCGAAAATTTTTGATTCCAAACGTCTGTCACCGAAACGACCGAGACCGAGAGGAAAAGTAGGTGTACGTCAGAATGTTTTATTTCTTGATTACGAGTCAAAAAAACTTATTTCCATCGCGCGGTAAAAATAAAATATAAGGTACATGGTAATAATTTCACGTCAAACAAAATTCATATAATATTTCATGTAGTAACACTGCATAAACACCGCGAAACAATTACGTATTCTCGGTTTGTATTACATTTAAATTCGAAATACGCTTTTCCGCGGTCTCGATAAGAGGCCTCACGTTTAGCCGTCGGGTTTCATTATATTCGTTTTGAGACGACAAAGTATAAATTGTTTCGGGCACCTCGCCGGGGTAAGTTCGACTTGGTTAGGTTGGATTTTGATTTTTATTTTATTTTGATTTCGAATTTTAATTGTATTGTTTCACGCCGCGCTTTTTGAATCCAAGTAAAATATTATTATCGATACATAAAAAACAAAAGTTGTTTTAAATAAGTGCTCAATAAAGTATGAAGTAACATACAAATGTAAAAACGTTTGTAGAACAAAAACAAAAAAGCTGTCCTAGGATAATGGGGATGGGTGCAGCCACTGTTACAAGTGAGAAGTTGACAAGGTAGTAGAGGGAAAATTCAATGTATACCTGTAAGCAACGATAAACTATTGCTAACAAAAAAAAACGATTCTGAGCTGAGTTCGTTTGATAGAGTTGCATTTTCAGCAGTATATATGCCATATTATGGTAAAACAGCTACATATGCATTGTATGTTTTCTTTAATATTATACCTATTTCCCCGTTAAATTTTATGTAGATCTTTTATTGTTGCAACAAATGTATTATTATTATTATTATTTTAAATAATCGAATAAACATCTTTGCAAAACCAATACATTCGTCGCTCCACTCAGTATCTAAAATGTAAATTGAAACCAGTCACATGCATACGACTGGTTTCGGTTTACACATAGTATAATACTGCAGGCATTTTTTTTGTGATGTTTCTACATACTACATGCATGAGAATGAGAATGTATTAGTTTTACAGAAATTTGTATTTATTTATTTTTTATATTGTGTACAAAAATTCTACCAGAAATCTTGCTCCGACATATACGTGCGGCACCATTCCTGAAAGGAAATATAGTCCAGATGGTACTTTTAGAAGGTAAATTTTTTTGATTTTTCGAACACTTTTCATAATATCTGGGATAAACCAAGATAAACGTTAATAAAAACGGGGAATTTAATAAAATAATGCTTTTATTATTTTTTCAATATATTCGCCTTTTCTATATATGATGCAAGTTTCAAAACATTCGAGCAATTTTTGAGCTGTTTATAGACATTTTAACTTTGTGAGTTCTGTACGTAATTTTTATTCGGCAGGTATTCTGTGGTCGAATTGTTAGACTTAATAGAAATACTTGAAAATTTAACAGAATGTTCCTTAAAAATCGTACTTTATAGTAAAAGAAATTTGATCTTAATATATAGTATTTTTTTTAAGAAATTTGTCTAGAATTCCGACTGTACTCAAATAGTACAAACAGCTATTTTTGGTTGCATTATCGTAACACATTTGAAACATATACTCTCCAAAAGCCTAAAATATACTGGGATAGCCCCCCTTCCCCTTTGTTCTCAAAAGCTTAAGCAACTTAACTTAGCTTGATTCATATGATAAATGCGTGCCGCAAATCATTTTTAAAATCCCCCCCCCCTATTATCTTGTCCTAGATCCGCCTTTGAATGAGTACTTTTCAGTCATATTTATTTTATTTATTTTACACAGGCATTTATTCGGCTTGTATTTAGATTTTTATTCACATTATTTTAGCTCGGGAAAAATGATTTGAATAATTTGCGGGGCACCTACTTCGAACAATATATCCAACGACAACGACGACGAGTAGGGGAATAAAAACGCGTATTTTATTTTGGGAGGCTTACATCGGGAGACCATTATATTACTATACATAAGAAAGGACGAGGACATAAAAAATAGTAGGGTGAAAAAAATAAAATAAAACGATATTATTATATTATGTTAAAATAAACGTCCGTCAACGATCTGCCCGCGAGTCCGGGGAAAAATCCGCCCCACAGCTGCAAGCGGAGATTTTGCACCGTATTGATTTTCGGGCCGACGGAACGTTTGCGGAAACGATAATAGTATTCCAATAAATAAAATGAAGGCTCCGTCAGAGACGTCTCAAGGATAATATTGTAGGTACAATACTGTTAGGTATATGCAGGTAGACGAGATTTTCTCGAGTAGGTATAATTTATATTACAGGATCCGGGACCGGAATTTCAGGAGTAAATTTCCATACAGGTATAGGTCAATATCAACTAACTTGCATATATATATATATATATATATATTATACCTAATAAAAATAATATGTGCTCGTTCGGCTTCGTTCGATTAAAATTCTCGGGTTCTATAATAAAGTGCTCATTGTTGTTCAACGGAAAACGGCCGGAAAATCATTGCGTTTTATTGTCGACGACCCCCTCTTTCCCCGGGACGTAACGCCCCGTCCAAATACGTTATTCAGAGAATTCCTGGAAAAATTGTTTTTGAAAATCCAAATTCCAGTTTCTTTAAAAATTTCAATCATAACAAATACAGCCAGTTAACAAATTAAGTGATACAATACGAGTAGTTAAAAGGTATAGTACCGATTACAATAAAACAACCAAGTCGAAATAATGAAATTATTCGTTTTCGTGAATTTTCTTTTAACGAAAATCGAAAACATTGAAACTAATGAAATCGTTAGCACCTTAAATATTTGTCCGGTTTTCCTGTACCATATTTGCAGGGTTTTCCAGCTGTTATGAAAACTACTTGGAAAATATAAAACAAAATATGGCCTTCTCAATGGACTAATTAGATCCGAAACGCTATAAAAGATTCTCCTTTTGTTATTTTTCGAGCGAGATTTATGGTAGAAAAGTTATTAACGGACCGGAAAAATATAAAAATTCGAAAACAAAGCCACCCACCATAGATTAAAATCAATACATTTCTCGTTGAGTCCAGAATCAGAAAAAGAAAAACCAAATAAACTCGAAATCATCGTTTAGATGGTTTGCTGGTTCACGTGGCTCGTATACAAGAATCGTCCTGTATAACAAATGTTTGATTCATACCGCTTGTGGGGAGAAAAAAAGAATACAAAATTTTAGTAAATAATATTATACGGTAGAATATTATTTCAGTGGATATTGTTATGTTAGGACTCTGGGATGGAGGGGAAATAGTCTACCGAGACGTAAACGCAAGATTGATGGCCGTCCTTTAACGCATAAAACAACACAGTATATTTTAACAGCGGTATGACATTTTAATACGAATTTTTTTTTTTATTTCTTCGGCCGTTGCCCGAGAAAAAATCGTTTTTGTAAATACCGTACACATTTAAGTTCGTATTTATTCAACGATTTTTTTTTTTTTTTTTTTTAATCAATTATTGTTCGGACCAGGCGGCCAATTTTTTACGGAGGTCTTCCAAACAGAAGTCCGTAGGACACCCAGTTGACTGCACAAATTGTCGTCAATTTTGTGTCCACTAGAATAAATGGTAAATTATATAGATAAACCGGCTAAAAAGTTGAGATTTTGTCATTCCATTACTCTTGGACTTTTTTCGTTTGTTTGATTCTTTTTTTGACAAGTGATAGTTTACTTCCTCGTATAAAATATTATCAGGGTCCAATAATCCAAACCAGTTAAATTTTACCTCCCCCCACTATATCAAATTTCACTAGTAAATATTTACCCCTAGCCAAATTTCTCTAGTGAAATTTAATGGGAAGGAGAGGGGTGATAAGGAGAGGATATATCACGTGGTCAATATTCATAGTCATAACGGTTCGGTAGATTCGATAAAAAATTGTTTTTCACAAATTTACAACTCAAATACAACGAATATAATAGGATATTAATAATAATAACCGCATGCAATTTAATGGATTATAATCCTATCCTTATTAAGGCGATCACATATTTATAATTGTATTGTTTTACGAAACGATCGCATTTGGTTTACGCGTGGTTTATCTACAATCAAAAAAAAAAATTGTATTTTTTGTACTCGTATAAAAATGAATTAATATAAATCAATTATACAATAATATTGATAAACAAAATCATTCTTTAACATTAAATAAATAAATACCTACTGGTTTAGTCGGTACTAATATTCTACTTAAAATGTACTTTATATTAATTCAAATATCTTACTCCATAGGTGCAAACAGGGATGAGAGATTTGGGGGAACTTAGCCCCTCGTCCAGGCCTCCTAAATCGAGTCCTTTTAATGTATACTCATAATCAATATTAACCTGAAATATTTGAACTATTTGTGCCTTACTTAAATTATTGAACGGATATGGTTATGTGTATTCTTGTCTGGTTTAAGGGGGGGAGCTACAAGCTGACCTTCGTTTTCATAGAAATATTTTCGATATTTGTGATGTATTTCCGAAAAATTCAGATGGGGGGGGGAACATCCTTTTTATGCTTTTCTATCGGGTGTCTGTGATATTGTATATCTAATAATATCATACAAGTCCTTTAAATATTTTAGCGTGTAATTATTTGTTTTAAAATTATTATGGGCGGATGATCCGGGGAGTTATTAGTTTTATAATGATGCATTTTTTCCCTTGCGACATTTTATAGGACGCAGTAATTATTATGCTCGAAAAGTTTCGTGCTGCAGAAACTTTATAGCCGGGTAATTGAATGCATACGGTACCTACCTAACTACTCTAAACGGGTCATTTTTATAATTTACCAGGTCACAAGGGTATATGAATAAATTGCGAAAAACTGGACGACCTTCAAAAAAGACGGTACAATATTACAAACCGTATTTTGTATTCGTTTATTATAAACCATTATAAACTCCGATGAATTAAATCGTTTTTTGTGTAAGAATATTTGGATGTTTGAATTTTTTGCATCTAAAGTAAATGAGCAGTGAAACGAATGACGCTCAATATTCCAATCACTTGTGTTTTTCAAAAATTTATTTTCCACGATGTAAAATTAATAGAGCAGAATGTTTTTTTTCACTTTAGTGAAGTACATTTTATACTTAAAACACCACATGAAAATTATGAAAGTCATCGATTGATTGAAAATGAATTGTATAGAGTTTGAAAATGTTTGGAAATTATATAGAAGATACTACGTCGAACCTATTGTTTTGTTTCTTTGTCAAGAATATTTTAAAGTACAATATTGTATAATGGTTAAATTTTTTGATTCGTACATGTTGCAGACCCTAATAGAGTTGTATTGATTGTGGGGGCCCAAGAGTTCACAATTTATAATAAGGAAAATAATACATTCAAATAATAATTAACACTTGTCTGATGAAAGTAGCATATTATATATTTTTAGTCCTATATATAATTAAGTAGATCGGGTTAGTTTTATGTGCATTAAATGTACAGTAATGTTTGTTAATTGTCTTGTGTTATAACCATGTTCAATACTAGGTATTAAGTTATTTATAATCATATAAATTACTGATAGAACGAATTATAGAACAACTTTTTTAACGGTAGAACATTTAATTCTTTGTATAGATAGTCCGTGTGTCGTGTGATACAAATGATTATTTTTTTAAATAATTTGTATTATTCTATTTTGCATTGTTTTTTTATTGAATTTAATTTGGTATCGTAGGTACCTCCCCAAATATTATACCATACTTAGTTATATATTCTACTAGAGTTTGGTACACAATTCTAATGTTCTTGATTTCGAGCAAATTGATTAAAATTTTGAAAGCATAGGTTATTTTTCTTAGTTTGACCGCTTTCTGTTTTATATGGTCATGCCATATAAGGTTATGGCATATTTCAATGCCTGAGTATTTACTAGATTTTACTATTGTAGTTTTAGTATTAGTGTAGAACAATATTGGTCCAAGTAAATATACCCTAAACAAACAATTAAAGTTAATTTTAATTTCCTATATTAGACAGCTTACTTAGATAGGGCTTTAAATCGATTAAAATATAACTGCTAGATTTACGAACATATTTTTTGGACTGCCTACATATTATCAAGAAAGTTATTAATTGTTACTTTTTGTTTCCGAATTATTGAAACTCTTTAGAAAAAAAAGCCGAAAAAATGGGAAAGGAGGAGGTCGGAAACGCTGATTACGCCACTGCACCGCAATGAACTGCATTATTTTTTGTAACTGTGTTTTTCATTAAATATTAATCGGGACAAATTTTGTTTAAACTCGTATACATATTGTATAACATATTATATAATATAATTAAATTGTTTATAAAGTCACGTTCGTTTCCCGGTCCCGTTATCACAGCGGTGAGTACTTGACAAGAATCAAGGAAGTATAAATATTATTATCGTCATCACTGCGGAACGTATAAACGCATTATAATCCTGTACGTCCTTGAAATATTAACTAACGTACTACGTAGAATACGAAAATCTTTCTGAAATAACACATACGTAAGTGCTTCTGTCACTATATAATTGCCTTTCACTCCGAATACACAAGAATAAGCCATAATATATAGTCGTAATTTGAAAATGATTTCGAAAACTTCAGGTCAAAATATGATAGGTAAAGCAGAGACGCCGATTGCATGGGGGCTCCAGAGCCGCAGCCTCCAAAGAAAAGTTTGAGTTAGGGCTCAGCCATCAAAGAGAGTTACTGGAGCAAAATATATTTCTTCCTAAAAAAAAAAAAGTATTTTCCTCTTATTAACCTACTCGTTGGTGTTTGCGCATTGTTTCGTTAAAAAATTCATAAATATATTTTGCGGTTTTGGTTGAATTTTTAAGCAACATGTCAAAAGAAAAAAAATGAAAATGGTGCTGAAAACAAGTGGCTTTTTTTAAACAAATAATGAAATTATGTTTTTTTATTTTTGTTAAATATTATGATCAGTATTTTTGATAGAATATAAATTATTAATGCAAAACTACAAAAAGTTGCAGTGTGCTTTCAAGAAGCTCAACACAAAGTTAATAATTTCGTAGAGTCTATACAATAACACTGAAATTCTGGCTTTGATTATATCTGAAATAAATCAATTTTAAAATTAAATGAGCTGAATTTGAATGAGCTTAACTCACTAAGGGTAAAATAAAACACCAAAAAGTTAGACAGGAGTCGATTCATGCAATCTTTCAACTATCAAAGATCAATATAGGACTTTATTTTATGAGATTGTTAGTGTTTCTTTATTTTCATCGAATTTCAGCGATTTCATAAAAGTGTTATTGAACATCTTTCATTCTTAAAATATATAGTTGGTAAAAACACAGCTACAAATATTATTGGTTTTTATGAAACAGATTTTGACAAAAAATAAATTAAAACTACATAAAGATATGTTGTTAGATATAGCTGAGTCTAGAAAAATGTCTATTTATAATTCTAAAGGTGTTATTAAACTTCTAAAAATGATAAACTTCTTCGTGACCTATTACCTAACCAAACCTTATAAATATAAACTGGTAAGAATTCATTATATTAATAATTCAGGTATCTTCTTGTACAGCTGAATGGTCTTTTTCAGCACTTCGAGGACTTAACAAATGTTTAAGATCAACAATGAGCGAATCACGTTTGTAAATTTCTATATTCCATATTCGTAGAGATAAAAAAGTAGCTCTATCAATTGTTGATAACGAATTCATTAATAAAATTAAAGTTAGAGAGAATACGTCATTTTCTTTAAATTAATGTGATATTATTAAAATAAAAAAAAAAATTAATTAATATTTTTAATTTATTGCGTGTTAAATTGAGAGTCAGCGGTTCCCAACCTTTTTAGTTGTGCGAACCACTAATTTTGAAAAACTTTAAGGCCCACTAAACTAATATACAGGTAAAAATAAAAACAAATAGACACCTATGATTAATATATTATATTATAATGTTGCATATTGCATACACATCATTAATTAGGTATGTTTACTATAGAAAACAATTAAAAACTATTTTTTTTATAAAAAAAGAAGTTTATAAATGTTTTTGACTTATAAACCAATGGTTAGAGTTAAAATAAAATCAATGCGATTTTTGACATTGCTTTTCTCTTACGAGAGAATAAATATCGAGATTAAATTTATCGCAACGTAAAATTCACGCCGATCATGATAAAATACGATAAAAATTAGAAAAATATTCTAGAATACTATTTATAAGAAAACGACAATCAATATAATTTTACAACTGCGATAATTGATAATATTACTAAATCTCGATCTAAATATAGTATATTAAAATAATATACATTATTTTTTAATTTTTAATTTTTAAATTAAATTTCTATTTAATCCAATTTTAAATGACCGTTTATAAAAATCGTAATTATTCAAAAATCAAAAATGGAAATCAATGAAAAAAATTCAATTCTACGTGTTTTCCTGTGTTTCTTTTGGTATACAATACGCTCTATATTATATTATTATGTGACATCCGTGTAACACCAAGGTCATCTGTAAATCATCAAAAATTATTATATTTTCTTTCTAAAAACACCAAAAGCCCCATGTCAGCCACCATCTAGGGGTTGAATTTTGATAATCCGTCTTTGATGAGATGCACACTGACCCTGCGTTCAGGTGCTTCTATATGCGAATTTTCAGACTTCCGCATGCGGTAGATACGCGATAAATATGATTCGAATGTGGATCAAGCACAAAATTCATTAAATCCATAGTATTGAGTATCTACACCACTATCGTGGTCGTTTTTGAAGTATCTTTTCCATCCCTGACACAGAAAATCACTTATTTTCCTTAAAAAATAGATGATATTAAATAATATAACATTTGTTTATTTTTTTTTATTTTAGATATACTACATTGGCTAAAATGGTAGACACCGATACCGGCAATCTTTTCATCGTCGGTTCATTCAACAAACATACCGATCCAGATTTCAAAGTAAGTGCGCACATCTCCGTCACATTATTTTCGATCGCGTAAACCCGAATGCATCATATTATAATCGGATGATATTATTGCGTGTGCCTTATACACAAAAGCTTACGCAGCTGCAGCTGCAGCGTTCAAACGAATTTGTCTGATCGGATTTTTTCTCTCCGTTTGTTTGACAATAACTGCACGGTTTTATTTAACATTCAAAGTATTGTAGTACACAATAGGTACATAGATCGCATTAAAACTGTAATATTTTATTAGCACTATTTTTTATGATATTCTGTTTCGCGTATACTAAAAAAATGGATAGTGCGCATACCGCGCGACGAAGATTGTTTTCTTTTTAAGCGAAAAAGATATATATGAATGGGTTTAATACAAATAGCGCGGACCCGGATGGTGACCGTGGAAATAAGAATGGCCCCGGGGCCGAGGTGTCGCACAAAAAGTTTTGAGAAAAAAGAACAAAGAAGTTTTGTCAGATGACTAATGTTTGGAGACAAATAATCTATGAAATAGCTTAAGAACTCGGCAACGTTACAAAAATAAAAAAAAAAAGAGAGTGATGAACTTTTACGCGTATTCTTTCTTCTCTTTTTTTTTTTCGTTTTTTTCAGTTGCAGTCTGCCGTGCACTCAAAAACTTTGAAAAACACATTTTATTCGGCCGAACACATTTTTTTGAAACAGAATTAAATATTATTTCGGGTTAAACAGGATTGCGTACGACGTTAGTTGATTTGCGGTTACTCGATTGCGCACGAAATGTTAAGCGTTATTGCCAATTTTCATACCGGTGTTTATACCACACGAGTGAACCTGATAAAAATTATAATTCATAAACACTTTGCGTTTTTCAATAAACGTTTATTGTTAACAATATCGACGCAACATCAAATACATTTTAATATGCTGGAAATTTCGTTATTTCAAATGTGTATGGGTATTTTCTGTTCTCCGGGTCGTCATTGATCGTCACGCGCGTGCGTTTTGTCGACATTTAGTAATATCGAAAATTATTTTGTATTAAACTTAAAAAATCGAAAATAGTTGGTGTTTTTTTATTTTAATAAATAAATAATACCGATTATTCAATTAATTAATAACGGGAAAATAGAGAAAATGGCAAAATAGTATTTTATTCGAATTCGAACTATTATAAAGGTTTATGACGAGTATAAAATCCATATGAATATGCTGAAATATTTAAAAGTATATGGTTATAGGTGTTCAGAAACTAAAATTTAGATATTTCAAAATTGTTTAACTATGATTTTATTAATAATAATATTCTACTTTTTGCAGTTCAGATAAAATGATTGTACTAGTTAATTATTGAGTATATAGTATATAAATTTAACTACTTTGCATACAAATTCGTACGCGATTATGTTGATTTTATTATTTTTTTAAGTATTCTTTAATCCATCGAAAAACATACGCCTTCGTGTTGTCGAAAAGGACAAACGTACTCAATCTTTTTCTACCCATTTCGATATAATTTGTCAGACCTCCGACACATGAAAACATTTGAGGTTTAACTTTTTTTTTTGTCAATTCTGTGTTGAATATTTTATTTTAGCTGCTGCGTAAGCGTATTTCATAGTATTAGAAATCAGAAAAACAATTCCAATCACAATCAGTACGACGTCAATTAATGACATGAAATTATTGCCGCGACAATTCGGTGTACAAAGTTTGCAATGTACATTTCACGTAAGCCAGTGACCTCAAAAATCAAAAACTTCAATTCAAAATTGTCTTTCGATTATTTTTTCGCATCCGTTTTGGTTTTTGTAGGTAGTTAATTATAAAGTATCAATTTAAATGTATGATATACGTAAATGGTGGACAACTTATATTAGATTACCTACTCTATCCCTCTCTCTCTCTCTCTTCCAATGTCATGATTACTTTTCAAGAGTTCTCTTCGCCACCTGTCTCTATCTAAAACTGCTCTGTCCAGTATTAAATTCTCGGATCTTCCAAATCTTCTTTCACCAAGGCAATCCGTATTTTCCTGTATCTTCCTCTAGGTCGTTTTTCTTGCATTTTCCACTCAATTACTACCATAACTGCTTCTCTATATTCCCTACACTAATAATATTATAGTTTATTTATCAAAGTACAAACGATTCTATAGAAGTTTTAATGTCAAAAAGTACTTATTAACAGAGACGTATTTACATTTTTAACGCCATTAAGCATTTTTTTTTTTTTTTTTTTGTAACACACTGAATTTTGAGCTGCACACTTTACAGCTTGTATTAATTTTGGGCTCTAAATCACATTATTTAAGACCCTGCTGATGGGGTTGATATTTAAATAAAATCTGATATTTTACCATATTAAGATTATGAAGCTTTCTCGAAAAATGGTGCCTGGAGTTGATGTCCCCCCCCCCCCCTCCGGAGCTCCTAAATACGTCCTCAGTTATTATTAACTGTAGTAAATAGTAATACAATATGCCAAGACAGTAAAAAATACGAATTTTAAATAGTGGATTTCAAAATAAAGCCTGGCACACGAGCACCGGAATTCACACTTAGTTGTGGTATGATGTGATAAGATAATTATTACGGTGATTTCGTTTCTGCGTATCGAATTAACGATCCCCTAATATTAAATTAAAAACTAATTACTATATTAATGAAGGTCAAAACGGCAAGTGTATAGTATGGGGTGTTTTTTTTTTTTTACCGAATCGTTATTCCCTATATAACGGTTTAAACGAACGACGTATTTTAGTGAATTAATTTTTTTTTTTTTTTACATTTTTTTGTAAACCCCTCGACAATAGCATGACATTGTACATACAATGCTTACCGAAGAGGAGACGGTTTTTTTTTTTTTTTTTACAGTTTTAGCTGCACATACTCACTGATAGGTGGCAGCGGCGGTTCACAATGACGTGAATAGATGTTATTTTTACGCTTGTTTTTTTTTTCTCTAAAAGGCACTGGCAGTTAAAAGTCGGCAACAGCGGTTATACACTTTTCGAGTGATATTAGGTAATTGAAAGTGCACTATAGAAAGCCCTTCGGACGCAATATTATTATCGTTTCGGGACTATATCCAAGTTACATTTGGGGACGTGTTGACCGAGATATATAATATTACGTATTTTGTTTATCCAAAGGAAAATGTTCGCGTCACGTCAACCGCATCGACCGTCAAAAGTCAATAACGTATCATATTATAATTAATATAATAATATAATTTAGGATATGAGTTGCGAGTTTTTTTTTATCGCGATCCAACGATAGTCAAAATTACGAAGGTTTCAAGTGAAAAATGGATTTTGTTGTTGTATTTGTTTTTTTGTCAGACGTTACGAAACCGTTTTCCGCACATTCATTTTAATACGTTATTTTCGGGTTGAAAAATATTATGATCACATCGTCCCAATATTTTATTACTATCCGAAATAAAATCGGTATAAATATAGGTATTCGAGATTAGTAAATTATATTACGGCGTGTGCTTCGTAGATATTTTCTAGTACTATGTAATTTGAAAAAAAAAAAACAAATAAATATTACGGCGACGGATCAACACGGCTCGAGAAATAAAAAAAAAAAAAAATAACAGTGCGCTCGTCGTCAAAAATAATAGTTCGAGGCACCACCGGAATAATACACACATCTGCCGTGCAATGCTGCCGTAAAAAAGTAATTGAAAATACTGCGTCTGAACACGCAGTATACTCGTATACGTCCTGTTCCCTATTATTTATGCAAATTGCACTGTTTTGTTTGCCCTATATAAAAACGGATACAAAATTAGTTCACGTTTTAATTGAATGAAACGAAAATTCTTTTTAATAACGTAGTTATGGTACGTATGGTAGAATCGATATTGCGTTTTGGGGTGTAGGACGTTTCATTATTACAGGTGCAATAATTACGCGATTTTGATAAATTGAGAACGAACGAAAAGATTCTGTCTATTTATTTTTCTGAAATATCACTTTTTTATTTGATTGATGTACAGAAAAAAAAATTGCCTATTGATAAGCTTTTCTATTTTAATTTGCCGTTTTCAAGTGAATAACTTATTATTTGAAAAAAAAAAAAACAAATCTATAATCAAATATTGTTCTCCTTTTTTTTGAAATAAAAAGGTTCTACACGGTAATTTTTTCAAGCATGCTCAGTTATCATTCCATTTTTACGATTGAACTATGCATACGTTTGAAATTTTCGAGCGGGGTGAACGACGATACTTTTGAATAATTCGATTTTTCACAACATTTAAGAAGTACCGTGTGATAGACACCGACTTTGGTATTTCAAATGTGAATCCAACACGTTTTAACGAAATTTGTCAATCGGACTATTTTTCTGAAAATGTTGACGCGTTGTAATCAAAATTCAAGCGAAAATTGTCTGAGTTATTTTACTTTAAATTGGTGCTACGGACATAATAGCCTTTTGTGGGGATTGGATACCGACCGTTTCCCAGAAGCCGCGTGTTGGCATTTTCTTGTTTTTATGCGTTATGCGGTGTATTTGTGTGAGAAACGATTGTTAGCGTCTGTGATTGTCTGTTACGCTAAAAATGTGAACGATTCAACGAATAAAGTGAGTCTTCCCGGAACGACTCACAACTCCCGTATCGAACGATACGCGTTAGAAGACTCGTCCGCGTCTCGGGACCCTATTCTCAGAGTCATACGAACAGGATCCGTACATTGGAAACTGTCCTTTTAACGCGAATTTTCACGTGATGAAAAAAAAAAAAAAAAGTCGTATTCTCAAAACGTATCCGTAAACGAATCGGTTGCGTTATGTGAAAAACATTCGCGCGATTGTTTTTGATGGGGCTAGGCAGATGGACACAGTTTTCCGTATACGGATCCAATTTATACCGATATTAATAATCGTTTGTTGGATTTTCGCCGTATAATACGTTCATAGGAACGATAGTATGATACGTCTGACGTCTGTCACGCGGTGAGTGGCCATTTGAAAATCGTGCGTTCAATACTCGTTTCGGGTATAAATGATTATTTATGGGGTAAACATTTGAAAAGTAGTGTTACGATGAATATTACGTTTTAAGGTTTATTCTGATGTTTATAAGTTCGCGAAAAAAAATTTAAAAAAATCAAATTTACCGCGTATACTAGAAAGTCCTCGGAGAAAATCGCTGGGTAAACAAATACCCTCCCCTCCTCCCCCCGTATAATTATACCGCCGGTAGGTGCGTAATAATAATTTAAAACGGATATTATAATATAACATACGCGTACGTTAAAACCGAATCGTGAATCGCGAATTGATTGTCGCGCGATGAAAAACGTTTGTTATAATGATATGTGCGTGTATCGTCACGGGCTCAAAGGTTTAAAAGATCCGAGTATTGTACGATTCGTTCGTGGTTTATTGGTAATTTCGTTATTGCGCGTACGTGAACGGCACCGGTATCGCGCCAATCACCTCGAACCCTGTGCAATGAAATTATTAATTATTGTATTGCGCGTATTTAGTATATAATTGCAGGTTTTCGAATAACGATAATGTCGGCGGCGGGTACAAAATCGCGGATTTCCGCGGCCCGCGTTACGGATTAACTTCCGATATTGTGTAATCTGTGCCGAGGCGAACCACTGACCTAACCTAAAGCGAGTGTGGAGGGCGGAAGCGGGATAGCGGGAACAGTCCTCCCCCGCGGTCTGTTTCCCTTAATTTTTTTTTACACATCATATTATTGTCTATTTGTTCAAGGGAAAAGTGACGACAGTAATAACAAAAATGTCGTTAAAAAAAACCTGCCTCGTCGCGCCACACGACAAAACTCGACAGCCACGTAAATCGATAAATATTACGCACGGCGGTACAATTGGTTTTTTTTTTTTTTTTTATTATCGCCATTCACAGTGTTTCGCCACACACACACGAAACGACTGGGCATTTTCATGTTTTAAAATTGATCCCACCGTCTTGTACAAAACGCCACCTTTATATTATACTCCACTGTCTAGCGGTACCCAACCCATGGGCCGCGGCTAACAAGTGGGCCACGGATAACGCGGTACTGGGTCGCGGACGTCGGTCGAGGGTATAAGCCAACGGTCAGCAAATTCTATTTTATTGACATTATTATAATATAACCGTTTATATTTCGATGGAGTTTTAGTAATAATCCCACAAAGTCGCTATCGTACAATTGTATTGATATTCATTTTCTCATCTAGTATTCTAGAATATTTTCGTCATTTTTATCGTATCGTGGGCACGGTCCCGATATTGACTCTCTCGTAGGAGTAAAACTATGTCAAAAATCACATTGATTTTAATTTACCTTTAACCCAGGGGCGTATTTAGTGGGGATGGGTAAGCTACAGCTCTCCCCTCCCCCCCCCCGATATTTTAACAAAATCTAAAAATAATTTCCATGGACTAATAAAAACGTTACAATAGTCTTAATCCACGTTTTATTGATTTTAAACCTAACCTTATAGACATTTAATATCTAATATACATTGGGATAAATGTTCTTTTCTGATACATTAAATATAATTTTAGATTCAGAGCGAAGCGAGAAATGTATTGGTTTTACAATGATGTTTATTGTTTTTTTTTTCTGCGGACACCTTTTCTACCAGCAATTTTGCTGTTTTATTACAAACTTTTTCTAAAAAGAAATCTGACTTGGGTAGTACTTTAAAGAGGTCGGTTTTTGATTTTCTCAATATTTAGGAAAAACCGGGAAATAAACTTAGAAAAAAACGGGAAAATATGTGCATATTTAAACAAATATTATTAAATATTAAAGAAAATAATTAACGCATATGTAATTATTTTGCCATAATGACATATATATATTGTTGACAAAGCAACACTATTAACAGAACATCGCTCAGAATCGTTTTTTCGTTAGCAATGGTTAAGCGTTGCTTACACGTATACATTAAATTACTTATAATAGTGCCTGAACCCGTTCTCATTATCCTAGGACAGCTTTTTTTTTTAAATATTTTACACAAAATGTCGATAATCTGGAATTTCTTTTCCCGAATAAAGTATCGCGCCGGGCGAAAAATCAGCACCGTTCAAGGTACGGACGCTGAAAAATCGGAGCGTTTTATCTGACCGGAAAATCGGCGTGGGTGGAGGTGTGGGGGGGGGGAAAGCACACGCTGTCAGAACGTCTATAAACATCGGTTTGTTATTTCACTCGTCTGTCGTTTATATATTGAACTCGTTCGGGAAATACGATACGATTCGCTGTATACTATATTACCCATCCACTACTGGACACGCCCGGAGGTTTTTAATTTTGGCGAAACAACACGGCGGGATTTTTATTTGTTTTTTTTTTCGTCCCTCCCCCCGCGTCTACTCCGAAGACAGCCGATAGGCATAGTCTCGCGGGTTACATCACTGCGGACGCGCATTAATCGCGTTCACGTCGAAAAACGCTACGGCGATAAACCAAAAAAAAAAAAAATTCGCCCGTACGCGCGAACGGGAACAAATTAATAAAACGCATAATTCTCGCGTCCGAATCGGAGAGGGTGAGGTGGTGGGGTTTATCTCTTCAAATAATAATACGACGATGACCCGCGCGTGTAAACGGCGACGGCGGTCGACGGATTCGTTTCCGGATCTCGTTCGGTAACGTATTACGTATATGCGGTTATGATCATCGACGGTATTATTATAATAATATCATAATTTCGTATTATCGTGCCCGGGTCCGCGGAATTAATCGAATCGCGTACCGTTTTCGGGATAAAGGGGGTCCGCCCGCGGCTTTAATCTTCGAAAAATAAGTGCGCGCACACGGGGATTTCGCATTGTACACAAATGCGAATAATAATAATAATAATAATAACGTTTTAAATCCGGATCAGGACCGCCGCCGTGCCGGAAACGATGACGGATTTCCCGGTGAGAAGCTGGACGGTGCGCGCGGCGCCCGCGCGTTTCTGTACCGCCGGCACCCATTTCCGTTCGACCGGAAAAATTCTCTTTTTTTCTACAATTCCTCTCCGACCGCACACGGTCCGTCGGTTTTTCCCGAACGTTCCGTCCGGCGGACGCGCAGCCGTACGATTTATTTCGCACGATATTTTTACCGTCGTTATGGTTGTTTTTTTTTGTTTTTTTCTCGGCGAAAATTTCCGTCCGTGCGGTTGTCCGGGTATAGGCGACCGCGGGAAGTTCGCGACGTTCGAAGTTTACAGAACATCGCTCCGGACAATGAACGTACAGCGAGGGTAGTGTATTGGTCCCGCTATAAAATGTCGGCGGTATGTAATTAATTTTTAGATACCAAGTGGTTTTACAACGGTGTTTATTATGTTTTATCTTTTTCTGCGGGTAACTTTTCTACCAAAGCGATTTTTCTCCGATTTACAATGATAGCGGTTTTCCTGAAAGGAAATCTGACCCTTTAGGGAGGTTATTTTTTTGGTTTTTCTAGCTGTTTTCATAATAAATGAGAAAATCCGGGAAAAATCTGGGAAAATTGGTACACTATATTTAACAAATACGAAAATAGCCCCATATTGTAAGATCTCCGGGAAAAATAAAGATAATCAAATTCTGCTTTTTTTTTTTCTTTTTTTTTTTTTTATATTACTCATTGGGATAAGGACAATAAATATGTATGTAATGTATTGCGACTAATTTTTTATTAGAAAAGAAGTGTACAGTCGATCAATCGTAATAATAACAATAATAATCAATTAGAGAATGTGATTACAGCCTGATGTATAATATTATAGGTACTGTCCACTGAACTCTAAAAAAATGATTAAAAATCACGAATTTAATGAAAATAAAAAATTGATATATCATTTTTCAGAAAATAAACTCTATAAAATGGATATGTTCAAAGTTTTCAAAAATAACAAAATAAAGTTATTCTTTTGAGTCGTTTATCAAAGTATAAAAATGAATTACAATATACTCGTAGTAGACACTTATATTCCTGTGAGTAATATATATATACATATACACATAAAAACATAATTTGATCGTCTTTATTATCTCCGGAGATATTACGATGGGTTGGGGGACACGTGTATTACTAAAGAAAATATACGATGCACGTGTAATTGTTTTACCGTAATATGGCATACAAATCGTTGTCGGAGCAACGCTATTAACCGAACTGTGCTCAGAATCGTTTTTCGTTGACAACGGGTTAATATACGTTGCGTACGAATATACATTAAATTTTCCCCTCTGCCCTTCCAACTTCGATTAGCGATTCGAACGCCGTGTTTGAGCGTGAATTAACAATGACAAATGTCGTACCTTCAGCGGGCTTTCTTACACGTTTCCTATTACGGTCCGTACGCCCGTCCGTCCGGTTTACGGATGTCGGCTCGATCCGTCGTCTGCGTACACGTACCCTACAGTGGGTCTCCATTTATAATACAATAATACTGCACGCGCGTATCCGTTAAATCGCAATTTACCGACACAGTATTAATATACGCCGACGGGTTTCACACGATTGTCCCGTGAAAACCGTTCGGTTTTAGTGTTTTTCGAAAATAAATCGTCTTGGAATACATTGCGATTGAATAATATACTGCAGTACTGTACCGTGCACTACTATGCTCATTCGTCTGCCGTTCGCCGTCGACCGTCATAATGCGTTTAAACGCGTTTGAATATTGCGGAATCAAACTTTTTCCGTATCCGAACGGTTTCAAACAGAACCGAATAAAAACTCGGGAAATTTCACGTGGCTATAAATTGTTCGAAAATCGCCGAAATGTTTTAAAAGTACAACCATTGCGGTTAATATGGGGATTTTGTGAAAACCGCACGTATCTACGATTGTTTTTAACCGAATAACAAATAAAAAAACCCGTTCAAAGCATAAACATAAACTGTTCATTGTAAAAATTCGCGTTTTAGTTAATTAAATCCTATTTTTATTTTTCCGAAAAAAAATTTTGTTCTATTTTGGATTCTGAGTGTAGCGAAGAACGTGTTGGTTTTACAAAGACGTTTATTATTATTTTTTTTTTTTTTATACCGTGTACGAAAATTCTACCAGAATTCTTGCTCCGAAACACCAAGTGGCACCTTTTCCGAAAGCGAATTTTCCTGGTACGGTATTTTAATGAGGTCGTTTTTTGTACATTCCCGGGATTTTTCTCGATAAATGATTATAACCGAAGAAAAAAACATGGGAAAACTGGGGAAAAACGGAAAAATAGGTATAATATTAAACAAATATTATTAAACAAAACACGTGCATGATAATTCCTATGGAATTATTTCACCGTTGAATGACGTACATAACGTTGACATGGCAAAACTGTCGACGGAACTCCGCTCAGAATCGATTTTTCGCCAGCAATGGTTTACCGTCGCTTACAGATGTACATTGAATTTCCCGTCCGACCGCCTTACCGACATCTGACCGACAACAATGGCCCACCCACCATGCGAAGTACGTCGGTCTTCTGTCTGTTGTTATTGTACCGCGAGAACCCGCGCGCGTTCCCGCAACATTACATTGTCGCGTGTTCACGTTGTCGTCGCCGGCGTTCTTCTTTTGAAATCCGCTTGAACGGCGGGGGCGGCCGAAACGTCGACGCCGGGAAGCCTCGGACAACAAACGCCCCGTACCTGTCGGAATGGTTTACGGGCGCTGCGCGGGCACGTGCGCTCCGCGACGGCATCCGCACGCCGGGCCGGACCGTCGGATTGCACGTCCGACGTCAAATGCCCGCGGAAATGGCGAAAAACCGGAGAAAACGTGTTCGCGGGGCGCGTGCATCGGACGGTAATTGCACTGCCGTCGCGCCACACAAACGTGGAGGTCTATTACGGGTGGCCGCGGGCGAGGTCCGGCGCGTGGTCACACGCGAGTCCGGCCACCTCGAATCGAATTATTTTTCTGCGGCGTTTTCGACCGTGCACGGCCGGTATTTGACGCGCGAACGTGTTCGACGACCTTTGGTTTGTAACGCGAACGAAAATAGAACGTTTAGACTCGTTTGGTAGGCCGGGGGGGGGGGAATGGCGGAAGGGTGACGTGCGGCACCCGCGTATACCGTCGCGGAACACGGAAAACCGAAACGGATCGGACGGTTTTTCGTCGGATTTTTCCCAAAAACTAATGACTGCTGTGTCTGTTGTACGCACCCGCGCGCGTATATCTTTTGCCCGCTACTTTTGGACATTTCTAACGGTCCCCACCGGACCGATTGAGCTCAAACTCGGCATACATCGGAGACGTTTCGTAGTCAAATAATTGAAATGATAAAAGTTCGGTCGAATTTCAAGGAGCCTGCGCGCGACCTGTCTTTTTGTCTTTAGTGGCTCAACAATTTTAACGATAATACCGTGAAAAATCGAATCAAATAGGCAACGAAAAAAATGTTTTGTGATTGCGAACTGAATATTTCTGAATTAATTATAGTTTTGTGGTAGAATAGTTGTTTACGTGAATAGCAAAACAGCACAAATTTTAAAATTAGTACATCAAAAATGTTTTATTTGTAATTCGATTATTTTTCTTAGATGCTGATAAGATGGTCGATTTCGTTAACTGTTCAAATAAGATAAAAGATAATTAAAAATTATGCACCTAGTTAATTCCTAACGCCGCCCGCCTACTGCGCGAACGTTAGTGAAAATCGCGAGAACTGCGTTAGGTAACCATTTTGATAAAACTCTTTTGTTCGATTCATTGACTTTATATGAAAAAAAAAAAAAAATCCCACGAAAACGTTATAACGGAAATAAGTCTAGAGGAATAGTAGCGATTCTAGCGGCGGAGCTCTGCTATTCGTGTGTTGTTTGTTTTTTAATATTTAACGTAATACAAATGTCCGATGGGTAATAAAATAAACGGAGGTATTGGTTTTTTTTATTTAAATAACGCTGTGATCATTGATGATTGGTCCTTTAATATTATCCGTTTGCGGGTTTAATTAATGGCTAATAAAAAAAAAAAAAAAAAAACGATTTTGCATTTAAACGTGTACGAACGCGTCGCGCGATCTACGATTTTTAGTAATTTCAGCGGTGTACGCGAGAGTATAATATCGCCCGTAACTCGGAAACAAACAAAAAAAAAGTACCAAATAGCCTCCCTTTGGCTAAATGTAAAAAAAAAAAAAAGGCCACTAATGATAATAATAATTAATGTAGAATGTTTAATTAAGGTTTTTGTTCGTTTTTGTTCGTTTTTTTTTTTTTAACCATATTTTCCGAGTATACGGTAGGTACGATACATTATAGTTTAAGCTTATCTGAAATCGTTGTATTTAAAAAATAATAATTTCGCTCTGAAATCGTAGTCTCGTTTAAATATTTAATGAACGTTTTTTTGGATTCTGAACGGAGCAAGGAATATATTGGTTTTAAAATTGTGCTTTTTTTCAATCTGTGAACAATTTTCCTACCGGAAATTTTTGCCTACCTAATGTAACAAGTTTAGCCGCTACACTCTCTGCGCCCTACCGAAACCCTAACGCCGAAACGTATTTAAACCAATACCCCCCGTCTGTTTGTGGGATATTCAGCGCGGGTTTTCGTTTCAAAAACCAAAGTTTCGTGTATCGCCCCGTGGGGTCACTCGCCGAATGTCACGAACGGCCCATAAGCGTTCGGGAAATATCGGCTTTGAACACGCTCGAGAATTCCGAATATCGGAACACGCGCGAGATTTTGAACGGAGAGGGAAACAACGCGATGGGCACGCAGAGTGACGGTTTTTTAAATTTTTTTTTCCCATCGCCTGCATTGTCGCGTTTGTCGCGCAGAACGGCTCGAGAACGAAAACGAAACCCGTCGGATCGGGACACGTCGCAGTCGCAAGCGCGCGGTCGCGACCCGCGGCCGAGCGGCCCGTCGTCTCTCCGTTTGCGGAGCGATTCCCTCGTCGGCGGCGGAGCGCGCGCGTGATGGCGTACACTTATTGCCGCCGTACGCGCGGCGCTGTACATTGTAATTAAGTTTTAATCCCTTTGGCCCTAGCGCGCGCGGACTCCCGCGGCGGCGGCGGTATCGCACGACACGGCCGGGCGAAGAGGCTCCGCGATTTTCTCCCGGCCCGACGCGCCACGTGCCCCGAATAATTCGCGTGTAACAAAACTTCGGGAGGAGGGGGACGGGGCGGCGGCGGCGGCGCGCGATTAAATCCGTTTTACGGACACGCCGTTGTATGCGAACGCGCGCGTCATAGACGTGTGCGTCTGATACGCGACGGCCGCCGCCGGGGTAATTATCGCGTCGTATCGACCCGCGGGACGGACCGCGGTCGCCGTAAGTTTCGACCGGGGGCCCGTTAACGATGACGCGAGCGCGCGCGCGACGTTTTTTATCGGCTCCGTGTGACCGTTATCGTTATTATTATTATCGTCAGGTATCGCCGCCGTTGTTGTTGTTATTATCGTTACGGTACGCTACGAATCATTATTATCGCCGGGTAATTATTGCCGCCGTTGTTACACTGTTACGATCGCCGCGCGGTTATTAATGGAGCCGTTGTAATGACACGTACGCCGCCGTCCGCCCGCCCCGTCGACGCCTGCGCGACCCCGCCGTTCGCGATCGCGCGGCATTTAGGCACGCGCCGGGCGCAGGAGCCGACGACGGGACGTAATCGACGCGTAGCGCCCGCGCGAGTTTTCCCGGGGAAAGACCGCTGACGGACGGGCGACCGCTCTTAACGGACACGTAATAAAACGTCGCAACAAGTCTTTAACGGTGTTTCGTTTTTTTTTTTTTTTCCCCCGGACTTTTTTTTTCGGCGGTCTTAATCGTTACGTGCCCGGGTAATTACCGTTGTTCCCGGACGAGCGTTGTTATCGTTGTACGACGAAATATTTTGTAGAAGCGTCGTTTATGTGTCGGGCGGGGAGGGAGGGGTGTGGGGGTAGGTAAAAAGGACCGCGGGGATTCGACGGGCGTCGCGGCGCCGGAATAAATTACACTTCCGTCGTCGAGACGCCGAAAATCCCCTGTCGGTGACACTTTCAGCGGTGCTTTTTGGACTCCGAACGGCCTGAAACTCGGGGATCGGGTTCCGTCGTGCGGGCGTATTGAAGCGACGGGATTTCAAAGGGACCCCCGGCCGAATGAAGCCGGGTAAACGAGATTGCGTATGTTTGGCACGGTGTTTGGTTAGGTGCGTTTCGGGGTTTTCGACTTTTAAACTCTCGCCGTTTCTCACGGTCGAGGTTCGGCGTCAGGCGTGTGCCTCTGTGTGCCGAATCGTTCGGCCCGATAATCCCGGTGGTTTGGGCTAGGCGACGATTTATTTAATCGGTCAGGACACGTTATTTCATAAACGTAGATATATTTTTGAAGATTCTCAGCGGTGTGGTGAGGAATACATACGCATTGATTTTACAATGATGTTTATTTTTTATTAATTTTTTTTTCCCACAGCCAACAAATTTTCCGCCAGAAATTTCGCTCCGATTTTCATGTGTAGTATCATATTCTGAAAGTAAATTTCCTTGGGGTGGCACTTTCTTGCTACTAAAGAGATCATTATTTGGAATGTCTTAAGAATTTTCATCATAAACGAGAAAAATTAACAAATTTTCGAAAGCGTTTACATATTTATTTCGATAAAATAAGTTATACGCGATACGTTTATCCGGTGCTCGGAATTGGAAAAATACGAGAAAAGGGACCGTATCACTTGAGCAAAATTTAGCTTCCCTTGCAATAAGTGAACTCGACCTGACCCTCGGGGAGGTGTTTCCACCCTCCCATTCCCACATCAATTTTTAAATATAATTCAGTATTTAATAATTTCCGCCAATACTGCGGGCTAAATTGTCGCTTTCATAATGGATAATATTCATTTTAGATTCTGCTATAATAAAATGTGGTTTTGTTTTTTTCACATTATTCTTCGGAACCTCCCCCCCCCCAAAAAAAAAAAAAAACACGTTTGGACCACTTTCAACCGTTACGTTTATGTATTGATAAGTAACGGATATCTGTTTCTCGTTACAGAATTCCGCGTATTTCGATGTTTCATTACTATCTTGCAACTTTTATTCCGTTTATCTTAAGATTCTCAGCACAAATTTAAGCGATTATAATAATATTACGGATGTTTTTCAGAGTATACCACTGTGCCCGGAAACAAAAATCTTTTTCAGAGCTACAAGTTACGGGCCCTGATAATAATATCGCGTTTTCGATTGGATAGTTTTTTAACGGGATTTCGTTTTAAAATAAACGTTTCGATAATATTATAGACGGCGGCGCGTGATAAAAACCCATTTACGAATTGTAATTACACCTACAGGTTTAGCGCAAAAAATCAATCAGTCGAACATTATTTTGTAAAATAAAATTGATAGCTGCCGTCGTCCAGATCATTATTTTATCAATCTTGCCTGTCAGCGTTTTCATATCGGTGACATTTTCATTTCGATTTCAGACAGTTGTAATAGAACGTACCAAGGGAAGAGAAAAAAAAAATTAATTAAATTCAAAACCATTAACTCAACGTAATACGGCTCGAAGTCTTCCACAGAAATATGTTGTGGTTTTAAATCGCGCGGAAACGTCTTAACTCGTCAATCGGCGTTATATTTACTGTGGCGGCAAATTATAAAACCTATTAAAGCAGTGATTTTTAATCGTTATCGGCCGCTGCTTCCGAAAAACCGGCTATCAACGCCGCACCCTTACCAAGTAAAAAAAAAAAAAAAAGCGGGATATTATCACAAGTATAATATAACATTATGTGGGTCGGTATTCTAAATTTAAAATACCACCCCTCCCCCCCCACAGAGGCTGTTATTCCCTTGGAGGGGTCGGCGTTATCACTTCCGTTAACCATCACCGAATTAATCCGTTTAATTCTAAAAAAAAAAAAAAATACCGCATGACTTAATTATTACTTTAATAAGTTACTTATACTTATACTTAATACTTTAACTTTATTGTTTTAATAAATTTACTGTCTTTTTTCGAATTTTTATCGAAAATAAAGATCATTGCGCAATATTTACTCTGTTATATTATTTTATCTTCTTTTACACTTTTTACGGTTCTCTCTGGAGAAGTTAAATTCGAGAATCTTATATAGGAGAATAAAAGTGATAAAATGTCGGTTGAATTTCACTATAATGTTGCGGAATAAGGGTATTCTTTGGGTTTTTCGCACCTCTACAGACCCCCTAAATAAAGACAGGGAGACAAAATGTTGTACATTGTGTACGGTACAAGTACCAAGGATGTGCCTTTTGGGAGGGGATTTAAAGTTGGAACTCCTCTCCAACAATTTGTATTTTGTAACTTTATGTGTTCGCAGGAAATACCGGGTCTTAAAATATAACCCTGCAAATTAAAATATAATACGACTCTGGAAACCGTAACTCTTTTAAATCGACTGTAAAACAAATGAAAAAATAGTGAAATTTTGTAACGGTGAAAGTCGACCGGGGGAAAATTCGAGTCTGGTGACTGAACTCTGCTAATCACCGGTGTTGTTTGTTTTTTTATTTTTTGGGAAGGAAACAAAGGGGGGGGTTGTTTGTGCACTTACAGTTTTTCAAGTAGCCAGTTAACAATTTTAACGAAATCGAAATAATTTAATTACAGTGATAAGTTATCGACAAAAATAATAAATCACTGTTGTAGAAGTATAAGTATAGGTATCGAATTATCGGAATGATTTGTTGAGCAGCGTCACGTGATACAATTTGGTTCGCTCGATTAATCAAATTACAGTAATTAATAACGATAACGCGCCCGCGGTAGTAATTTACGAGGACGTTGGGTGTTTGCCATCGCAGTTTATACAACACTGAATGTTACAAATATATTACAATATACGCGGACGTTTAAGACGTTTCAACGATAATGAAACGATTTTCCCGCGTAAATATTATAGACGGCCGTTAATGTTTTTTTTTTTTTTCAGCGATTATCGACGGAGATTTTTGAACTAAATACATTTCGGTCCGTTGCGGTCAACACGCAGAATCGGTATTTTCACCGCGATACGTTCAAAACGCCGTACACCGCAAACGCGTTATCTTTTGATTTTCAAACGTCATTACTTCCAACGTTATTATATCAACGCGTTATCAATGTTAAAATGGATACCGTTACGAGACGGTTCACTGTCCTCTCCCGGTCTTACGGGTCTTGCGGTTCGAATCGTAAACCGTCGTACGACCGGGGCTGGATTCCGGAAGACGCTTTGCGTTGTTTTCCAAATTTCGCTGTGGGGGATGCTCGGTTCGTTCCAGATTAATACGTTTTTTGTAACTAACAAAAACATCACGTCGATATTATAGCGTTATGCGTGTCAACATGTTTAGACGAATGTTTATTTAGAATAAGGAGAAGAGAGAGTGAGTGGTAGTGCAGGTCTCAAACTTATTACTCATTTTAGGCGTAAAAAATAGGAGCTCGAGAACAAATCTTGAACGGTATTGAGATATTATACGGACAGTAACAGTCTGTCTGTTCATAAAATACAGTATGCGCATTCTCATCAATTTTCATGTTTTGATATTATTTCGGTTGAAATTGAATTGCGCAAATATTTCGATACCAACATTTCGGTCGAAATATTTAAATTCTCTTTGGAATTAATCGTCGAAATTTCAATATCCCGCATAGTCCCGTGTTAGACAAATTACTAAAATGGTTCTACTGTAAAATTTGCGTGTTTTAACTTTCTGTGTTTTACGAATTGACAGCCCCGATTTTTACACGCGACTACAATGTAAAAATGTCAAATAGTCCTGTCAAACTCTGTGTGTTTATTCTAAAGATTGAACGAAGAATAGAAAAGAAAAAACCAGAAATCAAAATTACTTAAAATCCTACGAGTAAAACGCCGCAGTATACCACTGTATAACATTAATATTATTTATTATCATTTGACGCGATTTTCGCGTTGCGGTTTTTATGCAAATCGAAAGACGAATAATAATAAGAAAAAAAAAAAAAATGCTCGGGAATATCTTTCGAACATCGAACGAGTGACGCGTATTCGGCGGCGTCTACACTAAATTATAATAATGTCGGAGCGGAGTGGCGTCGGCGTATAAAACAATCGAAACCTCCATTTTTCTCTATACACACTACGCATATACATATACTAACTAAACACACAATAGAGACTTTGCCGGCTTATTCAAATCTGTCAACTGCATTTGTAGGGGATTTCGAGTGTTTTGCGTACACACAGAACGCCGGGTTATACTGTGTATACCTATATTAATACACCGCTGCTGCAGCAGTCGTCTAATGCAAATTCCCGGTTAATTATTATGCACGCCGATAAAACGATAATGGAATCCTCGGGGGACGTATTCGGCGTATTATATTATATATATATATAAGTCCTATATAGTGCGGTACCTACCGCCCGACGGTCGCGCGCGCGTTTCGTTTGCTCGTATAACCGCGGGAAAACCGTAAAAATATAATTTTTCGGAAAACACTGTTTCACTCTTTACGCGTTGTTATCGTTAGGTATTATTGTTGTTGTTGTTACTCGAACCCGGGGGATTCGTAAAGATCTAACGAAAAAAAAACAAAAACAAAATATTATAGGTAGTCGAAAATTTCTGTACGAAAATATGTATCCGCGGTGTTTGCGCGTATCGTATGATGAAATTCGCGTGAAATATATTATTATTATTATTGTCATAGGGCGGTGACAAAAAAAAAAAAAAGACGGACATACATCGCACGTGTGTGCAGCCACTATTGTAGGTGGGAAATTGGAAAGATAGGATACAGACGGGAATTTAATGTATACCCGTAAGCAACAAAGGACCATTGCTAACGAACAAACGGTTCAAAGCGGATTTCAGTCTCTGAAAGGGAATCGGACTGAGGAGGTGCTTTAAAGAGGTCATTTTTTTGATTTTTCAAGAGTTTTCTCAACAAGTGGGAAAAACCAGGAAAAACCGAAGGAAAACGGGAACATGGATACAATATTAAACGATTATATAATGCATATACAATTATTTTACCATTATGTGACTTATATATTGTTGACAGAGCAACGTTATCAACCGAACTCCGCTCAGAATCGTTTTTTCGTTAGCAATGGTTAATCGTCGCTTACAGATAAACATTAAGTTGCCTACAACAGTGGTTGCAAACGTTCTCATTTTCCTAAGACATTTATTTATTTTGTATTTACAATATACTAGTTGACCCGGCAATGGTTACGGTAATAATAGTATGTAAATAATGGTAATAGTTAGAACTAATGATAATAATAATGGTTTTCTCGTCCGTAACAACCAAAATATCATCGTCCGTGTCACCAAGGAAACCTATAAATAAATACATTTTAATTGATTTTCCAAAAATACCAGAAAAACATCCGATTCCGCTAGCTGTCCCGTCCAACGTTGCATAGGTCAATTTGTTTGTTATTTCATCCGTATCGCCGAGGTAACTCCGCGAATAAACAAATCAATAAATCAATAAACAATTACACATTCGTGCTGAAAATATCAAAAAACCTCTATTTTACATTCTTAAGGGTTAAGTTTTCAAATATCCTTTCCTAGCGCACGCCTACGTCATGATTGTTGTCTATATGTCGAATTTCAGCCCGATCCGTCCAGTGGTTCGGGCAAGGAGATGATGATACAATCAGTCGGAACGTGTTATTTTAGATACGTTTTTTCCACTGCCGTACTTTGGCAATTTCATATAATACATCCGAGTATAATATTCAAAGGATTTTAGAGCATATAATTATCTCTAGTGGGCAAGTGTGTTTCAACGAATCAATAATGTAACATATACTCGAGGGTTTCGGTGAATTTGTGCGCGCGTACAACAGTGTAACACGTATATTATTATATTACAAGATCCGCACCCGGTGTAAGGGTTTGCACCGGGTCCTCGAGACGGATAATCCGTGTACAACTGGCATTAATAACGCGCGGTAAATGTCGTTGGAGACCGTCTCGGAGTAAAGTAACTCGTTTAACTTCCCTGCTGAATTCCTCCGCGCGCGCGACTAATGGAATAAAGATCGGTCTTGCTTTTGCGTGCTGGACGTCCTGAAGTCGCGTGTGAGGTATCTACCCATATCTAAAGTGGACGGGTGTTATTAGTTGTTAAAGTTTCGGGATGCGTATCGCCGCACATCTGAACATCGCGGGTTTTATATACGAATTAGTCGGCAGACGAAAGTCCACGGGAAATCCGGGAGATTTTCGCTTTGTGTCGCGTGTAATTGCGATTTCGTTTTCCACCTGCGTACACGCCGAAAACATTTGAATCGTCGCAGTGTATATTATACCATTGGTACCGGCGAGTAAGGGCTTAAATCGTTTTTTTTTTTTTTTATTTTTTAAACTTTTCAATAATAGAAAACTTAATTTTAAAAATATATCTGTATGGTGTATAATATAATAAACACTTCACACGCTAACTTTGAAATTACACTGAGGACGGGAGCGGCCACTGTTGTAGATGAGAAGTTGGGAAGGTAGGATAAATAAAGTTATTTCATATATATCAGTGAGCAACGGTAAACCATTGCTTGACGAAAGGCGATTCGGGTGTAGCCACTTTTATAGGTAGGAAGTTGAAAAGGTAGGATACAGAAGGGAATTTAATGTACATCTGTAAGCAACGATAAACCATTGCTAACGAAAAAACGATTCTGAGCGAAAATAAATTGATAGTGATGCTTTATCAACAATATACATTATGGTAAAATTATTAAATAGACATTATACATTTTCTTTAATAATATTTGTTTAACATTGTACCGATTTACCTGTTTTCCTACATTTTTCCCGGTTTCCCATTTTTTTTTTTTTTGAAAAAACTCCTGGGAAAATCAAAAAATGACATCCTCAAAGTAGGTACCTCCGGAGTCAGATTTCCTTTTTAGAAAAATTACTATCATTATAAATCGGAGAAAATTGGTGATGGAAAAGTTGTTCACAGGGAAAAAAATCATAATGTTTTACTAATAAAATATAATTATATTGTACATTTTCCGATTTTTTTCGGATTTCCATATTTGATTAGAATATCGAAAATCACCTCCCCAGTCTGATTTAGAAAAGTTGTTACACATAAAAATCAGAGCAACTAAAAATCAGTAGAAAAGTTGGGAACAGATAAAAAAAAAAAAAAATAAACATCTTTGTAAAATCATACGCTTCTTCGCGCCGCTCAGAATCTAAAAGGAAATCCAATTTATTATACTATACAAATTATAACCATCAGCCACGTTACTGATGAGTGATGGCTGATGTACTGATAGCAAAATATTCGTGTTTGACAATAATTGATTTCGCGGTATAATAATTTATTATTTATTCGTTTATTACGTATTATTGTGCGTATTATTATTATATTTTTCAATACTGATTGCGACTGGAATATTATCACGTAAGATTCGGAACATTGACTATTATTAATATCATACTTTAAAATTTGCAATTATTTCAAACTTCATTAAAGTAACGAGTGTCTTACGTCATGTTGATCGCCCTGTAAACCGTATTGCTCGTATTACGTTTTAAGCGAAATTCATTCTGAAATTTCGACAAATGTTATTCATAATAAATTTTATAGTGGGCACGTAAATACTTGTTGTAACGCCTAATCGAAAATCATCATGTAGACGTGGCACAGACTAATTACTCGCCTATAACCACCGCTGCAGGCCTGTACCACGTTTGAACTCCCGTAATGGACTCTGTTCGTAAACCATTCGCCGTCGTCTTATACAAAGTTTATCCCTGCAAAATTGTTCGCTCACGGAAAATACTGCGAAATTTCATACGAACCGCGTCCATTATTCGGAGGTATTGGCGTGCGTCCGATTGCCCCGCGAACGACATTCGGACCGGTGGCACATGCACACAACAATAATAAAACGAAACTCTTCGCGGGCCCCTCCGTCAATCCGAGAAACGTGTTTACGGGGTAAAATAAATAAACGTAAAACCAATAAATTTCTATTTGTCCGTAGCGGTCGTTCAAAAAGTCTGAAAATACAAGGTTTCGGGAGATTTATTATTTTTCCGCATCCATCCTGTCAGTCCCGAGACCGTATATATTATTATGTCGCGGGCTATATGAGAAATTCGGACTTTTTTTTCTTTTCTTTTTTTTCTTTCGCTATATATTAGGCACTCGGTACTATCGCGCATATTTACTTTGCCGTGTCATCCGGACCGCAAATTTTCAATCGATTTTCGGCGAGGAGACCAAACACAATATTACTCTCCGAAATTAGAGACCATCGCAGTGACGCGTTTTGCGACTGTTGTACGGGTCTTAGACATGTCTTTTTCCCGCTTCTTTTTGGATATTTATAGCGACCGAACGCGCACCGATCCCGGGGAATCGGAGTCGTTTTGTAAGCGGATAGTGTTGAAATCCATTACGCGTTTCGTCGTGTTGTCGCGGGTGCAAAAGGGGTAATCTTTTTGAACTGCGTACACCACTAACGGCTTTCCGTATGCAGCCTGCAGGGCGGAGAAAACTCTTCGCGCGTGACTCTCGTCGGCATGTTCCGTATCGTCCACTCGCCGCGTACTCGTACGCCGATAGTTGGTAAACCGTAAACCATTATCGTAACACGGTTCAAATTTAAAGTAAATTGTACGTATTGTATTGCGATACGTTTAATCCGCACGGAACGCGATTGTCTCGGCACTGGCGGCAATTATTGCGATCACGCGATTTAACCGTATAGTAATCAAATTATACCGAGCGAACACAATGACGAGTAATTATTCCGGCCATCGGTACGGAAGGACGTGACACGACAACGCGGAAATTATCGTGCTACGTCATTCCGATCCGATTACGCGCGTACCTATATAACAGTGTTTCCCATCACAATGGTGACCACCCCGGATACCGAAATTACCGAATCATCATCACACGGTCGTTACCTCTTTGTGGTCGTCGTCGATAACGCAACGAAATCGTTTGATAACGATAATAATTATCCTCGTTGTTAATAATCCAATCGCGATTTTCACGCCAAATTTATCAACTTAAATTTATATTGCTCAAAAAAAAAATTAATACTCCTTGAGGTTATGTAAAATGTAGAAAATAAAGAATGTATACTTGTCAGTGGTGCGACCAGATTTTTTTCGTCCCACCCTCTCCTCCAAAATATTACCCAATGAATTATCCAAGTGGCAGTCCCTAAATTTCTCGGCGGGTATTTGAGATAATAGATATGATTGAACGGCTAATGTCCATGACGATACACGTATTGAGAATGATAAGATTTTTTATCTGTAATTGCAAACAAAATTATGAAACTATAGAGGGGGACCTCACCACCTCACAACCCACAGTTCGGAGTTGTTTTTCAACGTGCAGATAATTTGATTCGAAAACATTGTTTGTAACCATATTTTGGTTTAAAGAGTTTTTTGCATCGTCTGCGTCTACGCTATCAGTTTTTTTTTTTAAATAAAATCGTCTTTTTATAATCCGAATGCTAGAAATTGATATTACGTTATTGCTTTTAATCTTGTACAAACGAAAGGATTAAAAGGTATGCCTAACACTAAACAAAAACTGCTTTCCGTTAAATGGTTCTAAAAGAAATAAATTCATAGGGATATATTATATTTATAAAATAAAGCAATTTGGATTTGAATATACGTAGGGTTATCAAAAAGTAAGTTGCATTATATCATAATTCAAAAAGTACTATACATTTTTAAAAATTATTTTATTGAAATGTAATAATTTTAAATATTTTTTCGACATAATCACCAAACAAGTTTTTACATTTTTCATATCTCTGAAGGAGTTTGGAAATGCCTTGTTCGAAAAACTTTCGTCCAGTTTATCAACACCGGTCGCTAGTAGCACCTTTTACTTCTTCATCTGAATCATATCGCGCTTTCGCTAGCTCATTTTTCATGGGGCAAAACACGTCGTAGGGAGGGTGTTCCCAAACTTCACCCTTGAATTTTTGGTCTTCCTGCGCGGTAATCATCGGTGTCATCAGTACGGCCATTCTTAAACATACCGCACCACTTCTCGAGTGCTTGGCTCGAAATAACTTTTTCGCCGTTCATTTCACACTCCTCCCAATGAATTTGTACTGGTTTACAATTTCTTAACCATAAAAATCGGGTCACTGCGCGAATATCAATTTTGGATGACGGAACTGTAGTCTGTAGTAGTAGCCATGACGGTTAACTACCGGCTTTTCAACTACGTTCAATTTAACGATAAATTCTTTGGTAGAAGTACTCAATCAGCATTGCCACTAAATTTCATCGAAAAATATCCGCTTGGGAAAAATATATGGCCCAACGCAAATTACTTTTTGATTGTACCTCGTAATATCGTATCAATTTACGTGATGCAAATTTTCAACCGCCCCATTGTTATAGTGCTCGGTTATTTGCTGAGTGTCGAGTATAATGAAATTATCAAATAGCTAGCCGTTTAGGTTACGGTTTAATGAGCACCGGGGCCGAAAAATTGAATTATAATTCACAATCGAAATGCCGCCGCGCCAAACTAAAACACACATATTTCACAGATAATAATAATAATAATGAAATTATTGATGCTTTCAAATTTAAAAACATATAACTCTATGTCTACTTATAGAAATCTACTCAATAATACATTAAACTTTTAAATTCACCGTATAAAGTTGCAGATTATACTATTTTTTTTTTTTTTTTTTTTATTTAAAGATTTTTGATTTCCGAACTTTTGTTAGTTTCACTATATGATTATGTAGGTCTGTTTATTTTTCTATCTGTTAACATCATTTTTACCAGTAACCTTGCTCTGATCAACAACTTCAAACATAGAATTCGGAAAAACAATCATAGAACCCTACAATTCTCTCCCCTAATACATTATACCCGATGGTCGTTTGTTGATGCGGTAAATTGTTCAAGACTTTCTGACCTATTCACGTCAGTTTAAAATATTCGAGTTTTTCAGTTTTCGTTTAGTTTCGTGCGGACAAAATTGACCCCTGCGAAAATTCCCGAAAATTTTACACGACCTTCATCTCATGAAACGCGTTTAACACAAACCCACCGGTCAACCGGTCGGGTAATGAACAATATCTAATATCAAATGCCCGTACAGCATTTTCATTTGTATGGCAAAACAGTCCCAGTTGAATGCGTTCGGACACCAACAAGAAATTATTACAATACTAAAACGATAAAACGAACGTTCCGTCAGACGCAGTTACATTATTGTTCGGTCCTTCCTGAGAATATTATTATGTACTGTTTGACAACGGTCGCGATTCTCGTTTGATAATAGTCTGCGAGAGTTCTCATTTATTATAATTCGAATATGCACAGTTCGTGTTGAACGAAAAAAAAACACAATCAATACATTTGACGTTATTTTTAAATAAGTAAAACGTGACAATATGATCTATAGACGTATTATACGAGGAGGGGGGGGGGAGGAAAATCGATCGTTGGGAACACACGCCCGTCTTTCTTTTAAACTAAAAAAAAAAAAATAAAAAATCTAAATCCGATTCATATTTAAATTATATAATTCACTGTGGACGTCATTTGTTAATTTGTTAAACATGACAATAGCAAAATAAATAAATTTGTTCAGACACCGATAGTGTTGCAAAGCCACGCTTGGGTTTTTCACGGAAAACATTTTTCCTTAGAGCCTAAGGCTTAGGTGACACTCATTTTTCGCCCGACGGTATTATATTTGAGAAATTGTTCTAAATTCCCAACAGTCGTTCACAAAAAATAAAAAATAACCGACGACAAATGACGTTAATTCTGTTTTATTTGTATTCTTTTAAAACGCTTAGAAAAAAACACGATTAATAATATGACCTTACCGTGTAGTCTATCGGTATACCGATAGTTTCGCGCATAACCGTGTGTTTAATTGCTATAATGCTTTTCCTATATGTATATAATGAATTATTTTATTTATATATAAAAACTTTACCACCCCGTATTCAACAAACCTTCCAGTTTTTCCACTTATAACAACGATGGTGGCCTATCCGTAGTTTTTTATTCTCCTTAAACATATCGAATACAATAATTGATTTTTGTTTTTTTTTATGCACGAGATACATAGCCTAGGTGATCGTATTTATGTAAAAAAAAAAAAAAGTTAAAAGACGTTGAGAATGTTATTAATTTTGATATATTCATTGTTTCAACCAATTCCTACCTAGGTAATAAATATGCATTCATTAGCATTTTAAAATGTATCATTCTATGAAAAATACAAAATATTAAAATTTTGCAATGGTAAAAGTTATTAGTATTTCATTTGACTAGTATTTGATTTTCAATCATATACGTATATTGTATATAATATCACACGAGACGAGCAGGTAAGTTAAATAAATGGCATTATTATTTTTGCGGTTGGGATATAAATCCAATCGTAATGACTAACAATCGGCTAAAATTAAATAACAATTATTTTGATTGCATAATATAATTATTAATTACGAGTATAAATCATCGATGGACAGCATTTAAAAAGTAACCAATTAGACATTAGTAACGCTATCCAATGATGATGGTGATTTTTTTTAAGTAACTCGTTCATGACCTTTACATAATTTACAATAACGAACGATAAAACGAAATTCGAAATTAGGGCATTTTCCCAGCCCCCCCCCCTTCTCGAAATTTCGATTTTGAAAAAAAAACTAAATCTCTAAAAACGAAAAAGATTACATAACAGACCGGCTACAAACGAACGAAGGGAAAACAAAAATTCGAATGTCCAAATTGGAGGGACTGGGAAAATATACCTTTATTATATTACGATGGGCGAGAAGTAGTCGAACAATATTGTTGCCATTTTACTCCCCGTGCCTCTTATCGTCTGAACTCAAATGGGACGAGAAACACAATAACCGCACAACGATCACATTTAAAATGTAAATATCAAAAATGTGCAAAACAATGATAAACGAGTTTTTTAATTATATTACGGATATAATTTTTCCTTCCGCATTAATTCGATTGCCGCGACGGCATTAAACATCCGAGTGTTAACTCCAAGAAGACTTTTATTAAAACTTTTGTTTTGAATTTTCTTATACAATATGAGTGCGAAACACGGACCGAGAATAAACACGGGAAAAAAAATATAGACTGGTGGTCACGGACATGCGGATGTGGAGGAGGGTGTTTGATAAAGTCGATTAGAGAGAGAGAGACAGTGAGGAAACTAACGAAAGCGATGTAGAACAAGCGAAATCGTGTAAAGTGCATCGGCGCGGAAAAGGGCAAAACCGGTAGGCCGTCCGACACTACACGTTTCCGGTGACTTTCTTTGAAGGAACGGATACGGAATGTGTGAAACGTGGTGAAACCGAGAACCGGCCTCTTTAAAGACGCGCTGGAGGACGTCTTCGATCTCACTTCGCACACGCACCCGAAGTGACCGGCGAATGACGGAAGGGATCGGCGCTGTAGACCAGGCCTGCGCGTTAGAAGCTGACGACACTTCAAAATTTCGAAATAGGAAATAATAGAAAACGTAAGGTGCGCTAAGGATCGTTATCAGTATAACCGTAGGTTATACTGATACTGTAATACCGAAAATACGAAAAAGTTCCGCTCAGCGTACGTTGTACAATAATGTGCTGCCACGAAACGCAGTTCACGCGTTTCGGTTTCCGTTTGACATTTTTCTTCTTTTTTTTTTGTTTTTTTTTTTTTTGTTTCCACTCGTCGGATGCTCGTGTTTTCGATTCCGTTTTTTCCCCTCCGCAATACGCTGGTACACATACCACGGAGACTGTATCGAATCGCTCTCGTGGCGTTATTTTAACTGCGTTTTATGCCCAGACATTTATTCGTTTTATTATTATTATTATTATTATTCGTACGTCCCATGCGTTATGTGTACGTATAACGTTTAACGACGACCCACGTATTTTTAATTCGGTTTTTTTTTTTTTTTATATTTTCGAAACGAACTTCTTTTTTTTTTTCTCGGGAAAACCGTACACATCGCAGACGTTATAACACGCGTGCGACGTCGGGTTCCCGGTACGTTATATCGCGCAGTAATATTACACTACGAATGTAAAGTGTGCGCGGGAGGGCCGACGAGGAGTGTGCGGAGAACGGTACGTAATTGAGTAGCCCCGACACAAGATTTGTGTGTTTGTGCCGTGTGTATACCGAAACGGCGCGACTTTTAAAAAACGCTTAAAAATAATAAAATACCGATTTATCTATACGCACAAATATAAATACGTATTCGCGATGACCCTAATAATGCGCATCGAATTGTATAATATCCGGAAAAATACTGCCTATACGGTATGGTATTATAACCCGGAAACGCCCGGAAACAATAAGTGAATAATACGAACGGCATTGCGCGAGCGTTTTCCCCCCAAAAAATTACCTCGATATTCCGAAATGAATTATAAATATGAGAACGTGAAAAATACAACACTCGAAATTATAGAAATAAGATAGGTATAGGTACCGTATTATTATAGATAACGAGTTACAAGAACAGAAAAAAAAAACAGAAATCGGGACGGGACGGGTGTATAGAAGTACGGCAAGGGGCAAAAGAGTTGCTAAAATACTGTATAACGTTTTACCGATTCTCAGATTACAATACGATATAAATAAAACATAGGAAAACGAGGAAAAATAAGTGCAATATTAAACAAATATTATTAAAGAAAAAATATAACGCATACGTAATTATTTTACCATAGCCATAAGATAAAAAAATTACCATTATACGATGTATATGGTATTGTTGACAAAGAAACACTCCGCTCAGAATTTTTTTTCATTAGCAATGGTTAATCGTTGCTCACGGACATACATTAAATTACCTATAACATTGGCTACACTCGTCGCCATTATCCTAGAACAGCTTTTTTCGTTATTGTTATCCGGATCGATTTGTCCAATTCAGTGTTTAAACTTATTAACTCTGTAGTATAACGTATTATCAGTGCTTGAGAAAAGAGTGTCAGAGGTACTCAGCTACTTTTAAAAATTTGGCGTTTTTATAATCCTTCACACTGCATGTTGTTCAATGATAATACTACAATAGGTCAACGGTTACTGGTTACGTGAATAGATAACGAGTGATTATCAATCATGACCAGTTATCGGTTATGACGTGTCAGATACGGGATAACAATATATTTTGTACAATTTATCTATTTCGTATAAAAATGTATGTCGAGAAATTCTATAAAATAGGTAAGCTCGAATAACAATTACCGACCCGTCTGGCGCGTTTCCCTTTAAAAAAGAAATAAGAGTACGCTAGAATATCCGAAAAAAAAAAAAAAAATAGTCGGGATACTCAGTCTCCCGCATCATCTCCCTCTCCCCCCTCCCATAAATCGAGTATCTTATATAATTACAAATTCGATCCGGATCGGTTCCGAACACGATTAGTCCGGATTCCGGAATCGACGCTGCCGGTGCCGCGGTGGCGGGACGCCAATGGCGTACTAATCGACTCGGAAAAATGTATATGACGTCGTATTGAAATGTTTCTGTCGGAATTCCGTTGACTTTTCGATTCGGACGTGGAACGCACGTTTTCCAAAAGCAGCGGCTAAATCGGGGCGGACGCGACGACGGTAGCCAAACATTCGAGACACGTCCCGCCGCTACGTTCGCGTGTAGTTTCGGCATTTAAATAGAACATGTTGTGTAAAAAGGGCGAGACGCGCCCACAACAAACGCGGCGCATAATTACCGTTATAGTTCCGCGTGTGAAAACGGAGCGGCGGACGAGGAACGGTTCGGCTTCCGATAATTCGGCAGAATATTCGGTAAACCATCATAACCGCCGAGTCCGTAAAGTGCCGATATATGTATTTCTGTGGCTCGGTTTCGAACGTTTTTGCGATTGTCGGGCAACGGGCTTTGGAATTTCGATTTCCCGTACGAGCGTGTAGCACATCCCGTTCGAAAAAAACAAAAGCGGACATCGTCGTAGGCTGTTCCTTGAATATCGCGGACGGCCGGATTATTCGAAAACATCGGCCGCGACTGTACGCAGTTGAGAATCCGAAAAATCAGAATTCGAGTGTACGCAAAATCCAACCGGAAAAAAAAAGCGGGTCGAGCACGCTCAGTGAATCATCCTGTATACCGTCTGTGTATAACACGTATAGTCGTGTAAAACAAAAAAACAAAAAAAGGGCGCCGTCGGCACGGACCGAACTCGGTCGGCCGAACAACGCGCAACAATAATCTTATGTAAAAACCGCGGCGGGCGCGAGGGACGTTCGCACTCCTTCGGCGGGGATCGCGGACCGGAGTTTTAACGGAAAACTTTACGTCCCCGCGACGGGCCTGCTCCTCCCCGAAATATTATTATTATTATTATTGTTGTTGAAGTTATTAAAGTTTTCCCCGCCGTACACCGTGCGGCGAGCGCACCGCCGAAAGACCGTCCCGGCGGGAAGTGCCCCGGCCGCGCGTTGCCGTTCCCCAAATACCCGAAACGCGCAAGCGGCGGGATTCTCCCATCGGCCGCCGGCCGCGAGGGGTCAATGGTCCCGACGCGCGACGCGATTTCGACGGTGACAATAACACGTCGCGGTACGCCGTCTCTTGTTGAGCGTTTCTCGCCGTCCGTCCGAACCCGACGCGGCAGCGCCGGGAAAAGGCTCGGCGTCCCCGGCACGCGCGGACCTGACACCTGGCTGACGGGAAACCGCGACGGCGACGTCGGACGGGAATTCAAAACGCGACCGTCGGGACGGTACGATCGATTAACACGCGCGACAAGTCCCGCACGCGGTCGCGACGCTATCAGTGCGAACAGCGCCGTGACTGCAGGCCGGTCGCGCGGTTCGGTCCGCGTCCGAGGTTCGTTCGGTGTAGGGAACGTCAACGTGCGCCCGGGCGCCGCCGGTTCGTCTGACGGTACGCATAAAACAAGCTCAATCTGTAGCCCGCGCGTACGACGACGTGGCAACGGTTATGAACATTGCGGCGTGTCGTCCGCGAGATAAATCAATCGCAATCGCGTACCAAACAGTCGTGGCGGGTACGTTTGTTTTCGTCGTAAGACCCCACGCGACACGCCGGCCGCGAGTGTTTCTGATTGTTATTAGGCCGGTAGTGGTTTTCGGCGCCCTTCCTCAATCGTCGATTCGGGCGCTCGAATCGGGCGAAAAGAAACAAGAACGGTAAACCGACAAATGTCGCGGTAACTCGCCCGCGCCACTCTACACACGACAAAATAATCGTAACGATCGATTTCACAGTACAAACTATGTGTGTACACATAAAACGACGCGAACACGTAACACGGTAAAACCAATACAGTCCCCGCGCAAATGAAATTCGGAAATTTAAAACGAGCTTTGGCTTTTTGTTCCGGAAAAATCGATCGCAAAATAGGAAAATCGAACATCCACGGACGGGTCCCTTATTTGCGATGGCGGACGCGCAAAACGTTGTACGAAACGTTTTACGACGTTTTGACATTTACCCCCCCCCCGATTCCGGAAGTCAGAGGGATCAATCGGATTTTCGTTTCCGCGTGGCGAAATCCTATACGAGCGGAAATCCTACCCGTTCGCGCTGCCCTACCCACCGCGATTCGAGAACACAGTGCCGTCCGGGCGCGTGCCCGTCCCGTCGGTGCGGCGGTGAGTTTTCAGACTGCGCGCGAAAGCGAACAACAGGAGCGAAAGACCAGAGACGGTGTATAATTATAATAATAATAATAATATTACGACGAGACGGTGTTATTGTTATTTACGAGTAGCGATTTGTTCCTCGCACGGCGGCGATTATGAACGCGTGTCGACCGCGATAAATCAATTTTAATTGCGTTCGCGCCCGGAGCGCGACGGTTTCCGTCTCAGGTTCTTGTAATTAACCGCGGAGCGTTCGCTCGCCGCCGTTTTGTCAACCCCGTGGGATCGTCGCGAACGCCTATCCCGCGTGACACCGCGCGCCGCCGCCGTTAATAAAGAACGCGGGGGCAAAGATTTTTGGGCCGTCCGTAACAATAACAGTAATCCGGGGAAAGCGGAAGCGACGAGACGAGAGAAAACGCGCTCGGCGCGACCCCGACGTGGACGCGTACGGCCGCGGACAAACGACGGTTTGAGTGTTGACAACACATCGGTACGCCCGTCGTCGGCGCGGAAACGGATCGAGCGTTTCGAAAACCGTACCGCGTCTGCAGAAAACCCGTCTGCGCCCATCGCCGCGAGCAACGGCCGGAGCGGGTCCGACCCGTGGCCGTCGTCGCGGCGCGTCGAATGCGCCGACATCGATAGCGGCCGGCCCGGAGACCGCGAAATCGTGCGACGTCGAGACGACACGACACTGTCGCCGCAATGGTCGTTCGCGTCCCGCCGGGCTCGGAACCGGTGCCGGCCGGAGACGTTCGCGGCGGCCGTTCGACCGTTTCCCAACGAAAAAAAAATGGAAACCGAAGGCCGCGCACGGCGTTCGCATTTTTGTTTTTCTCTTTTTCTTAATTTCGTTCGCGTTGTGTGTTCACCCTGCGACCGGGTCAATCGAGCCGGGCGCGCCGAGCCGTTACGCGGCACGACTCGTATCCCGGCACAACGGTGGTGTTACAACAAAGTGTCAACGGAGCAACGAGCGCCACCGCGATCGTTATCGCTCGAATAAAAGCGCGCGTTTTCCCGCGGACCGTACAGGAATATCGCGCGCGCGCGACATAACCTATAAATGCGCGCGCGCGTTACGAATGTTGTTAATATTATCGTTATTATGATTATGTTATTATGATTGCGAGCAGGTGGCGCGAAGGATCGACCGGCGGCCGCCGTCCACCGCCCCCCCCCCGGCCACACGGCCGCCGCCGTCGCCCCGACCGCGCGACAATCCCCGGGCCGCGTTTCCGCATTAAATTTTATAACCGTTCCCGTAATAAACACGCGCGCGGAGGCACTCGTACGTCACCGTGTTATTATTATTACGCGTTTTGTACGGGTCCCCGGCGTTTGCACGCTCGGGCGACACGATAGCGGCGCGCGGTAACAACGTTTACGGTTTACGGTCGCGCGCGACGCGGCGATATTTATGGCGCGGCGCGCGTTATTGTAACGTTATTGTGAAATGCGCTTTTATTAATGGAGAATAAAGTGAAAAACGGGGTTGTATTATTGTTATTATTATTATCATCCGTTTGAAACGTCCGTGTTTTTCCACCACCACCACCCCCCCACCCCGAGCAGAGGAGTGAAAAAAAAAACCAAAACAAAACAAAACGCCGAACGTTTACGAGATTCCCGGGGCACGAAAATACGGGCGGCGATTCGTATTGTAAATAATTACAGGGGGCGCGGGGTTACGGTGCGAACGCGTTCTACTCGGCGAACGGTAATTCGCCGAGAATGGCATTGCGTTTTTTGGTAAAATGTCGACGTTTCGCGCGCTACGACGAAAACGCGTGTACGAACCGGTGGCGGTTTTTGACGAGTTATCAAGGGGGAGAGGGCGAGCGGTTTCGAATTTGTTAGGCCGCGTACTATGACGACGCAGTGTCGAGTCCAGGACAAACGGATTTGCCTGTGGCCCCGTCGTAAACTACACATAACTTTCGTTTTAGATCCCGAGTGCGGCGGAGAAGCTCGCGGTTTATCGGTTCTACAATCGTTTTATCCGCGGACAACTTTTCTACCGGAGATCCCAGCTCCGGCGCATACGGCGCGGCAACGTTTCCGAATGGAAATTCCGTTGAGGAGGTGCTTAAATGGGAGTCGTTTTCCGATTTTTTCTTTCCCAACAGTTTACCCAGCGAACGCGAAAAACGTAGGAAAAACGGGAAAATCGGTACGAAATTAAACGAATATCGTTAACGAAAATATAGCGTGTTACAATATAATGCCCGTTTAATTATTTTACCGTCATACGACATACACGTATAATATATTCCCACGTATCGTCCCCTCCCTGAAAACCTTCACCGATATGAGTTGCACGTTTCTGGACGGTCGCGTAAATTTTGCGTGTTTTTTACAATAAGTATTCGTATATGTTATAAGTATATTTCGAAACCCGATACACATATGTCCTGTGTTAAACGGGTTTCCTGTTATCCCTATTACGCTAAGAAAACTGGACGAGAAAAAATGTTTGACATCGGAACGGGAAATGTCGTGATAGATTTTTCGACCGTTGGAGGATCAATAATGTTGACGTAGGCCAGGTTACCGAACCTAACCTTATTATACAGTTTTCGGTATAATTAAGTTTCCGTTATGATTGCGAAAAACCGAAATCGATTTCATTTAAAATTGCACGTTGTAGATAAAATCAGGGGGTTCAACCCCCCTCCCCCTCCCGCCCCGAAAATTAACAGTTGCGCAATTTATTTATATCAATTTAATTTTTATTTTTTTTTTTTCATAAATATCGATTGTTGTAAATTTTTTTATAAACCCCCCGATTTTTTTCTTTTTGTGTACGTGCCTGGATATAATCGGAATCAGATAAAAAAAAAATACATGCATCGAATTTTCGAGTATATTATAACAGCGTGATTTTTTTTTCTTTCGTCAAATATTCTTTAGGATTCCACGGCAAAACTTTTGCGTACCTGTTCACGATTTCAATACACTAAAGAAAAACGTTCGGCGTCAGCAAAGTTATATTTATAATAATTTCGATTTTTCAAATTCAAAAACCTAACCCGACCCGAAGAAAATATCTATCATCGGAAACTTTCGCACCCGTGTACCTTGAAGAAATATCATTTGTTCGGGACACGGGCACACCGTTTGAATTTTAATGATGCGGACTATCGTGTTGCGTGATTTCTTATCGCGTCAGTCAGTCGGTTGCCCGACAGAATATTGAAGTCGAATTATCCGCGCGTTTTGTTTATTATTTTATTGAAATACCTATGTTATTACGATGGTGTTAAAATATAATTTAATTTTTTTTTTTGTTCTGCCGCAGTTGTACCTCACGTCCAACGTGAGCACGGCCGACTTCAACATGGGTTACAGTCTTACCGGGTCGCTGGAATGCGGATCGACGAAAAACAACAGTTTCCAGACGACACATTTCGCCGTCATCCGGCGGAGAGATTTCGATACGAACCGGCCTTAACAATAGTAAAACGAAAAAAAAAAATCAAAAACAAAAAAAAAAAAAATAAATAAAAAAAAAAATTAAAATAGGATCGTTTCCAAACATTAAAATATAATTAACGCTCCCGATGAGGGGCACGATAATATTATAATATTCGATTGTAAAAAACAAAAAACCGGATATAATAACAGTATAATGGACGATGTGCAATATTACAAAAAAAAAATCGTTTGTAAAAATACCGATATTATTAAAACGACGAAAAAAAATACCGTATATTTTTACGTTATGTACGGTGTATTGTAAAGATTGTGCATACGTCTTTTTCAAGAAAAAAAAAAACCGCGATAATATTTTTTTATATTTTTACGAGTACATTATAAGAAAAAAATACTTCGTTTTTCGGCGTCCATAAATTATTATGTAATAACATATATTCCGTAGATATCGGTTAACATTGTGTACTATATCATATGTTTGTATAGCGTACTTTTTTTCTTGTCTCTTTTTTTTTTTTTTTTTTTTTTTCGAGCCGATCGCAAAACAGAATGCAATTCGTATGACACACGCACTGCCAATATTTTTGAATTTTTGAAGATTTTTTTTTTTTTTTTGTAAATATACAACGGTGTGTCTTTATCATTTAAGTCGGTACATTATCGCACTTCGTTTCAAACAGTCTTTACGTGTACGTATCGTTATAATGTATACGGGCGTATAATTTCGGAAACATTGAACCGTTCGATGCGTGATACGTTAAAATGTTCAAAAAAATAAATTCTACAGAATAGCTTTTTTTAAAATTTTCCGAAAATATAAAAAAAAAAATGTAATTCAAATATAAATTTTTGTAGTCCTCATCCCTGCGAGTAATGTGAAAAAATATAATTTAATTATTTTTATCGTCTCCGGAGATATTCAAGGGGTATATCTTTGAATACATATATACGCTGTTCATTTGGCGAAATACCAAAGATTTCAGCCTGTACATGAGACGGATTTTATCACAAAAAAAGGTTAGGTTACGTTAGGCGTTGTATTAAGAGAAAAAAAAAATTGGGCGTGCGAGAACGAATTCTCCGGGATTCCTGTAAAAATATCTGTAATTTTCGTATACATACGTATACGCATATTATATCGTATTTTCGGTATGTATTGTAAAAAAAAAAAATAAAAAAAAAAAACAAATCACGAAGCTTTAGATAATATTAACGTGTATAATACACAAGATGGATTTTTTTTTTTTTTATCACGATCCGACGATAATGTACAAAAATGAAAATGTCGTGTAAATCGTACAAATTTCGGTTTTATTCCGTATACAAAATAAAAAACGATTTTCAAATAGCGTCCCCCCGCCCCCTTTTCGGGCCAGATTCGCAAAGAGAATATTTTTCGTCAATATACGAACAGTACGCTGATATCGGATTTACCATTATATATGAGTTATAACAGTTAACAATTTATCCTGGCCGAAGAGTAAGGTTAGGTGAGGGTAATGGTAAAGGGTTTGTAAACGGATATGATATTTACCACACTTTCCCTAATATAATTCGGGTATAAATTTTAAACTGTTAAATAACTCATAAACATTATACCCGTTGTATATTAGGTTTTGATACGCTTTTCAAAATTATTTTCAGAATAATACTTTATTTCAAATCAGCGCTGAAAAGAGTTGGAGGGGGAAGTTATCTTTTTTAAAATCGATATTTAACACCCGTTTGTAAGGTACGTATAAAGGAGTTACGAGATATCGATGGTGACACGGCTAAAGGGCCTAAGCGACACGACTTCACTACTGGATGGAGAAATTACGTGTCTCGTCCAATGCGTATGCTCAAAAACAGCTATAACCATTATTTAACGGACAATTTGAATTTTAAGTTCTAGGTATAAACGATTAATTTTTATTTTGTCTTCTCAATTATAGGGTCTGAACGACAATAAACGGTAATCACCGATGGGTATTCACATTATGGTTATTCTAACCGAAAAAAAGTTATTGCCCGCTTAAGAAAAACTTCAAAACCACAAGACAAATGTTTTTTGACTCTGTTGAAAACTATGGATTGTGTCGCTTAGACCCTTTTGCTGCGTCACCATCGATATATATGTATAAAATTTGTATAATAAAAAAAAAAAATAGCTTATAAAATAATTGCATAATAATAATTACAACAAAAACGGAAATCGAAATATTTACTTAAAATCCTTGTGAGAAAATCGCCGGGTCGCAAATGGAAAAAAAAAACTGAATCCACCGCAGTATTATCGTTGCCGCTTGCGTAAAATATAATCTAATATTTTACACGGTTCGAGCGAATGTATAGTGTTTTATAACGAATCTATGATTCGCTCGGCAGTACGACACGTCCTATGGAAAATAACGTCGTAATATCTAAACGATAATTTTATAATATTAAATACTTTGTGGTTTTTTCGCTTGAAATTATAGTTAGAAAAAAAAAAAAAAAAAAAACATATATTTTTAAGAAATGTACTTTATTATTTTAACTAGTCTTACGCTGTGTTTCCAGTAGGTGTAACTATTGTATTTTTTTTTTTTCCTAGATAAATGTGTGCGTGTTTTATATTCTAGAGTCGAGTATACGTGTAACATAGGGATACGTTTTAAGTAGGATAGGTGTGTTATTAGTATTATTATTATTATTATTACTGATAACGCGGCGAGGACGAAAATAATATTAAGTAGTGGCGACGACGATTTCACGCGTGAAATCTATACGAAATCGAAATAGTTCTGCAGCTGTATTATGCGTTATACGATTTAATATTGCGTATTATTTTTATTGTTTTTTTTTTTTTTTTAATATTGTATCTAACGTAGTATAATAATAACATTGATATCATCTAAGTACGCTTATTTTTTTTTTTTTAGATAATTATCGTTTTTTTTTTTTTTGTTGTGACCTAGGCGTAAATATCAACAATATTAAACATGTTTGTGTTATTATTATTATTAATTGTATAATATTGTGTAATTCGCTTTGATTTCGACACAAATTTGTGATATTGAACATTATTAAACAACGTGTATAAATAATAAACGTTAATCGGTTTTTTGCTGTACACGATGCGGTCCGCCGCGCGATTATTTCACAACCAAAATCATCACCGTCGCAACATCTCCTACGTATAATTATAACTCCTACGTCGGTATAGGTGCGTAACAACAGTTGACGCCGTAAGACTCGAATCCGAGGACATTGCGCAGTCAGTGACGTAAATTGCACCGGTGCAAATGCAGCATTTGCGCCGTCCGAAAATGTCGAATATGCGTATTAGTATTATTATAGGTACCTAAAAACGATTTTAATTTCCGTTAAAATAACAATAAATACAATTTACAAACCAACAAAGAAGTAAACCAAGGCCGTTGTGAGAGTGGAACGGGCAGGATCCAGGCCACTGGCCTCACGTTTTTAACTTAGAATTTGATGTCTGGGGTTCGAAAAAAAATGCAAATTATAATATATATATTAGAAAATTAAAATACTTAAATTTTCGCTCTGAGCCTCTCAAATTCTAAGTACGGACCTGCATTATAACATTGTTGAATAACTAATGAAGTTTTTACTGTTAACAATTTTCAATACTAATTTTTCATTTCTAAAAAAAAAAAACAAACAAATACTGGTAGAAATTGATTGTTTATCGGGCAGGGATTCACCAAGAAAGTTGGAGTATTTGGCGTGTCGGAAAATCAAATATTTCACTGCACCGCCAGAAATCGATACCAATTTACGCCACATGATTGGAGTCATAGATGACAAAAAAATATGCGTACTATGCTCGCATTTATTATAATTGTAATATTATACTCGTATATACACCGCATTTAAGTATAGAATGTATAGAATAAATGATATTAAATTACGACGGTACATTAACAGTCGTGTTGACGGAATTGAAAAATGAATATTTCATTTCGGAAAAATAAGTAAGTACGCGATTCATACGGGAGAATTGGATTTTTTCAAAATGAAAATTTACCGTATAAGTGAGTATATATATATATAGGTACATTCGGAATGTAATTGTATACATGTGTACCGACGACGGAATTTTTTCCACGGGTAGTTTCAAGAAGACAATTTTAATAAATCACTGCAAGCGGGAGCACGGTGCACGGTGGCGGCGTCGGTGCAGGAATATTATAACGATGCAGCACCGGCGCGGCGGAGGTGGCGTTTTCTTAAAAGTCACGGAAACAATAAATTATACACAATATGATTTGTCGAGTCTCGAGCATATATTATTATAATACATTTTTTTCGCCGTGGAAAAGCGTATAAAAAAAAAAAAATAAATAAATAAATCTCGTTCAAGTCACGTAGAATATGATTCGCGTAATTATACGCGGTAGGTACAGGAGTTAGAGATGAATAATGTACGGAATTGATTCAGTGTCGCGGTTGACTACGAAATTCGTGTTTCCGCGGGAAATGCAATCATCCGGGTTTAATTATGTATTCATACCCGACGACGAAAAGGAGGTCGTAGATCTATAATACCAATGGCCAATGAATAAATTTATACAAAATTAACATATATAATAAATACTTCTACTGATTTTACGTCATCGTACCGAAACTAACTAGGCGTGACAAAAAAAAAAAAAAAAAAACAAAATTGTCCGCGACTATACAGGTATGGAATATAAAATTGATGATTTTCGATAACGTCCATATCGTTTTAAAGAAAAATAAGGCAATGCGCTTAAAATGACATTACCCCCCCCCCCTTCCACTGAAATTTCGTTTTTTGTTAAATACGTTAGTAGTATAATAGCGCAGTGGTTTACCTAGACTGTTCTTGTGTGGCGACAGGGAGACCGTGTTTATTCGGTGAATTTCTCAAATAAAACAAAGTCATGTAACAATTACGACAATTATATTATTAACAGATACGGCAAATTCAAATTCATAAAATAAGCGATTTTAACGATCATAACAAATTTCATTACGGATCAAGGGGGGGGGGGAAATGATCTAACGTCTCCATTCCCCAACCCCCCGCCTCCCTATCGCGGGTACGCCGAAGTATGTACGCAACCACAAGTTTTTAATGGTTCAACGGTCACTGCTATTAGGAACGGTTCTCCGAACAAATAATACAGTAATGACATTTCGTACTGTAAATCGAAAACCTAATAACAATTATTAGGTTTTCGATTGTTTTTGAAAAAAAAACAAACGCCATTCTTATTATAGTTTGAAAAATATTTATACAGCAAACACTAAAAATCGCACTTACAATCAGAACATTAATTTCTAAATAAATTGCAAGTGCGAAAAATTGTCAATCAATTTCGATTATTTGCCGCAATCACGTAATTTTAATAAGGTTCGTATTTATACTATATTTCTGAAATTGTACATTCGCCCGGCGCATATTGCCTTATTCACCATCGCATTTCTGAAAACATTGGTACCAGCAAACCGAATATCGGTCTATTATAATAATATTGAAAGTTAAGTTCGGCGGAGTATGTATATAGAAAATTAATCTAAAAACAGATATGAAATGTATACCTCTGTTACCCGTGTATACTTATAGATCCGCCAGTCTCGAACTTTAAACTATAACTCATAAACCATTAGGTCGGTATGATCTATACTCGCTATCTATACTTACACAGGTTTTTTTTTTTCTCTTTTCGAACTTACGAGGAAGATACGAGTTTCACACAGACGTGTGTAGGCATGTTCAGCCGAAACTTTCTCCACTAGTTCAGACGCTCGTAAATAATAATGATATCAGACTGTGCGCAATATATTTTTAAAATATTAAAAATATACGAAAATTTCGATATTGACTTATTAGTTGTGTTTTTTTTCCAGTAGTTTGACGAACAGTTTTTTAAACGGTGAAAAAAAAACTCTTAAGAAATCGATTTTATTATTGAAATTCACCATTAATGATTTCATTTCGCAACAAAACCACGCATTTTTAAGTAATAACGTATACCTAATGATTAATGCAATGTTCACAATGTTGAAACGCTATAACAGTCATGAGTAAACAATTTTTGCTCTGTTTAATATACAGTTGTGTTAATGATTCATACATAATAATTAATGAGTATGTATTATAGGCTATAACAACAATATTTAATAAGTGTTATATGACATAACATTTTACAAGGTTTACTGTGAATCAAAAAAAAAAAAAAATAAGAAATTCTTTATTTAAATACAATTTTATATTTGTGTTGGGTACTTAAATTAATATTATTATACAATTGTTCAATATTCACCGTTGTAAATATTTATTTTATTATGGATTTTTCACTAAAAATCTAACCACTATTTTTCCAATATAAATGCATCTACGACTTTATTGACCATAACCGACACATCTCTGTGTAGGTATGTTGAGGATAGCTAATTCATTTTGAATATGTCTTACGAGTATGTATTTTTCTAAGTTGTGTTTTAAAACGTTGAAATTATTATAATTCATAAATGGTTAACGTAAAATCAAAATCATCATAATTTCTTTTTTAAACGCATGTGTATACATGTGTGACCGTAGGTTCTGAGATGGAGGGGAGGTCCGGATCCGGAGTTCAACCCCCCCCCTTGTTGTGCCCGATATAAACGTACAATAATAATACTTTTACGTATTTTCCTGTTTCTCTTTTCAAGAAAAGTGTCCTCAGTCCTCACGTTCTCGTATTCTAGACAGTCTCTATATTTTATTCTACTACGCGTGTGTTTATCTTTCACGTTAAAGCCTTTCTATTCTTTTCGCGAAATCGTTATTTTCCCAATCGTCTTTCCGACGTCGACGCGCTCGCATCTCTTTATTATACGATATTGTTACAGGATCAGTCGACTCGCGGAGTTTGTATGCGATATACGCAGCAGTTACAATTCACCGATGCACACCGTATCTCGATCGAATCTATAGGGTTCTACAATAGTATTTTTATTTATTATTTCCTCGATGCTATTATAATATATTAACCGATTTTCTTATGAAAAGGTTTTAATTCCGTGCGGTATAGTTCGACCTTTACTTCCCCCCCGTTTCAGTAGATATATAACAGTAATAATATATACTTTTGAATGTTTGTCGAGTATTTTTGTTCACGATCAATGTGATACCTATGGCGTGTGCCGAACGGAAAAGTTATTTTTTCATAAAATATATCTAACAGTAGCCCGCATTAATAATATTCGACGTTTTCATGTGATTTTACAATAGTTGTACACCATAATATAATATGAACTAATACCTACTGTCGTATACGCAAGGTTCTTTCTTGGACGTATACGACAACAAAAAACACAAAACTAGATCAAGACCTTCGGTTACTGATCTTTAAATATTTGTAATCCTTATCCCTGCGATTAAGGTTAAAATTAGAATTTTAAAGTTCATAAAAACATTAAGTTAAACAAAATTTAATAACGTTATTACCTATCTGGCTACCTATACAACCCGATTTTGAAAACTCTATCTAACCACTCTCTGTATCTAATAATATTTTGATTTCAAATCAAAGGTATAAAAGTCTTATACTCACTATGCAGTTTATTGAAAATAGTCTTTCTAGTCATTTTCTAAGTTCACCAAAATTTATTATACAATCAACGATTATACAAATACAAAAACATGTTAGCATAAAACATAATTATCATTATGGTAACGGTCTAAGGATTTTAGGTTTTAGTGTTGGTCAATCTGATCTAATAAAAATTTTTATTTTGTAATCATTTTTAAGAGAACTGCTATAATAATCTTTAAATAATTTTTACAAAATAAACGCATCAGCTCGCGACAGTACCACGCTGCCCCTGTAACGGCACGCCGGCCGAGTAACATATTTTGCTGAGTAAACGTACCTATAATATTATATTTTAACATAACAATAATAATGCCAGAGACGGCGTAAAACAATACTTTTATTTAGTAAAATATTTTGTTATTATTATTGGTGGTTGAATATGCCTATTACACTAATGCAGGGACAAAGAACAAATGCAATAATTTTAGAGTTATTTTTGTTTTTATGACTGGTATGTAGACAGATAAAAAA